AAATGAATGTCAAAAAGTCCTGACGTAGAAAATATTGAAGAATGCAATTAAATGAATACTATGCGTAACTCCCTTGATAGAGTATAGGCACAATGGGTGTCTATTGAAAGAGAGAAGCAATTAGTTTAATCCAGATGAATCAGATTGATAGGATGAGAATCGAGGAGAGCTGATTTGCCTCCGGACGAGGTGACAAACGATCAAAGTAAGTGTTGAACAGCAATGATAGTTGAACACCATTCGAGTCATTCTCCAAAAACAATTAAATTAAATGAATATCGAGGTACCTACCCATGTTTGGAGGTATACGAGAATCTTGGAACCAATATGGGCCAAATAAGGACATGTAGATTCAAATTAAATGGTATCTGACTGAGTGTAGAAGTTTCCTTGCGGTTCCGAACGTTTATTGTATTAAATTAATTGTACTATGCGACTCTATATTCTGTATGTATAAATAGCGATCCGATGTATCTGGAATAAAAGGGATTTTGGGACGACGTTGCAGTGCTAATCCGTAAAAAGGAAAGACACACTCCCGCCAGACTGAAACCTCTTCGCTAGCAGCCATTCGGGCCCGGCACTTGCGAGTATAGGAACATTGTGTTCTGCTCCTTGTGACTGCGAGAAGTCTATCCAGTTGTTGGGTATTCTTCGAACTTAGGATCAGTCGTTGGTCTTAAGGGCAAATCACGCTGTGTGGTTGTGCCAGCACATAGTTCTAGCCCTCTGTAGGGGTCTGTGTGTTTCGGTTTTAATTTACTTTGATTCAAACCCCCAATTCTTGATATACCCAAATCAATACAAACCAAAGCACAAATCGTGCTGAATCTACCTTGATCAAAGGAATATATCGAATCCTTAGAACGATTCAAATTGATTGATCAAAGCTTCTTACTTAGCTCTCAAAGCTTTGCGGAACCTTTGCCAACGCTACCCCTTGCTATTAAATAAATTTGATAGCAGTGAACTCGCATATTGTGTATTAGATTGGTTGGTTGAAGTGCCCATTAGATTCCTTCCTTTCTCTTTCACACAAAAACGAGGCAAGCTTGTTACCGACATTGAATGTTTTTCAAGAATGAAATAAAAGCAAATTTACATGAATTACAGTATCTATAGAGTAACAGGGAGTAACTGCTGTGAGACGAGAAAAAATAATTGTGGGGGCGGTGTGGTGTAGTGGTGGCATCACATAAGCTTTGCACTAGGGACTTTTGACATGCGCAAAGTCTCTAGTTCAAACACCGTCCCGGGCATATGGTCCTCATGCCCAAATCAGCACCATAGGGAGTTGTAGTGGGTAGTCTTCACCTAATCAATTGATTAGGCTAGTTGAGAGTCCCACACCACTGGTTGCCGGGAAAACTGTACCAGGTCCCAGTGTGCGTAAATGCATTCTTCCTTGGAGTAGATTATTCCGGGACTGTTACTGACCAATCACAAGGTTACTGACCCTTGTATCAACTTGCATGGATCTTGGAAGACGACAGCTTGATGCGGCTGGCTATATGCCAGTGTGTCGGTAGACAAGGTCTAAGATAGTGCCCTTCCAAAAAAGAAAGAAAAAAAAAGAAAAAATAATTGTGACAGAGTCACAGTCCCGTGATATCCCGTGCCGGTCACAAGAATTCAATACAATTCAACTCAGTGTTACATTTGGCCAAATAAGGCAAAATTACTGCCATAAAGGGAAATAATTTTTGTATGGAGTACAGTACATAAGGATGATACTTCCGTAAACTACAGCCTTGTAACAATGGAGATGAATGTAAACTGCGATGGGCCCAGAGGAGCCAATGAATCAGTCAGTGGCATAGGGAATGGAGTGGGAGTAGGTTGTAGCGTTATAGCCTATCTTTTTGTAGGTAGTAGTGCTGTCTTTGACTGCAGTCATAATCCCTGATCTGTTCAAATCACATTTGTTGAGTATATCCGTCAGGTAAGTTCGTTAAAAGAGTGATTCACATACACTTCATGAAACTTGATATTTGTTAGATGGATATGGTAATTGTATATCATTTGCAGAAACTGGAACTCAATCATTCGAGGAAGCACAAATCAAATGTTTGTCTTCTTTTCGCATAAGTTACAATCGAAGCAAAAAAAACAAAACCAAGAGTACTCACTTTGACCAGTAAATTGGCAGTCACAGTTAACGGATGATGTTTGTTGTATTCTATTACTATAAGTACTGCCAGATCCATAGTTTTTTGAATAACTTTAATAATTTTATTTCCATGGGTAACCACTTATAGTAAGTATCAAAGCAGAAAGTCTGTCAAGTCCATGCCTCGGGCTTCCACTCTGCCGCTCGGTATTCCAAAGATCGACCTTTATTGTAATCTCTCCTTATTGTTCTTTCTTGCTACACATACCCTTTCATTCTAGTCCCTCCTTATTGTCTTTTACTTTACCCTGTAGGTACTACTCGTATAGCTCTTAGTAGTTAGTCTGGCGCTCCGCACCAATGCGCTGCTCCGTAGATATAAATACTGCCTGTATGCTACTGTAGTTCCTCAGTTTAATTATCAACTTAGATCTCCCTTCCCAACTTAGCCCTTCTCTAAGTCTTCAGGCTCAATGCCTTGAAGTACGTTCTACTCGACCTTAGGACTTAGACATTCTTTGGTTCGCTCCTCGTCACCGGCAGTACCAAGCTTCTCCCTTCTCCATACTCTCAATCTCCGGGGACTAACGACGACGTAATGGCGGTGTTGTTAATAACTTCACTACTGTCCCACTCGACCTTCCGCCCTTAGACACCTTGTGGCCCTGGCACGGTTACATGGTGTACATGATCTTAACACTTTGCTTCACTCACAATGAGAATTCAGAACCTCAATATCAATAGTTTGAGCTGTCAATGGACAGAAGTTGTAAGAGTGAGAATTCCTAATGAGAAATGAGGAGCCAGAAATAAGAGATAAGGGGGAGTTGAGTTGTGTCCTATGGTGCATATCACCTTAACACTACCACCTGTACACACACATGGGAATCATTATATAAGCAGTAGGAAATGCCAGCTCAATACAAGCCTGACACAATTTGTGCTCTACAGGGGTAGCAATCAGTTGTGTTATCTTTGTGAACATTGTGCTTATAAAAATATGCTGAAGGCTTGACCCTTAAGCCAGGTAGAGCTCATTTAGAACTGGGAGCATTGTGCATGGAGATTCATTGATACATACAGTGAAGGCTCAGGTGCAAAAAATACAGCAACCAAAGTCAAGTAGCTTAGCTCACATTATTATACTTACTACTAAATTCTTGTATTGTTCACTCAAGCAATGGATCAGTGGGGAATACTTATTACCATTAGAAAACTATGTCATTACATACTATTACCATATAGGGAAATGGCACAATGATTTTTTCCAAAATTCACTTATTCAAAAATTCCTCTCGAGCATCTTATTTACCTCACCATTTACGGACTTGTCATAAAAAATATAAGTCTCATATGTACTTTTGAGGCCTACTCCCCGGCCTGTGCATGGGTAGTGGTGTCTAGGTGATATGCACCATAGAGAGGTGGAGATATCCCCTTTTCCCCATGCTCTCTTACTGCCCTTATATCTGCCACATCCTCCTTTTTCCCACGCCCTGGTCCCTGAAACCCATTTTCTCCCAAGTCCCTTAACCCCTCACGGAAGGGGGTAAGGGACTTGGGGGAAAATGGGTCATTGTTAACCCCTTTCCCACGCTCTCTTCTCGAGACCTTATTCACCTTAAGGCCTCTTTTCCCCACGCTTTGGTCCCTTGAGCCTAAGTTCTCAACCCCTTACCCCCTGGCCCTATTGAATCAGGGAGCCAACAAAAAAATTGTAAATTCTTCTTTATCAGCCCACTGCACTGCGCTGGTGCTCAACTACTTCTGAATCGCAGTATATTCTCATAGAAAACCCAAATTGAATTTCAAGCTCTCTCTTCTTAGGGGGCACATGCAAGGACAGTAAATGACCCGAATTTCACATACAAAAATTGTTCAACTTGGCCCAAACTACATCATCGCTGTCATGGATGCCCTTTGAAATGATGAACCCTTCGTCATTGACTTCAATGACATCCACTTCTGATGACCACCACCACCTTTACACCTGCTAGCCTGCTCTTCAACTGCCCAATAGAATCCAGCAGCGCATCACCCGGCATGCTTTCCAACACGAGCATCTGTAATTGTGATGGGAAGGTGGTGAACTTGGATAACATGTTGGGGAGCGGTTGGACTCTAGTTACTGAAAACTTGCGGGTCGGAAAATTAAGCCAAAGATATTCTAACTTCGGTAGAACACTGAAATCCCAGGCGCAGTCCAGTCTGCTCCAAGAAAACGTAAAATGAAGACGAGTCACATTCGGAAAGAGCAGGTCGGGTGGAGTGATCACTTGACCAGTGGTCGCAAATGTTTGTACAGACGGCAGGGTTAGGCTCGGGAGATGCAAATTGCACTGGGGATAAGGAAGGTCCAGATTCAAAGAGGATGGGGAACAAGATTGAAGAATATGCGTGTATATTGAAAGTCCTTTTTGTTGCAGATGAGTTGGATTAGAAGAGAATATGAACTGAATGGACAAATGCTTGACAAGCTTCGCCAGCGACCCATTTGATTCCAGTGCGTCGTGAAAGCGTACCACTTTCCCGGCCCGTGTCAGCAGACATTGACTAAATTAGACTGCGGAAACATTAGGTCACCAAATATCAAGAGACACTTAGATCACTAGTTGCCCCCCCTGGGGACACAAACCTTGCTTGAGTCACTGGTTTCATGACCAAAATAGCGATCGCGTCTCAAAAAGCCCCCTACTCCAGAGGTAGATACAATAGTTCTGATAGATTATACATTGACATACATTACTGGCGCCGTATCTATCAAGAATACACATGGCGTTGATTTATATACAGGTGCCAAAGCCATACAAAGTAGTATATGGTACTATCAGGCTGACTGTTAAACAACCTTCTGGACTTTGCTGGGCGCCGCCTCAGGAGTCAGTAGACATTACTGGCAAGGTTCGCTTACGGGTCGACTTAGAGACAACTTTTGGCCCTTGCGCAGAGACCACATCTGAACAGGAAGCAAAGTCAGTGATTGTTCACACAGTAGGCCCCCAACATACCTTTTCCTTTACCCTTCTCCTGTCAAAATTTAAATGACTGTGAAACCAACTTCGGGTCAGACGTCAACGCAGGTTCTGCGGCGGACGGATCTTGCTGTTCCCCAAACATGAAGGAAGACCCAAGGGCATGAGAATTGGGAGTGACGTCTTCTGGGGACGCTGCGACCGCCTTGACATCGCAAATGTGCCGTCGGAGCTGGCTTGATGTTTCCACCATCAGGCGTCAACTCATTCACTTCAGCAATAGACATAGCTGTCTTGTAACCACCGCATGTACATTGACACCATCCTCCCACTCAAATAATGCACCGCCTGGCAGCATCTCGTCACCGCCAATACCACCCGAAGCAAATTGGTTGCCGCCCTCCAGACAGAAGTGTGTTGACCACTATCGTCGCCACGGAAGCCGTGAACAGCTTCCCCTTCATCGTAAATGGTCCTGTACACCTGAGATCGTCCTAGCTGCGCAACCCAGGTTGAACAGGCACCGTCACAATCCATTGAGCTGGCAAGCCTGTACCAATCAGCATTCCTTCACAAACAAATTGATGTAACCCGTCTGCGAGGATGTCAGGTAAATCAAACGATATGGGTGCGATGTGTACGCTGACAGCATCTGCGATTACCTGTTCGACACGGTCGATGTCACAGTCGGTTGTGAGTGACATTTGCGCCTGAGTTGTGTTGGAAAACAGTTGGCAGTACACAGTAGCTGAGCGAAGGTAGGATATTTAAGCAACAAGAAAATAAGGGGTGTAAGATGGTCCGGCCAACGTTCATCGCGCATATCGAAGACAAATGGCGGACACTGCAAAGAGTCAGGTAGTGTTACCGGAATACAAGACGAAGACAGTCTTAAGATCACGAATTTTCCACCTTAAGACATCTTAAGACACTTTTTTCACAAGACGTATTAAGATCATTTTTCCTTATCAGTGAAAATACACATGGCCGCTTGATACAATACACAACTCCACCCAGACTTGATACTCAAAAAAAAGTACATTGTAGAGGTTTGTTCATTTGCGTGAAGACCCAATAAGGTCTACAAGTCTGTCAATTTCACCACTTGTAAGAAGATCATGTAGTATAGAAGCATCGATATCGGTCATGCCAGTGGTGCCCCGTGATTCATCCACTCTTGCAACCCAAGAATGAGTGAAGTAAAGTCGATTGCTCCAAGTTCTCTAAGTGACGCGCCAACGCACCAACAGGCTAATGTAATGTCAAGGTTGACAATCCAGTAGGATAACAAGAGATTTTTCACATGGATCAGTAACGCAGTGTTGGAAGTAGTGGACTGTGGCAGCAACGAGCGATTGGTAAAAATTACTAAACAAACATGTTCACCTTGAGACGTTTCTTAAGATAAGCCATCTTAAGCCATCTCATCTTGCAATCTTGTATTCCGGCAACACTAGAGTCAGGAAGGGGCATGTAGGGGCATGTGCGGCCGCCTACCTGAGATTACATAACGCTGGTGCCGTGAGACGATTTTCGCGCGCGCTAATAATATCGAGGAAGAAAGGACCATTGCAACACATTTCCCAAAAAAACTTGCATACTAATCCGATATTCAGCTATATTCAGAGTTAAATTCTTGCGCCCTTTGTTGGACAACTGGCAAAGCTGTTGTATTTCAAGCCTCGCAAACTAAGATGCTGAAGCTCCGTCGGTAACTTTGAGAAGGCTGAGGATGAATATAAGCATGATCCTCGTGATCAATTGCGGTACTGACGAAAGGGTTTTGTACAGCGTTTTCTTTTCTTCGATTTCTTTCCGCTCCCCATGACAGACTTGAAGGACTCAATGCGCGGTAAGTCGGACCGGACTCCACGGTCACGATACTCGTCTATCAGCGCTTAGCTATCTTGCTCTTTCTTTCGATTCGCTTCGTAAGTTTTGATCCGCTTTTTCCTCAGTGCAGCGCATGAATTTCTCCATGCACAGAACGAGCCCAAGCGGAGGAAATTCTGTGACTCAGAAATCTAGCCGGAGCATCGCAGATATTCAGATTGGAAGAAAGCCTTGCAAAATTCGGGCTCAACACCAATCTCCCGCCGCCTTCTTCAATGCTTAGAGTCAGTCCTCCAAGCTTGGATATTAGTGTGCGCTCCACGGTCTCGGATCACCTGCAGCAGCGCTGTCTACTTTAACGGGTTTGACTACCCCTTCGACCGTTCCAGGATCGCCAACTACAAATTTTCCTCATTCCTCTTCGTCGACATCTTCCTCATCATCATCATCAACATCGAACACCGCGTCCCGCTTCACTAGCGCTTTTGCATCATTTGGATCATCATCCGCATCTGCATCAACCTCATCCATCTCCTCGCATTCTCTCATTTCACTATCCACATCGGTCTACCGTCACCGGGGTCTTCTCCAGCTCATCGCTCTACTCATTCATTCTCCACTTCATCCGAATACAATGCGCACAATGCACAACTTCCAAGTATCAATGAGCTAGACAAATCTGATGGGTGACCAGACAGTTCAACGCTGTTGACATTTCCTGGCGTCCCTACTTCAAACAAGTTGAAGCCAAAGACTTCTCAACCGTCATCCTCGTCAACGCCTTGGCCACTCGAAGCGCCTGAATCACCATCAATCTCATCGTCCTCTCCACTTGGACCTTCTACTAGATCGGATCTGGAACCCACTCTTGATTCAAACCCGCACCCAACGTTATTTCCAGAAACTATCCCTTGCGCCTGCTTCTATCCACCCATATCGCGTATGATTCGCTTCTAATCCGGTAGATCGTGGTTCAAGTGGCGTATGGGATAGTCGACCTGGGTTACCAACGCCTAATTTCGATGACCGTATTCCAATTACCAGACCTACTTCACCTACTTTCACCTACCAATCTGGATCCATTACTGTCCATCAATGGGACATCTCATTTATTGTCGTTGACCATCCCTGCTTCGTCTTCGTCCCTCCTGACATCGCCCACTGTCTCTAATTCCTCCGATTCCCCAAAAGAATACACGATAGGAATACGCCAATTCGTCTCGCTAAGGAAGCCAAGGCAGAATTCGGCCTCACTTTGCTTGTGCGCGATCCTGAAGAATACGACTTTGACTCACCAGATACCGTTCCGGAGGACTGCGCCGTCTTCCTTGTTATGGCTACCCACCGAACCACCCGACAACGCTGTCCAGCTCATGCAGAACCTCCAGGACAAATCCTTCGAGTTCAGTAAAGGCGCTCTCGATCTTTCCGGTCTCAAATATGTTGTCTTCGGAAACAAACCTACGAGCATTACAACGTCATCTCACAATACGTGGACATTGCACTCGAATGGACATTCGTGGCAAGGGTGACGACGATAGGAATATAGAAAAACACTACTTGGAACGGAAGGGTGGAATGTGTGAGGCTTTCGATACCGCCATGGGTGTTGAAGAGGGCCAGGGTGGTGATACCGCCGTCTTCGCTGCTTGAGTCCCACCCAGAAGAGAAGGTCTATCTTGGTATGTGAAAGCTTAATTTCGGCGTTCGATCATCCATTCCTCAGGTGAACCTTCTGCCCGTGCGCTTACGAAGACCAAGAGAGTCCACGACGCTAAAAATCCTTATCCAGCTCCTCTGACTGTTGCCCGCGAATTTCTCCAAGTCAAACTCAATATCGAGGGTTCTGGAATCACCTACCAACGTGGAGACCATGTCGGTGTCTGGCTATCCAACTCTGAACTCGAGGTCGACCGTCTTCTCGCTCTCGGTCTCTACGACAAAAGGGACAAGGCCATCAGCCTTGACTCGTTGGACCTTGCCTCGTCAAAGTTCCTTCCCCCCCCCACTACCTCTGCCACAGTCATTCGCCACGACATCAACATCAGCACTCTTGCTGGTCATCAAATGCTTGGCATGTTCACCAAATTCGCCCCAAATGCCCAAACTGAGGGGGTTTTAAAGGAGTTTAACACCAACAAGGAAGTCTACCATGAGATCGTCGTCAATGACTGCTTAAAAGCTGGCGAGGTTCTGCAGTTGCCGGTTCCTCCGAAGGAGGACCGAAACGGCTGCGACAACCCAGCGGACACATCTATGAAGCAAGTGCTTCCGGATCGCCCCAAACTAAAGCATACTCTAATCAAAGCCGAGACTCCCCTTACATCAGCTAAAATCTCGAAAATGCCGCACCAGCTCGATTTCAAACTTCAAGTCAAAATGCAGTACAAGTACCAGGCTGATGGAGACAAGAAATTGAGGCAGGACGCGGAGAGCAAGAAGATAGAAAGTGAGAAGAAAATACAGCTTCTTCCATTGGCTCAAAGACGGTACAAAAATCTGCATTTTTTGGACGATGCCCTCGCCAAGGAAGAGGAAGAACCTAGTGCCTTTACATCTGCATTGGAATTTCCGCTCATTCTATAACTTGTACCCTTTCAGACAGTACAAGAATCGAAGGAAAATGGAAAGAAACCCTCCGAGCAAAACCTACTCTCTCAGTCACTGTTCAAGGCGCCAGAGAGCTAGACCATGCACCCATCATAACTCGATTTCGTTCATCGAAAAACCAAGTCGTTGAAACCTCCGTATCACTCAAAGTCGAAGGCACCCAACTAGCTCGATCACATCCTTCCCGCACAGATCGTTAGAATGAAGACTTTGAAATCGCTCTGACAAGGCAAACGAAGTCGAAATTGCTGTTTACGACAAGCAGGTCGGTGGAACACATGCGGTTCCTATAAGTCTATTATGGATCCGCATCAGTGATCTTGTCGAAGCTTTGAGAAGGCAAAAGGTATTTATGGAGAGCGGACAAGGTGGCTGGGTTCCTGCTGGCGCTATGCATGGTGATGCTGGTCATTCAAACTCGGCGGACCTGAACATCCCTCTCAGCTTTGGCGCTGCTCCTCCTGGTGGCTTTGGTCCTCAGGGACGCATGGGAGATGGTATACCACAGCAACCATCCGAAGGTATCGAGGCATGGTTTGCAGTCGAGCCTGCAGGTGCTATTCTCTTGCACTTAGAACTTTGGTGGGTCTGTCGCAAACGTGTCATCTTCATACGTGGACGCTCATCGACAAATAATCAGTCAACGAAAACGTCTGAAAACGCCAGATCGATGCACCTCTCGGCGGTGTAGGTCGTTAAGGCATTGTGCGTAAACGGAAGGGCGAAGTGCATGTGATGAGCAGGCACAAGTTTTTTCAAAAGCAGTTACATCAGCTCATGCTCTGCGCCTTTTGTAGCGACTTCTCACTCAATGCCACGGGTTACTAGTGCGAAGATTGCCATTACACATGTCATAAGAAGTGCCATGAAAACTTCCGCTTGGTCGTCAGAACGCACGAAAATGTTCTGAATGCGACCTAACTAGCCATGCGCACCTCGTTCCGGGCTTTTGTGGTATGTCGATGGAGAGCGCAAATACTCTTCGACTGGACATGCGGGATATTAATTTGTATATCTTGTTTCTCATTGCGATTTGCTCTCAATGGGCTTGTTGGAATCATATTCACCCTCGCTACCCGGTTATATAAGCTGCAGAGGCTACGGTGGCCATTTGATGGTTCGCTCACCGTCCCCTGTGTCCTCAAAGTAAGTGTTGGGATTTTTTAAATATCTTGTTCGTTTCTGATCGCGTTTACCTCTAAATAGGCTTACTGGACTCGTATTCACCCTCGCTACCCGGCTATATAAGCTGCAGAGGCTACGGTAGCCTTTGGATGGTTCGCTCACCGACCCCTGCATCCTCAAAGTAAGTGCTAGAATTTTCTTCATATCTTGTTGATTATCTGGACTACGCAGCTTCTGCGTTTTATAATGATGAAATCCTGGAATACTGTCCGAATCCAACCCCTACTTCTGCCGGAATTATCTATCTAACATTCGCCCACACCTCCATACCCAAGTTCACCTCTGCCCTCGGCATCCCCAATTTCAACATACTTTCAGAAGGAAAGAAGGACAGATGATGAGCTGGAGACTTTATATGATGAGATCTGGATAGGAAATGGCGCTAGAGGGTTGAGAAACTTCGAGAACGCACCAGGCGTTGAGGCGATGGCTATGGAGCAAGCCCGAGCTCCCCGTCCAGCAGGGCCAGCTTATACTTTGCTTCTCCGACTTTAACAACGTCATATTCATTAGTAAATTCGACTTCTTTGTGGATTCGCAACTCCATCGTCCATACCCCGACCTCCCTCGCTTCCAGGTTCATCTCTAGCGTATTCACCTACTCTGAGGAGTTCATGTCCTCTGCATTTGCCTCCCGGTGCTTACGGCCCCACTTCAGCGACGATGAAGGCCTCCCTCCCTATGATCTGCCTCAGTCCCAGCTCATTCCGCAGCGGCCTCTAAATTTCGAAATTCGGTGGCCTTAGGCTCCGACAGCTGGAGCACTCCCACTCTGGATTCGCCATCATCAGCACGAGGGCATCAGCTATCTACCGCTCCAGGAGCTTCCAGTGTAGCAAGCCCAGCATTTTCGAATATTTCTCCGGCGGCGTGTTTCGAATCGGTTTATGGGGTACCGCCTAAAGCCGGTGGACTAGTACCTCCTCCTTCTCCGTTGGGTCTTGTCCTGCACCTCTCCCGGGTGATGTCTCACTGACTGCCCTGTTTTTTCCCCAGATAATGATAATTACTACCTCCATTCTGGTGACGACGAATGGCTCAACACTATATGGCTGAACTACACCTTGGCCGTAACTTTCATCGAGGGTAAGGTTGACAACTCCGGCCTCCCGAACGTGAATGGGCTAAGAGATTGGGTGAGGTAAGGAGACGGAGGACATAATTCCGAAGGAAACGCAATTTTGTATAAGGCAGGTGTCTTTCTTGTGACGTCTTTTCCCTGCTGTAACCTTCTATCGTCTTCCACACCAGGTTCTCATAATAGCGACTTATATCCTATGCCCGCCACACCACTCTCTCCCTCGCCTATTCTGCGAACGTCTCTGCCTTCAACCCACATTCAACTCCGCCTTTTGGATGCCTAAGGTTGGAATGTACAGGGACAACACTTCGAAAACCCTCACTCCGCAGGATGGAAACTCATCAGCGGTCTTGTTCAACGTGGCGTTGAATGATACTTGGAAGGGGTTGGTTAACGAGGGCCTAGAGAAAAACTTGGACCTGTACCGCCCGAATCGCCGGATACGATCTCGCCATTCATCGGTACCTGACAATTGATATTTCAAGAGGAGTCGCTGCTCTGGATACCGACTCTTTCATAGCTGCAAGCACACTATGTCACAGGATGGGGAATGCGGAGAAAGAGGAGAGGGAGGAGCAGAGTGAACAGAGCGGGCCGAATATGAGGAGGCAAGTGATCGTATCATTGGCAAAGAAGGAAAGGAAGGCAATGACGCGAAGGAGGGAACCGGCGGCGTCGTTGGTTCTGGTGCGGAGAATTTCTATGAGTTCTATTCTCGGTGTCAACATCGGGGCAGCAAGAGCAGTCGGTGGTCTTTTTTTAATGCTCGCGGAGGTGGTGTAGATGATCCATGCCCGTGGTCTGACGCCGAGCCATGCACGAGGGTAGGCGGGGGAGGCATGTTGATATAGTATGCGGATCCACTAACTATGCCTTTTGGTGTTTCAGATGGTTTGAGGCTGGAAAACTGAACAACAGCAACGTAAAGAGAGAGAATGCAGCAATGAAGGTAAGGAAACCTAGGATTCACTCAAATTCATTTGCTGATCATCCTTTCTAGGTTGGGCAATGACCACGGTTAGTCCGCCCATCGAGCTTAATCAGTTCCCTACCAGTGAAGGGCAATGATATTTATGCAATTCGATTATCCTGTCTGTGCTTTTTCCGCTGATTCGTGGTCCAACCAATACTAATACATATGTACAAACCAGCCTACACCACCCAACAGTAGTTATAGGATGAAGTGAGCTAGTTTCACTGTGCTGAACTGAGCTCTTTTCTAAAACTTTTTACTCTATGCACCACATAATCACATGCCCTGTAAAGATGCCCTAGAGCGGACGCTGAAGTTGCTGCCCTTTGTTACACACCATCAAAATGGTTGCTGGCCCATGAGGAACGTGGCCTGCCAGCTCTGGCTCTGGGTTCTGGTGTCATTCATGACCAACGGTACGTTGCTCTATGCCGGAGGCTCCGGAAAGACGGCTGGTATTTATGCCTGGGCGCTAGCTGAATTACCCGGAGCCCTCCGTCAGTAGCCTACGTTTTTCTTAACTCACGCCTCATTTACCCGCCGCTTCATTTGTTTTGCTGAACGCGTTGGCAGTTGCAGCCCCCGACTGGACCTAGAACGGCACGTCAACCTATTCTGAGCTTGGATACGCCTTTGTAACTGTTTGTTTGAGCAGACTCGCTCAGGGAGAGCATTTGCCGACTGGACTGGACTTCCAATTAGGGCTGCCGATGGCTTTAACCTACAGGACACCATTTGAGCTGCAGAACTGGCCCGGGATGGTATTCGACCCGACTTCGTGGATTCCCCTCATCCCCCTCCTCCCTTCAGCCCCTCCGCCTCCCCACCTGCTAGTCCTTTGTCCACCCCGTCAGGCCTCCCCATGCCCGCCCTAGCCGAAGCCCCTATTCTGGCTCCCAGCATGCTCCGCTGGATCCTACCCCCTCCCGCCCAGGCTCGTCGAGGTCGTCAGGCAAGCGAAAGGCGTCCTTCGTAGATGTCCCTAGCGCTAGGGCTCGAAAGCGTCCACGGGCCCCTCAACCGCCGCCTGCTTCGCCAGTTCGATGGCTAAGCCTCCTTCAAATCAATCTTGACAGCATGCAAAGCGGAGGGCTAGAAGGCAGCGAGCCAAGGGCGGAGCCTTCGGGTACCAGCCGAAGTTCAGCCATGCCCAGAATGCCAGCTCAATCTACGCCGGCCTTCACCTCAGCGATATGCTTGGCAGCACCTCCGGGTACCTCGGTAAAGAGCGGGTTGATCCCGACCGTCGCGACAGCATTTGGTCACTGGATCAGATGGTAGGCGAAGGTTCCACCCATGGGTTGAAGCTCATCAAGGTCGACCTCACTAATCCGGGCATAGCATTTTGTGTCCCAGCCTGATTTTTCAACCTATGGTGCTATGAACAGCTGCCCAATGCCCCTTGTTAACAACGACCTTGTGTACGGGGTTGTCGTTCCTCCTCCGAAGGGCGCTGATGGAAAGGTGGACCCCTCCTTCATGGAGGCTGCAGGGTTGGCTGCAAAGAAGCTTGATGAGGTTAGGCCAGAGCTCTTTAAATCAAGTAGGAAAAACTTCACGGATGAGGATCATCGCCGTGGTCAATTTCCTGTGAAGGCTCAGGCATCTCTTTTGGAGGCGGTCAAAAGGTAGGGTGTTGTTTTTGCGATCTAATGAAAAATTGCTTATGGATGGACACTTCACGAGATCCAGTCAGACTCGACAGAGTAAGTTTTCCCTCACATCAAATATCTTCGGCTCTGACTAGGCATTTTAGTGTTGAAACTTCTTCTGTTATATTTGTCTCCCTTCCCGGACAAGCATCACAATCTTTCAATTAGCACCGAATGGAATTTACTGCTCTTAGACACATTCTCGCCATCGTAAATGCCATCATTGATTGTCTCATATCAGTTACTGGGGAATTGCCTTCGCCATTTCCCGCCACATTCTGAATGTCAAACGAATCCACCACCTGTACAGATTTCCACTATTACACCAGTGATGATCTCACCTTACAGGCTCTACAACCCCTAGTGTGTTTTCTTCTACATCGCCGCCTTCTCCAGAACTGGGCATCGCGATCTTTTACCGGTACCCCCGAAGTACAGTTCAATTGTTTCACAGGTGCCTCGTTTTTGACGTTTGGCCTTCAAAGTGGCGCCGTTGCTCTATATCTCTCCGGTTCGGCATAAACGTTTCCCTGAGGATTCCGCGATAAAGAATCCAGTGAGCACGAGTAAGCTAAAGACCACCAAATGCAAGTCTGTCTCATTGTAGAGCACGTACACCAGCGCTACCCTATAGCCGGGCGATATTCACTTCAAGTCCTGGATCCATTATCTCTATCTCCCGCGAGGCTTTCACTATTCCTCAATCCGAATTCTCCGTCAAACTCCATGCAAAGAATAGCGTCGTCTCTCCTTATCCTGGTAAACTCATGCCTGCCCCGGCGCACCGGGGTGAATTTAACAATGGTGTTGCTGCAGCGCCCAGAATATCCTCTTCGGCGAAGAGCGTGGACAGTTCATGGATGGTATTCAACAAGCCCTCTGAAGTGACCGCAGAGTAGTATGCAGTATCCTGGGTGGACTCTGACTTACGAGTCGTTGAAAGAAACGTTAACATGACGTTTGACCCCCAAGCATGACTCTATATCGATTGGTGTTTTGCTCGGGTCAACAGCGGCGAATGTGGGTAATGGGAATCATCCGCATGGTACGTTGCTCAATCATTATCCTCATTTCTACACTCGCTGATCATACCTACCAGCCTGACGGTATCTTCTACTTCCCGCGTTGTATACATTCGCTCACGAACAAACGCTTAGAGCTTTCTGGCATTCAGACTCCATCCTCTGCGAATAACGTTCTGCCCCGGGAGGAACTCAATGATTTGGCGTAAGTATGGATGCGAAGTCTTTTACTAAGTAATTATTCATCCCTACGTATTCTACATAATTGCTCGATCGAATTACTGCCATTAGTTATGCAAACAGCTGCAAGAGCCTTTTCTCAAAAAGTCACTACGCGTAAGTCATCCACTATTGCTGAATAATTATCTGTCACGGATCAATTTCTTTCACACCAAGTCACATATGTACCTTTCGATTCCATAAGACGGAAAATAAAACGAGACTTTTATGAATTTTTCTTACGGGAAGTCATCCACTCATCCACCATATTTCTTTCTCGCCCAATCTGGAATACTAAAAAATCCAAGTCAAGGGGTGTTTCTGATGGCCTCTGAAATCAATATAGCAAGCTCTGAAGGGTCGGCGGAAAAAAAGTTTGTCCCTGACTGAATAATTGAGGCAATTGCGCTAATTCTTTATAGTTCACGAACTCAGGCAGAATCAGATAACTTTGCTCGCAGTCGGACGGTGATGACGATGCTCTCTGGCTTTGCCAACGAATGTATGACTGAATGGGGCTTTTATTTTGGAATGTCACAGGAATTGGTAACTCTCAAAATCGAGAACGTGGCCCTTAGAAATGAGAATACAACCCTTAGAGCGGGAAATGCAGCATTGAGGAATACCAAGTCTTCTATGGAAACCAGCATGAAGGAACTTTGGCAAGATAACGAGATCCTTGACCGTACATTGAAGAGTATTGGCCCGGAGCGAGACTTCTATAAGGACAGAGCAGATCGCTATCATGCATTATTCGCTGCATCCCCTGAAGCACTTCCTGCTGTCTGTCATGATCTTCAGCAGGAGGTCGAACGATTACGAAGACAGTATGCAGCTCTCACATCGACTATCGAAAGATTTGTCAACGACGGGTTAGCTCTCGGAGTACTTTTGAAAAGCGATAACAGTCCCGACGGTATGTAGATACTACTCGCTCAATCACTCAGTACTGCTTTACTGATTTTGCTGATTAGACATGTCGCTCAATGTCGACTACCAACGACCTCCGCAAGCCCGAGCGGCGGCTCCCTCAAATGTTGATCAGAACATGTACCAACAGCAACCTTATATGAACAACCGTTCTCTAATAATATCTGATACCAGTCATCAATCAACCGGATCAGTTCATCTAACTTCCCAAACAGCATCACGGCCACAGACCTTTGCGCATAGAACCTCGAATAATGCTTCTGAAGTTATGTCTCTTGCCAACCAACGCCGACATTCTGTTCCGTCTATCTCGCCATTCGCTCATGAGCGTCCTGTCATCGGTATCTCGATGCCAGGCCAAGTGTTACAGGCCCAGTATAACGCGAACGCTCCGCAATCGAACCGTGTTCCTGCCCAGGTTGGCATTCACTCTCATTCTCAGCCTCAGCCTCGTTCCCAGCCTTCCACAACCTGCCCGTACCCTTCTCCCACGATCACTCATCCACAACGTTCCGCATCCTCGCCTCACCCTTCGTCTCAAGTACAAATTATCTCGCAGGGCCATCCTACACCTTTTGAAAACTGTTCGTCTCGTTCGAAAATCCCTCTTAGCCATTCTGTTCCTTCGAACATCCAATCTACCCAATTACGAATGAACCGGCAGAGCCATTCTGCACCTCTCAAAACCCAATCTTCTCGTTCATCTGTTCCTCCACATAATCGACTATCACCAATGATTCCGCTGGAACATACTGCATCTCTCGAGACTCAATTATCTCGTCCATCGACTCCTCATTCTTATCCGGTTCCTGCAAATAATCAATCCATACGCTCGTATGCTTCTTCGAACAGAGTATCGCCTTCGCAAAGCGCACAAAATCCTCGCATCTTCAGTAACGTCCATCAGTCCAATCCCTCTACGGTGCTGCAGTCTGTATCTCGCATGGGCCCGCCTAGCACCGTTGTATATCACACGCCTGTTCCAGTGTCCTCTTCCAGCGATGTACATATAGCGGCGCAAGTCCACGACGTACAGATTGATGACAAGAAGCCTATCCAAGGACCAGCTCCACCAACTCCTCCTCAGTTGGATATATCGCTTAGTTCCGATCAGGAACAGTATCCGACGTTACCATCCCCCCCTCTTATTCGAACACTACTAAAACGCGCGCCGAGTATCAATGAGGGTGTCTCTTTAAGTCCTTCCAAGCGTATGCGTCTAGATAGAAAAGAACCGACGGCTCTCGTTCACTCCGCTAAGGCCCCTACCGTGCCACGGGGTGTTGAACCCATGGTCCAGGATGTTGTACCTTCGCCTCATTTGAATCAACTGGTAGCTGGGAACATAATTTTCCAATCCCCAAATTTGGGGTTTGCTGGAATCACAGAGAAGGATCAGCTGGTCTCTCCTTTGAATGCCCTTGCATTGGTTGAGCCTCACCTAGAAAACGTGGAGGACCCACAAAGCAACTTGATGTCGGATAATCCTTCTGGCACAATGATTTCAAACGTAGGAAGTTGTCAAACGGTCAACAATGGGGAAGCAGAGGGGTCAGAAGTCAATGAAGCGGGAAGGGATAAAGAGGGTAAAGAGGATGGGGACGAAGATGAGGATGAGACGAGTTGTGCAGAGAAGGAAGCACTGGGAGAGGTTTTAAAATTAGAACATTCAGGCAACATATGCAAGTTGTGTCGGTGAGTTGTCCCTGAATCATCTGTATATATATATGCCCAATGTGCCCTTTGCTGACTACACCATAGTTCACGGCATGACAGGTACCCAGACAAGTATACTGACGCTGCATTTGATCGCGATACTCCCACCTCGGTACTTGTCAGCCACTTTACCACTGTGCATCCAGCAGCATGGAGTCGACTTCGCGGCTCTTCAGTCCCAACGTTGACTCCGACCGCCGCCTGATTTCTCTCGCGACCAAGAGTATTGTGCTTTTTCAAACATGCATTAGACTCGCTCGTTTCCCCATTCCATGTTAGATTTTGCATGTTCGTTTCCTCCTTCGACTGGAAATATCACAATTCTTCTTGAATCAACAATTTTTGGGTTCATATTAAGGAATATATTTTTTTTTTGAACTCTTCATTAACCGCAAGTAAGTAAGGCTATAGTACTAAGGCGCGGGAAGGTGCGACGGCCAGTTGTTTGGTCATCGTCCACCTCCATTCCTCATGTCCTGGTCATGGTATGGGTCTATGTGGGTTGGTATAGTCATATGGATGTGTAGTGTGTATGTAATTGGGGAAGATGTTGTGTGCTCGACCATATGTGTATAGGTCTTGAGATATAAGGATAAATAATTAGTATGCTCCACCCATAGCTGGGTTTTGCATGTCACAATGATTAGGGCTCGGTCCCTTCGTCGGTGGACTCAATTGTCTCTTCACGCCAGTCGGCCTCCAAAGTTACGTTTTCTTCTTCCATTTCATGAGATGTGATTTCCTCCCAGATCCCCAGTGGCGTATAGCTGGGCTCAGTGGGTGTTGTTCGAGGTCTACCTGTCCTGGTGAATGCTCCGCTATCGTCAAGGAACTCAGTTAGGGTTTCAATGCCCTCGCTCATTCCCAGTATGTCCTTCAGGCAGATGTCTTCAGAAGCCTTTTGCAGCTATATGTGTTCACAAGTCTGCAATTCTTCGCCACATGGGCAGTTAACATTCTCATTAGGTACAAACTGTGAGTAGTACTCACCTATGTATGCATGTCCTGTCCGACTCGGACATTGCATCAGACGTCCAAATAATTCTCTTGGTGTGTCTTTCAGTCGTGCTGTGGGCTTGAGAGAGGGTGGGATTTGGTTGGCAATCGCAAAACGACCTTGAACAGGCCGTGCTTCCCACAACTTTTTCCATTCCCTTTCAGCCCGTACCTTGTTCATCCGTCGGGCATTGGAGAGTGATCTATTCCACACCGCCTCATTTTTCTGTTCCGTTCCTGCCTTTAGCAAGGAAGTCTGCGTGCTCATTTCCCTGGATGCCTAGATGACTGGGTACCCATGCTACTTCCACTGTGTGTGATGGGTCAGAGTCCAGGAAATCCACTACTTTGTAGTAGAAATTAGAGCAGTATATTTGCCCTGGTGTGGGTGACGTATTAGACTCGAAACAGTCTGCTGCTGAGAAGCGAGCGATATGCGGAATCACTTTCTCGGCAGAGAGACTGGAACTTAATCCGGCACTTTTGGCAGGTCGGGTTTTTATCACGTCCTTCTTTTGACTTCAACAAAATTTCGAAAATAGGTGTGTCCTCAACATCAGTATTAGAAAAATGTAAATAGAGAGAAAGTCGACGTCGGACTGCGTTCGCCGCCCTTCTGCAATCCAGACCCACTCTCGATAGAGATAACGATAACATCGACTCCATTATTCAGCGTTGCCTTTAATTCTTGTAGGGACGATGAGACTGTAGACGGATGCAAGGGTAGCCGGAGTGGCGGAAAGAGCGGATACGCTGGTGTGAAAATGAACATCGAAGTCCAAGCTGTCTTCATCATCTTTTAATCCGAGTTGGAACCGTAATCCAACACGAGACTTGACGCGTTACTCTGGAGGACAGGCGGAGGGGGTTGTGGTACGGGTGAAGTCGCAGAGGACTGAGGGTCCGTATTACGCCGCGTTCGAGCCTTTAGCTGAACGCTAATCATTCTCTGTTTACCTCGATGAGGAAGTGGATCACTGGAGTAATAAACTCTCTCGGAAGAATCGAGTATATCTAAACCATCAGAGATAACATGCTTGTCCTCGACGGAGAACAAGATAGAGGGATTGATGGATGGTGGCGTTGCTACCTGGGTCTGGGGGCATGGACGTATGCTTTTGTTGACCAAATTGAATCGCAGGGTGGTCGGGAGTAGAAATTTCAATCCCTGCTCTGGAACTACGGCTAAGCCCAGAATAAAGGCCAGGCTCCATTCCAGAATTCAGTTGATCACCGGCCTCTGGGATCCCAAGGCTAGGAATTAACCACTCCCCAACGTCAACTCCTCTATGATCGCCATGGACGCTGGAATTGCGGTTGGTTATTTCGTGACCAATCCCTACGTCACGTCTTGGCATATTCAGGAAACCATTCAAAGATCCGTTTGACTGAGGTTGAGGTAAAGTATTACCCGTAGCAATGGTCTATGTAGCAGTAAGGAGTCCGGAGTCGAAAAGTCGAGGGAAACGATGACATACCTGACCAGGACGCTGCAGCTGCAACATTTCAATGTCGTCTTTCGCCTGCTGAGGATCGTTCTGCAATAACACCAAAAATTTCTCAGCAGCCATCACAATGCGTGTCTGGTTCGTCATGACCTCTCTGTCCGATGGTGGCCTCTGCTTCTACTCCCGATTCTGCGCCATCTCCAAGAAAAGGATTGCCGACGACCGCAATAGGTGGAGGGGAAGTCAATCCAGGTATGTGCGCATTAGTTTGCGTAGAGGTCTGGACGTAAGCGTGAGGAGAGTAAAACTGGTGAATATGTCCGTTTTGATTCCCTTGTGAGCTTGGGATCTTGACAAGGTTATTAGAAACCTGAGGACCTCCGAATCTCATACTAAGACCTGAGGCTGAAACAGCCGACGTACGCAAAAACAATTCATGTTGCCCAACACTATCTGGGATAAGATGATTTCGCGAGCTTTATACAGAATTTGAGCATGGTACGCGTCCTGATGAGTATGTGAAACATGTCCATGATACCGAGTCGTACTGGAATTGGCGAGCACAGTGGAAGGACGAGGTTTCGCAGGACGACCTCGTTTAACGTGAGGTTTGACTCCATCGTCGAAAGCCTTTCGTTTCCCGAGCGCCTTCTCCGATAAACCAGGGGGATTCAGCAATCTTGCATCAGGTTGAATTGAGGATTGCTAAGCCTTTACTGGGAGTGAATGACACTCGACAGAATTACGAGGTTCTGGTTGAGAATAGCTTTTTCGCAAGGACTGAGCCGATAACGAGGAGGAGGACACTGACTGGGTCGAGATTGGTTCGGAGAAAGAGATTGGCACCGAGACTGACGGGTAAGACGCAGACGACGTGGAGAGGGATTCGTAAGTACTTCCAGAGTCAGCATATTGAGCTACAACATTTGGGGAGCTAGAAGGTTTTTTCCGGAATTTGATATCTTTCAAGAAAAGATGACTTTGGGGGTCCTGCGAAAACTGATGAGAGCGCTCTCCGGGGAATTCCATGTGGTTGAGTTGTTGGTTTCGAGTTTGGGCTTGTAAGAGGCATGGCAATCTTCCCAGTGTCGACGGAAGGATATGACGACGACGCTTGCACTTTATGAACCTCTGACAGGTCCAGGTACGGAAGATCATCTTCATCGTCTGTCTCATCTCCAGGAAACTCTGCATCCGAGTTTTGAACAATCCAATACCCTGCCAAAGTTTCAGGAGGAAAAATGGAGGCAAACATACGCTCTACCCACCCTGAATTTCTTTTTGAAAAGGATAACATCCTATCCTTCCGCTTCCAATTCTTGGATTTCGCCTTGTCGATGGTTCTTCGCTCCAATATGACGCGTATCAGAATTCTTGACCAGCAACATCCGATGGTCACGCCTTTTCTGTTTAGAGGAGGAATTGGGTATGGTGGACTCGTGCGCATTCTTCAACCAACTCGCCCCGAAAATGAAATCCATGTGCCTGCTACAAAGAGCCGCACGTAACTATCACCGTCCTCGCGCGTCTTGTCAGTTGGCATTATGTTGCCTGGGATATAGAAAATCTTCGTCGTCGTCGAGTTTTGACTGACCACTATGGAGACAGAACTGTTGCCAGACGAATCACGATGGCGCCGCGACGGTAGATGGGTTCAACTTGGCCTTTTTGCGAGGCAGGTGAACACCGTCAAATAGAGTCTGGACTTTGTTTCTGTTTACGACGAACGACAGGTCGAGGTTTGTCTATGAATGCCCCAATGTAGTTGTCCTCTGCGTTATGTATCATGGAAGCGTTCAAAGCATCCTGAAGGTTTGTGTACTGCATTGTAGTATTGTTTTGATGATGATGATGGAAGCGCAGAAATAGAGGGAGCAGAAACGTTTGGCCTAGGAGGTGCTTTCTTGTGATGCGACCCGAATGGTGGAGGCGATGGGGAATCCTGGAATAGGACAGATGGAGAGCTGAACTTAGTAATCTTTTCCAGGACTTTCGGATGTGGTTTTAAATAATGGGCATGAGTGGTGTCTCTAGGAAGAAGAGAGGCTTGGATATGGGAGAGAAAGATGTGAGTGTGCCGGTACCATGGTAGGATTCGGGGTCAAAATTTTCGCCTGGTTCTTGTTGATGGTAGTCTGCTGTCGCAGGGGCGAGTGCGTGCTAGTTGATGATTTGGCGGACTCTCTAGGGGAGAAAAGAGAAGCACCCATCCAATGAAGATGATGGCGAATGGGGAGAGATGGACTCCCGACGAGGAGAAGTAGAGAGACTACTGTTGATGCTTTCAGACATATTCGTAGCTTAGATGTAGGATGAATGATTCAATGGACAATAAAGCAATAAAGGTCATGACAGTGGTAGAACTCACTACAGCCGTCTCGGTATCGGCGTCTACACTTTCGGCCTCTTTATCAACCGCACCGAGATTCTAAAACAAATGAGATTAGCTACTCAGACACTCACAATGATATATGGAAGTCATACCGGAATATTTGCACATTTTTCTAACGCTGAAACGGCTCAGACGACAATACATCCTGATGAATTAGAAGCTGCTTCAAAGCGGCGACCTTTAAAGACGTGCATTCGGAAGTAGATTCATTCTGGGAGACAGATTGAGATGAATCACCCGGGGAAGACGTTTTGGACGCCGAACCTGGCCGAAACAAGCCCTCCACGCAAGACTTCCCTAACCCAAACGGTTTTGAATGCCCGATGGACCATCGAAACGCGCGGCAAGAAGCGAGAGAGATCGAGGCTGGGAACTGGGGGTGAATGCGCCAGATGATTGTTCGAATGCTTCCTCCATCACCTCATATAGCTGCTCGTCTTTCGTCTTCAAGCTTCGATCTAGTTTATCCAAGTCGGTAAAATCCACACTAACGTGACTGTGAATGAAGGACGCGACCGCCCTGCCAGTTTGAGTGGGCCAGAAATCCTTGAAAGTACCCTTGCACTTCGTAAAATCCTCCTTGTGATTCGGGTAATCACGCTTGACATTCTGCCAATGTCGGCCTGCTTGCTCAGATAGCCCTAACAGGTCCTAACGTGGAATTTCCCATTTAACCGGCGTTACAACATAGCATACGATTGGGGAATTCAATCACACTCAAATGAAATTCGAGTTGCTAGGATTTAAGATGTGTCTAGTAACCGTCTGAACACTCCCATTGTCTTCTCGGGCTCATCCCAATGCTTCTGATACATAGTATGATATATCAGCGTAAGCCTTCCCTGGAAATCAAGAATCACTCACGAAATGGTTCACGCCATTTATAATCATAAATCGTATGAACTTTCCCTTAAGGTCATCCAGACGAACGAGTAAGATTTATCCCCGATAACGTCCCATACCGTCACCATAGTCTACAGTGCAGATTGATCCGTAGTTATCAAAGCACGCCTCCAAGTAAGTCTTTCGGAGTTGATGTTGGAGGACCTTTGAAAAGTACAAATTAACCCGTGAGCGCGGGCTCTGCATGTACCATGGTTTTGTCAAAACAAGTAAACAATTTTAGAGCAGATTTGTGGCTCACCTAACATAATATGGGCACGTAGATACTGTCCAACACGATCTCGCATCCCGTTAGAGACCAACGAGGAGTTTACGTTCGCGATCGCCGAAAGGGAAAAAGTGACCCCAAAAGACCAGCCAACGATAGCCAGTCCACCTTTCCGGGTCTTCTCATCACCATCCACCTTCTGACTGTTGTCTTGAACCGGAGGAATTCTAGAACATTGAATAAAGCGTCGATGAACTGTAAAATCTCCAGGCCTCGGAGCTCTAGGATTTTTGTCTTGGCCTCGTCGGTAGCAGAAGCTTGAGGGCCATCGTCTTCGGTGAAAATGATTTCTCATCCTGAGTGAGCGGGGTTGAGCCAGAGAAACCTCGTCGGCCTGGCGCCATGTTGTATTGTGTGTTCAGAGGTGAGAGACGTTTGAGTGAGAAAAGAACCTGCTATTGATATCTATTGAAGAAATCACCCACCGTTGCTGAAAGAATGACCATGGATGAGGAAAACAGTTTTGTAGCTCGATACAGAGGAGCTGGGAGAGCCACTATCTAAATATGACAGAACGACATTGGAGGTGCAATTTAAACCAACACAAAAGACCATGCAAGAAGAAAACCCTTAGGTGCAGAAACGATCAGCGCTTGATAGCGTGAGAAGATTTCCGCGGGCGCGCCTATGTTGATTTAGGCCAGGCATTAATATCTCAATCCCGACTCAGTGTCACTCCTTATTGAGCACGAGCAGTGCGACGTAGAGTACCTCGATTTTATTCTTCTTCCTCTCTCACCTTACCCGTTATGAAGCATGAACAGTGCGCGATAACGCGGTTGCATACTCTCAGTCAATTACTCTCAAATCTAAACCTTTCTATATAAGGGCCCTCCACTGCGTCCGATGCTGAACTTACTTACACTCATACATGATACGCTCTTCTGCACAAATCCGGGCTGCGTTGGCCTTTCTCAATCATTCAAATTGGTGTGCACCCAGCCTCGAATGGTAAATGTGGATCAGTGCTCCGAATCGGTCGGATATAGGTGTGTGCACAATCTTATAGATTCACTCTCAAAAAGTTGCGAAGTTCTTCTCACTTCAGATCATATTCGCTCTCAAGTGGTGAAATCAAGCTGAACTCAACAATAGTGTTGACATGGGGCTGCTGGCTGGGTGCCAACGTGGTAGAAGAGCCAGAAGGAGATCGCAAGGTCGAACGGAGGGGTGGTCAGTAGCGACTCGCACGCCGCGAACGGTGATGTCTTCGTCATGAAAGCGGGGTATTTTGATAATGCGCTTCGGAGGGTCGAAGGAGCAGCTGTCGCGTTGAGATCATATGGTCAATCTCGACTTTCTCCTCGACCCTCTTGCTTCTTCCTGCTTCGCTCTTATCGTCGTAGTCTTCCCTCCTACTCCTCCCTGGTCAAACCTCCTTCCCCATCGAAATTCGGTGAACCGTCGAACCGCAACAACATACGAAGCCAGTGGTTGAAAAATGACAACAAAATGTCATTGGGGAGCTACGCTATCAGCTGGATTGTCTGGCGGTCGCTTCATATGGGCACGAAGAGTAGACGGCGGCAGAGGTCCGCCTCAAACAAACAAGTCGCAAAGACCTGGGCGCTTATTTCTTGACCTCCTTTTGACGGTAGAAGTGTTTACCAAGTTGAGTCGGGTGGAGTCCCGCTTACTTCAACTGTAAACCCGCTTTAGCGTCTGGCTAATTCGGGTTCAACTTGGTATTCTAATTCTTGTCAATTAGTAATGGCATCTGCTTATCTTCCAGTTTCGTGATGGGTCTACTTATCTTCCGTGCTTCCGTGGTGCGTTATGCGTCTTAATACTTCTCTCCTCTATTTTTACATTTTCCGACAGCCCTTTACTATGAATAAGGTCGTAATTGATGTTTTCAGTGGGATTTTGCCTCTGGATTACTTCCGTATGCCCAAGCGTACAGGCAGAACTGCTTATGGATGACAAAGAGGACTAGGATGGTGGACATCCTCATGTTCAAGGCTTCAAGTGATTATGTAGCCTGGCTCTCCGTGGATCATCCGAACGTGAAGCCGATGCTTCCGGGAAATGGCTCGGTCCACCGAAACCGCTGCCAAAAGACTCTAGGTGCTAGACGTTAGGGATCGTTGGGTCGTTGGAAACGAACGCCCCAAGGGCCAGGGACCGACTCCATAACTGACATAGTACCTTTTATGTTCAGTGTGAAGGTGCGCTCCGACCGAAAATGAGACAAGATGCGGTTTTAATATACAGGGTCCTTGCGTAGATACGTCTTGGGGCTATCCGCCAACTCCGAACTAAAGCTGGCACTGTCGCTGCCAAACCTATCGATCAGGCGCACGACCAAATGGATGTTTGTGGTGATGCCCAACTGACGGCGACTCAGTGCTGGAGGACGACGAGCTCCACCTCGCCCTCTAAGCCCCCAGGAATAACACCTTTATGAACACTTGGGACGCAGGCACCTTCTCAACCACTATTCTCTTCTCTTCAGACTTGGGTCCACCTGTGCTGTTATACCCTTCTCCTACTCTCACGACGCGTATGAATTACGTCGAAGATCTCAGTCTTTCGTATCCTCATTTGCATTCAAACTCGAATTCAAATTCTCAAGATAACGATGGTGCTAGCCATTCCGATCCTCTAGCGCACTCAGCGTTCCTCAACCGACGATTGAGATTCCGCTTGATGAGTTATTGAGAGGGATGGATGGGTTTGACGGTATGGAAGGTATGGAGGGCTTGGACGGCGGAGACGACATGGATGGCCTCCTTAATCATTTGCACCTGGTGCGGTAGGTAGAGTGCGGTCCTGGAGACCTTGGTCTCCGTCTTTTTTCGCAACTCTATCCCAGAAGGGGTCAAGTGACACCACGACAAATACCACGGATACCTCGAGTTGTTCAACCAATTTACTCAAACTACGACAACGGCGTCGTCGTCGACTCCCCCGTTGTTCGGTACCACCTCCTTAGTTCCACCGTCCAAAAACCCCAACGCGAACGATTTCGATGGGGAAGATGAAAGCCAAGACGTAGAGATGTTCGATCATTCCTCTTCCGCTTATCACCCCTTGATCTTTGACGACAATCCCAATAACGAACATATCTCTTCGTTTGATTGTGACCTCAACTCTGCTGAACCTATCCAAGTTCCCATCCCAACTGTATCCGGAGACTCGTTGCGTGTGCTGTTTGGGGATCCTCCCAGTGGTCGTTCGGATGGCCGTTTATTAACTCCATTCGAGGAGGCTCTGAGTTTCAGTGGCCAGCAAGGTCGTTTGAGTCGGCTTAGCAGTCCCACTAGCCGCAGTAGCCATCACACCCATCTTTCCAACCACAAAGATGACGCAGGGTTCAGTGTGGACGTCGATGTTGAATCGGACAACTCAGACTCCGAGTCCGACTCTAGCGAGTCTGTCGAGTTGACGATGTCTTCCACGACCACGATGACGTTAAGCAGTGCTCAACACAGTACTGAGTTCGTTTATTCCGGTGCTGGCTCCGTAGGGGGAGTGAAAAAGAAACTCTGTGGTATCGAGCTTATGCCTATTAGCCCGCAGTCCATTGGCACCATGGTGACAACACCGTCTCCTGTCCCTGGTGCTGTGGATAGCTTTGCCTCAGGAAACGAGCTTCAACATCAATACAACCAGTATCAAAACTCGCCAACTTCTGTTTCTGAAGGTGCAACATCGGAGCGCCGCGGAGGTTCCGAGGCGTTTCAACCACAGTTACGGGTGAAGGAAGGATTCCGGAGGCCTATCAAAAGGATGCAAGGATAGAAGAAAACTTCCGTACATTCGAGGATGGATTTTCCTTTGAGAGTATTTTCCAGAGAGACTGGCGGGAGACGCGAGTGAGACCCAGCGTTGAAGGACTGCTGGGAGCAGAAGGGTTGAGGACAAGATTGGATGAGAATCTGCCTATGAATTTTGTTGCTCATGGGAGGAAAGGCTCGCCAGTGATGTCAAACTCAGGAGCTTCTCGTTCTTCTGCAATGTCGATGCGTCACAGCCCGGGGCACGGGGGTTGATTCGTCGGTCTAGCCCACCATCAACAATATAATCGTTGTGGATGCCATTCCTTCCATATCTGGAGGTTCATCTTCGCGTGGAAAGAGGAAAGCTGCTGTGGAAAGCGATGATGAAGTTGTTTTCGTGGAAGGTCCCAGTGCTGCACCGATGAAAGGGGGGAAGAAGGCCAAGCCAACGAAAACCCAGACCAAAAACGACAATGCATTATATCTCGGTATTAGACATGTATGATAGGGCATATCTAGTCGGCGCATAAGTATTATGTATGAATATGTAGTACAGGCCAACAACACGATACATATATATGTAGACAGTAGGATTGAGAAGTTATTGCAGACAATTCCCGAACGACTGTATCCCCAATTATCCAGGGTCCCTTAGTTTTGGTGGCAGTGCTAATAAGTAGGCGCCTATTCCAAAATAGGGAACTTGTGACATGTACATTTCGTGTTTGTCACACTCATTCTGTCTTCAATTAAGCCATTCTTTCCGTTTCATTTCGCCAGGAATACTGATGGCACCTTCCTCGGATATCGATATCGACCCAGCTTCCGAAGAGGTTCTGCTTACATTTTATCGTCGACTATATCCTTTCAAGCAACTATTCAAATGGTTGAATCGCGGGCCAGAAAGAGCAGAGAAAGAGTCACGTCTTTTTCCGTATCGAGAATTCGCCTTCACTCTGCGCAACGACGCTTATCTTCGTTACAACTCGTATTCGAGCGACGTCGAGATGAAGAAGCATGTGTGTCTTCTTACTCCATCGCGTTTTGAGATAGGGCCTGTTTATTCCGTTCAGGTGCGTTGTTCAGTTTTGATTGTCTTACCTTTGCTAATCTAACTTCGCACTCAGCCAAAGGACAAGAAGACCGTTCGTCCCACTCACTTTAGAGCGGAAAAGCGCGAAGTAGTCTTTGATATAGATATGACGGATTACGATCCGATTCGAACATGCTGCTCTGAGGCTAATATCTGCAAACGATGTTGGGGGTTTATTGCCATTGCCGTGGAGGTCCTAGACACAGCTATTCGTGACCAATTTGGATACACTAAATTGCTCTGGGTATACTCTGGTCGACGAGGTATCCATTTATGGATATCGGACAAGGAGGCATTCGAGTTGAACGACGATCAACGAAAGGCCATGGTGGAATACTTGACGGTCATAAAAAATGGGAAGGAACCTGGAAAGAGAGTCAACGTGCGCTTTGGCAGGAAGGATCTACCACCTACATTGAAGTATGTCGTTGCTTCAGCCGTCGTTGTTGTGAGATTGAAGCTTTTTGCACTCAGAGAGGCCTGCCAGGCTATCAACCAAAATTTTGATAATCTTATCCTTCAAGACCAAGACTGTTTTGGCTCTCAGGAAGGATACGAAACTCTTCTCTCCCTCATACCTGATGCCAAGTTGGCTTCGCGACTTCGTGAAAAATGGTCACAAAAGCCGGATAGTCCGTCGTATATAAAATGGGACGAGATGAGAACGGAGATATTGGCGTTGAAAGACAAGCATGCAAGAGTATATGTATCTTTCTATTTGCAATATCACCCGGTTCTTATACTCTTTTCACCAGCGAAACATGAGATATGCCATGGAAGACATTCTTCTACAATATGCTTATCCTAGACTGGATGCTGAAGTTTCGAAGCATCGCAATCATTTGTTGAAGGCCCCGTTCTGTATACATCCCAAAACTGGACGAATATGTGTTCCTATTGACCCTAATCGGATTAGGGAGTTTGATCCCGCAACGGTGCCCACAGTAGGTCAACTATTGGCCGAGCTGGATACGGCGCGCTCGGATACTTCTGGCGGGGAACGCAGAGATGGTTGACAATTTGATGCTCGTCCTCGTCATATCTTGTCATTGATATTGCCTTACTAGACTGGCAACGGACATCCCTCAAACCCTACATTGACATGTTCGAAGAATATGCGAACCATGTTCAAGAGAAGCAAACCAAAATTGGTAGGTTATATTTTAGTACTCGGCCATTCCTCGTTAATATTCTGTCAGATTTATCTTGGTGATGACAGAAATGAGCAAATATTCACGCATTCTGAACCTGGTGTACCTAGATTAACTCACTGTGCGTCTAATGTATTTGAATGTACGTTGTCAATGCTTAGTAGGCAGATCCTCCACAAATACTGACCACCTGCATCACAATGATTCTCAATTAGCTTGGATTGGTGGAGCTCAGATCTAGTTGGAAGAACCAAAAAGCAGTCTATACAAAGTACAAGCTTTTACGAGCTCGCTATTTACAAAAAAACGCAGGCTTTAATTATTTCCAAACCTATATCCCTTCTGCTAACCTACATAACTTCTCGAGATTTGGCAGAGAAACGAATATGAGAAACGAAGGTAACGACTAGAGAAATGTATGCCCAGAGAAAAAAAGACAGGACTCTAAGATTTATTCAAGGATCACGATCATGATGGCGGGCTGAAAGGAAGGACTTAGAATACTTCGACTACCATGTACAAAGAATGAACATACACTGGAGCAACAGATGTAGCGGGCCCTGTGAAAGCATTGTAATGAGTATGTAACAGTCAATTCTGCAACAGAACTTTCCACTCACCCGGAAGAGCAGTAAGGACGACCCAAGACAACCAAGATGAGAAACGGAACAGAGGTGAGAGATCAACATCCTGTTCCGGAAGCAAAAATGTTACCGGAGACGCCTCATTTTGACTGACCGTCCAAGCTGCCAAGACTATCGTGTGCGACGCACTGAAACAGCGGGTTAAATGCAAGTAACAATTGATCAGGGATTCGAGCAGCCGTTCGACTACCTTGTTCTGGCTGGGTAGGGTTAATGATCCTAATGAGTTTTCCATCCATGTTTTCTTCTTCTGAGCCGTCGCTATCATTTCCGTCCTCCATGTCAACATCTGTGACTTGCGTAGGCGTGGCGGATCCTTCTACAGACGAAGGTCCCGCTTCTGTGGTATCTTGCCCACCACCGAGCTCACACGTGCATATATATTTTTTCTGAGCGCTATTGCGCTGACATCGCCCCCACATAGCGACCCTCTTCTGGCCTCATGAACAGCGAGACGAAGTGCAACACTCCTAGATGGAATCCGCGAAATAGGTCTATCAATTTGGGGAAACGGATCCTCTTGCGAAACTGCGAAAATACTGTAAGGAGGTGAAACTCTCGAAATGTAAAAGACGGTATAATTCTCTGATTTATAATTAGTAGTATCCGAGTCAAACATATCATCAAAGACTATCATATTCTCGATGTAAATATGTACATATTTGCAATATAAGAGATCGAATTATTATTGTCGTACAGTTTCAAAATGAAGAAGCCATAAAGGTGAGACCTAGCTGTGCCGTTACTTTTTGGATGGACTCCCGGCATTATCGACTTTGGATGTTTTGATTAAGTTCAATATGGGCTCAAACCCTACAGGCATGTTCTCCAAACGTCTGTCGGCTGACTCTCGTAACTGGCTGCTGAGATTGTCAAAAGTCTCATTCACAGTTGCTTGTGAAAGTTTGTTCTGCGCGTATTCAGATCTGGTTTGGAGAAGGAGGCGGTTCAAGACATTTAAGTGAGTGTGCTCTGCGATATCACATCGAATCTTCGCAGACAGTTGGGATTTGAGTTCTATGGGGTTTGTCGCATCAATGAAAAAGTCTGGGGTTGTGATGGGCTCACCTTCAAGCTCCCTATGTAGACGTTCGTTCTCTTGCTTGGTATAAGTCTTCTCATTCACTTTGAACTGGTCTACAGGGCTTTTTACATCCACGAAGTCCTTGATACTACTGTCCGCACCATTCAGCTCATTGATACTGTTGGCTCTCTGTTGGTTATCTTGCTCAGCTGGCGTAAGCGTAGTCTTGACCTTTGCATTTAGGTTATGACTTTCCGACACCTGATGTGGAATCTCCTCTTCTTTATGGTTGCTGTCGTGGTTTGGTTCCGTTTCGTGCATCTCGGTAGTAGCAGGAATGATGTCAGCCTACACACGATGTCAGTTCTGCCTAAAATGATGAATGATTATATATTCACATCATTTTGAACGTCGTCCGCTTCATTTTCAACCCCTTGTGATGCCAAAGCAAGTCTTTGACGGCGCTGTTCTCGGTTACGTACAAGACATGGAGCACAAGTTTTGTAGCGGTACCCAGGAGGGAGGATAGTAGTACCACATCGTCCGCACAAAGTAGAAGAACGACTTTGGTGACCGATATTCCTACAGGCCAAGCAGCTCGTAAAGCCAGCGTTGCGAGGAATATAGGCACCACAACCACCGGCGCAAACAACGTTCATGCGGCGCTCATGATAGGTCCTGCGACAAGCCTGACATTTTTTGTAACTTTGATCGAGAGGAATAGGGTTGTTACAGCCCTTATTGACACAGAATCGGACCTTCAACGTGTTATTCTGGTGACCGTGATGCCTCTTGCTCCTCCTAATCCTTTCTCCATGATCAGTAGGCAGATTGTCATTCGGCGCGCTACTGTTATCTTGGGCTTGGGGATCATTTCGAGAAGTTTGAAGATCAGGAGGACACGGCTGGGAGGATTTGCACAAATCAGACAACACAGCTTCACTGCACGTATATAGAGCTCCTCCGCTCTGCATCGCAGGGCAATCAAGATTTGTGATTGGAGAAGTCGACATATTCTGGTTACTCTATTACAGTGTTCAGGCTTAATCTATGGGAAATAAGAAAACAAATATACCTTCTCCACCATTGCAAAAAGTTATGTTTCCAGGTCCAAGGCTAAGTACGGAGGAAGATAGCGAAGACTCAGAGTTGGAAGCAAGCCACAGTACGGCATCATCCGAATTTGGGATAAGTACTCACGGTTCCGCTACGGGCCGCACGATTTTTGAAAGTTCGACAACAAAGTTGAGATATCTACATCTGCCAAGCCAAAGCTCGAGATTGTGTAAAACTGTAAACATGTTCCGTAACAAAATCATGGAACAGGTAGGCGTTCGACGGCAAAGGCAATCCTACTTTTGGGTCCCTTGATCCTCTCGCAAGATTCTTGACAACGTCGTCTCGAACTGAATTATGTAACCTTCGGACAGGGATAGAAAGTCAATGCAGATGTATCAATTTGATTCGAGATCTCCTCGAAAGACCTGCTGTACCATATATACTGGATGACAGATTGTGTCAATGAATGACAGGGAGTAATACATACAGCTATCTGGATTCTGGTCCAAATCCTCGACATTCAACGGAGGCACCACATCGCGCGTCAAAAGTCTTGCAGTACGGATACTGAGTACATGGCCCTTTTCATGTACGAGTGAGCTCAAATACAAGGAGTTACGATTCAGTTTATGCACGAAGTTGTTAATCAATCGCCGTGGGTGTGCCTGCCGGGGCGAAGAAAATCGCGATCGGCCATTTGGTCTTATTTTCTTGTCGAACGCGTTTATAATGATCACCTCTCGCTGTGTGCTTGAGCGCAGTTCCAACAGCCGAAGTGTCAAATCTGTGAGTTTTCCATGTCTAGCTTATGTAGTGATGCAGACTTAACCACTTCCACTTCTACTGCGTGTTGAGTAATCGAATTCCTGTCTTCGAGAGTGCTACATTCCTGATTCCACTGCTCTGACCTAGGGGACTGTTGGTGGTCTGTAGGCTAATGGAATGTCCGTAGGAATTCAAATTACAAGTCCCGGTGAGTTGAGCAATCCAACTTCGTATCGTCTTCCTTGTTCATTCTTCTTCAGATTTTGACGATGAGGACTATGGCTCTTCTACAATACCGTTTGGACGCTCCGCTTGCAATGTATTTGGAGCAAACTCTTCCGGGTTCGGCAGTGCAGGAGGTTTTGGAGGAACCAGCTCTGCGCCAGATTCGCCTACTTCAATAACACCATTAGCTTCTGCGTTAGATGGAACTGAAAGAAGCTTTTTCAGCTCTCCCAACAGAGGCGATTCCATCACCTCTATTGAGTCGGTTGGTTTTGGCTCTACACGTTTCCCCAATTATCCCCGGTCAGCTACCTCTTTCAGCACCTTTACTCACTCTGCTCAGCCATCGGTAACAGCGTCCAGTGCAGGCTTCAGTAAAAAATCCTCCTTTGCCTCCTTTCGCAATGCCTTTAAAAGCGGGGAGTCCAACGAACTTCCGCCAGTTCCTCAGCTCGATCATTGCGTGTTCAAGAACCCCTTCAACAGATCCACGTCGCCTTTGAACAGCTCCTCTATTGGAGTCACTGCAAAAGGGACCATCACCACTAGTCCGCCTTTTGGTCGACCACCTACTCCTGGTTCCGTCGATACGAGATACGGTCGCGCCAAAAAGAGTCATGCTCAAGCTAAATCGTTTCATTCCCAGTCCGGTTCCATCTTCCACGCATCTGATGGTGGTAGTGAAGGCCATGGTATATCCTCGTCCCCTCCTCCTGTACCTCGTGTGCCGTATATCCGCAGTGAAACTCCGGACTTTGAAGACGATAAGGTCGTCATGGACCCCAAAACACTATCGGATTATGCATTGCACGCTGTCTTTATACGGTTTGCCTCTTCTCCCGAATCCAAGATTGACGCATTTTTGCGGCAACCACTTGAACAAGATCCGCTTCTTCCTGAGCTTATAGGGCCTGACGTCGACCCCAAATTGGACGAGACACTTCTTTCGCTCGGGCAAATAGCGCAAAAGCATACAAAGCCGGTCATTAACTCTATTCTTCGGTGGAGGCGAAGTCAAGTGGAAAACGTAGGCTCAGACGTGATTCGGTACCATATGTCACATTCGCCAACGGGAACAGCACGCGTTATACGAACGCACGACGTACCCGCGCTCTTGAATGAACGCAAAAATCTCGCTGCTATCTACATCATGTGTCGCGCACTCGACGCAGTGGTAAAGACACTTTCAAAAGACGCAATCGGCGAGAATTTAGGATACTCGCTAGAGAAACCGACCTTCGATCAGTTTCAAAAGCCTGAGTTGAAACTCCTCATGCAGAGCACAAATCATCGGACAAATTCAGAGCTTTCTGCTGCATTGTTAGGACATCTGGCTAATATCAGGTACGTCGTAGCCCTCATCGTAAATCAGAGGACTATGTCTCATATTCTGTACAGGTTTGTCAGTGTAACAGATCGTTTCCTAGCGGAACTTGCTCCAGTTACTCGAGGGCAGGTACCTAAGGACCTTGACATGAAATATGAGAACCTTATAAACAGTATCAGACACATCCAAATCAAGGTGCATCAAATCCGAAATCCGACGTACGCAATTCTTTGTTCACCGATTATTACCCTTAGTTTTGGCCTTCGGAAGCTTTTGAAGAGGGAGCAGAGTTCATGGAGTCGTTATCCAAAGCTTTCATGCAGGCACATGGATTTCGACTCAAGACCGCTTTCGCTGAAACTTTGATTCACCTTTTGCACCCTATAGGAAAGGTTCGCATGTTTGGCTTATTTTTTCGTTCAAATTTCAACGTTCACGTCAGACTGCTCAAGCTGAAACCAACTTTCCATTATGGGGCAAGGCTATTGAACTTATTTATCCTAAAGCTCGTGATATGGCAGCCAAACCACGGTATTGGAACGTCGCCTTTCCGTTAATGATTACCAGCCTCTGTGTCGCTCCGCAAGATTTCTACCGAAAACATTGGGTTGCTTGCTTTGAGGTTTCAATCCCCAAATTGAAGGTATCCACTTACTTCATGTGTATCTACCACCGCTAATTCGCTGCAGGAAAAATCTCTGCGTATACCGGTTCTCAATGGGATGATGCGCCTCATTTGGACTTATCTATATCGTTGCCAAGAATCCCCTTCGACTACCACGACCAAATTGGAAAACCTGTTGAAGCACTTTTTCCCACCGAATAGGACCACCATCTATGCAAACGAAGATCATCTCGAGCCCTTTATCTATATCGTTCGTTTCGTTCTTTCGCGGCATTTTGAATTCGGAAGAGACTTATGTTTGGAGCTTATACAAGAATCGTCCATCAATTCGGGTTATCAGACTAAAGGAAGAAGTCTTGCTCATACCTTCGCATCCGAACGGACATCGATTGCCACTCAAGCTATTCTAATGACATTGCATGGCATGGAAAGGGACTCTTCAACACCCAGCTGGCCGACCACTGTTGACTTTTTTGAACCTTCTTGTTGGTCCGACTATCCTACTTCGTCCGATATCCTCCCCGCGTCCATCTTATTGCGTCCCGGAATGCAAGACTTTTTTGATAGATATGGTTCCGCGCTTGCCAATATTGCTAGTGCGTGTGGGAACGGTGTTGGTCGAATGTCGATGTTCGACGAACAATGGTCCTGGGCACGTTTGAACCCTTCTTACGAAGAGTCGCACAATTATATTAGGCGAAAACGCCTCGAGGTTGGAAACGTAGGGTATCCGACGAATTTGATATCCCAAATCAACCTCTTGCAGACTTGCTTCATGTCATGGCCGAGGTGTCTCCATCCTTCCTTGCCTGTAACCGAAGCCGTTGACATGCTTTTGCGAGGCGTAGTCCATGTGGAACCATCCATTGGGGATGTTGCATGGGAAGCACTCCGACGCTTTTTATCGGACCCTTCCCATTCTCTGTCAGTCGTCGCGCAGTTTACGCAATTACTTTTCAATCCGTCGAGATTATCACAAGAAGGCTATGGAACGTGAATGCTGTTTGAATCCCAGCAACTCCTTGACCTCTGGCTGAATGCCGTAGAAAGTTGGATTGGAAGATTGACGCATCATTCCCCTCATGAGCTAGCACAGGAGGAAGACATAATCACACCTCGCTGTCTTGAGATCGAGGCTGGTGCAATGTTCCTTTTGTCACAGTAAAGCTACGCATTCGTCTCGCAGATGTAAAGGTGGTTAGGATACTAGGAAGTTTGATGTATCACTTGTCTCCGGAGCCTTCCGGTCCCACAGAATCTGCGCCTTCTTCATCTTTCGTGGCTTTACTGCATGGTAGGGGAGGCTGCTAAATGGGTTTGACGAGTTCCTTGATAAAGCTGAGCTTGCTAGATTACAGTATCGGCGAAACTTGTAGTGCAAGGAACCCCAAGTGGAACTACTGATAGCAGAGAGCGAAGACGAGAGGGACCCTAAAATTTGTACAGGCTTGCATGCATATAAATGCTCAAAACCTAGTCATGTTCAGAGACGTCTTGGTTGCTGCTGGAACACGGTATCATGCAACTATGACCCAATTGGCCGGTCTCAATTCGAAGTTGTCCGGTAGTCGCTCGCCGATGGCATATGACGGGCCACGACTAGTGGAAGAAAATATGCAATTGATAGAGCAATGGCACATCTGGGTGAAAATTCTATGCGCCACCGCGATTTCTCCGGAAGTTGCGCGACCAGTTTTGACGCAGCTTGCCCGCGAGCACTCTCGTGTACCATCAGACACAAGTTTTGAACATGAACGACTAAATACAAGTCGTGGGCTTTTCCGGTATCTCACTCCCTTCCTCGACTCCGAATTCACTCCTTTCTGTGATGCGGCTGTTCTCTGTATTAGCTCTTTTCCTCCTGAGGCCTATCCTCAATTACTCGAGGACTTGAGTCTATTAGCAGGACGTCAATTCTATGACGACCCCAGATTCAAAATGGGTCTTTCTTTGTCCAGACGGGCTATTGTCTACGCGCCAACCCCATGATGATACTCGCTCGAAAGTCAATGCGATATCATTTGAGCGTATTCGGCGACAAGAACGCCTTCATTCTGCGGTTGCAAAGATCTATTATATCACTGCTCGTTTCCTCCAATATCAACGATCTGCGGGAAGACAAGGTGCTCTCGCCAACGTTCTGAAATTCGTCCGTAACACACAAACTTTTCTTACATCACCAGAGATGCGTGAGAAATTCACGTTACAGCGGCTCCGACGCTACTTTTGTGGAATAGTTGAGCGTCTTTTTGAAGGACCAGCGACACTCGAAGGCGCTGATCGTTTTATTCCGGCAAACATGCATCTCACATTATATCGTCTATGTGAGGAATGGTGTCATTTTAGACCTCAACCAGAACACGTAAAGCAACGTCTTTTGTCCATGAAGAAGGCTGCGGCTTCAAGTGTATCCGCTGATGGTGCAACATCTGCCGTAGAGCAACTTCAAGAGGAAACGCTGATGCTGTCTTATGCTTCTGTAGGGGCATTATCTATATTATGTGTATGTGCATTCATACTATTAGCAAGTTCCCATTCATGTTGTGTTGTACTTTATAGCAAAAGACCTTTTGTCCACCTGGTGTATCATCGGGATCCCCGTCCGTCCGTCATAGTCCAGATTATCTCAAGCCATTGACTCCGAGCAACGTCCTAGAGCGTCTAAGCGCTATTACGTCGTCCCACTTGCTCACGCAAGAACGAGGAAAGTCTTTTTTTACTTCTGAATCTGTTCGTGATTGAATGCATTGCGGTACAGAAAAGCCTTAAAGTCTCTACTGGCCTCAAATAATGCCGATAAGTCATTGTTGGACGAAGCAATGAAGCGAGCCGTCGTCACTATCGATCAATCTGATACCAACAACGGCCGATTCTTTGAAGTCATTTCTCAAGCAATCGCTTCTTCCGGAAACCGTGGTTTCACTTTTGCTCAAGCTGTATGTCTTGCCCTGTCAAATCTGTGCCACCCTCTCCCGGAGCCTAGACGAGAAGCCTTCAATTTGTTGGAAGCCATTCATCATCAGGCTTCGGAAATATTGACCATGTCCCAGTTTGAAGCGACCGTAAGCAGCTCAGCTTCGGGCGCCTATATTCATTCCCATCGACTCATGTCGGAATTCCTTGCTGGCGAACACCCCGATCATGCAATAACTGTGCTTGCTCAAATGGATACATGGTTGGCCGCGTTTCCCACCACCTCCGCTTTCAGTATGGTCACTTTGTTGTTATTACAAAATCTGGAATTTTGGATACCTCACATACAACTCATGAAAGATGATAACCGTTCACTATCTCAGGAAGCTTATACTGCGCTTTACCATCTCATGGCTTTGACCTTGCGCGTTATGGACAAAGTCATCCAGAGCAGATATCAATGCTATGGACACGTCTTGTTGAACCACCCAATCAATCCAACGGTCATGCTACGATGCGCTTTTTACTAAAACAATCGCATAAAGTTGGCAGTACGGTCTTCATAGATAGTGCCTCCGATACTGTGGCCTGTATATGTCAAGGTCCTTCGGGTTGCCAAATCTTCGAGGAGCTATGTTCTTTGATAGAGCCTGTACGGATGCTACCGACCCTTGAACACAAGCTTGCCTTTCCAGATGCGGTAGATATGGAGTTATGGTCTGACCTCGATGATTTATTCGTGGATGGGCGTCCGCGTCTATCTCTGGGTGCCGCTCAATTCGCTTGGTTGTTTCTGGCAGACGTCGCATTACCTCGCTATTGGGAATTAAGAGAACAATTGCCTTCTTTACTTCACGCACTTTTTACGCACATTGACAATCAGACTTCCTTTGTACGACTTCGGGCTCGTTATATGCTTTTCCGGTTGTTGCGAGCTTGGGCCCCTGGGTACGATGAAATTCCGGAACACGCGAACTTCCGTAGTCGGGCCATGCTGAGGAATGAGCTATTGGAAATGGAGACAGAAGCTGAAAAGATGTATTGGTCAGAAGAAGAGAATACTTCCGAATCTGAACCTAAGATGCATTTGTTCTGCTCTCGCGTCATTCAGTTCCTTGAACCGTTATGTCCCTCTCTAAGAGAGAAATGGGGAACCGTAGCTCTGGAATGGAGTACTTCCTGCTCCATCAGGTCTGTAGCATTCCGCTCACTGCAAATATTCCGCGCTCTCCTACCTCGTTTGAAGACTCGGCAGCTCGCTTTGATTATTGGACGACTATCGAATACTATCTCAGCCTCAGATGACGCCGTCAGGCTCTTTACCATTGAATTAATTTTGACAGGGCACGCCATCGTGTCATCCAACAACTTCGATATGTCACTACTACCTCGAATCTTCTGGTGTACCTGTGCAGCTCTGACCAACACTGTAGAACAAGAGTTTGCTGAAGCTTTGAAGTTGTTAGAAAGCTTACTTAAAATTCTAGACTTCGACGATCCATTCAGGACCCCGGAAGCTCCTACCAGACCCCATCCGAATTAGCGTACTTTAGGACCCAATTTTGCCATTTTCCTTGGCCGAAATTAGCGTACTTTAGGCCTCAGAAGGCTCAATCCCTGTCCGAGATAGCGTACTTTGGGTATCTATTGGCTGACTTGGTGGCCCAATGGACGTAGGTGGAGCTCTGGCACCAGAGTTTGGGTAAAGAAGCTCAGAAGAGCTCCGGATGCAGCGATAATAGTCAAAAAAAATGGACAGAAAGATGATTCCAGGCTTGGGGAAGAAAATTCGGTATTTTCAGAGCAATTTTTACGATTTCACGTGACATTCCTTATCCGAATTAGCGTACTTGAGGCCTGCTTGGGGCCAAAATCGTAGCGTACTTGAGGCCGCCTGGGCGGGTGGGGTTTGGCAGGAGCTTCCGGGGTCCTATCCATTCATTATAGAGCAATTACTTGCTCGTCGACCTTTAGAATGGACTAGATTCGCTTCTCTCCAACCCAACCTTCTCAATGGCCTTCGTTCCTCGGTCACAACCGCTCGGACTTTGAGAATCCTGCAGTCTCTATCAGAGTTCAAAGATGCAAGGATAATCGATTCATCTAATAGCCGCGTCCGTGACCTGTACACACTTTCTTTACCATGGTGTCTACACTCCATGATAACCGAGAAAACTGGAGGCGAAAAATCCACAGATGACGCGCTGCGTCGATTCGCTGAAAATATTGGTGATCTAGCTAAACAAGAAGGTCGTGTCAGTATACACAAAATCATGACTTCCTTCGCCAAAGGGCACTTCAGGACGAAGGATGACTTTCTTCGGCAGTCGGTTGCCAGTACCAGTCTTAGGGAGCATTACGGCGTCGAACATTGGACTGAGATCGTGACACTGCTGATGGGACTCGTTCTCAATCGGGAACGCTGGCTGCGCATCCAATCAATGCAGATCCTCAAAGTATTATTTCAGCAACGAGAGACCCGGAATCCAGTAGAACTGCTGGGCTCTGAGTTACTTATGCCGTTGTTGCGACTATTAGAGACTGATCTCGCGTCCCAGGCTCTGGATGTTCTGGAGGAACTCATGGCTATGTCTGGTGGTTTGGCAGCTAAACATGTGCTTCGTATGAGCATGCACAGCCGGACCCTCCCGAATTCTCAGGAGGTCGATTCCGTCGCCACTGTTTTTGGTGTACCCGAGGAGTCGGGTTGGTCTGTTGTGAAGGCAGACGAAATTCGAAATGCCTGCCGCTCCAACTTGATGGAAGTCTTCGATACCTGTTCGATGCCTACTCGGCCCTTACGAATCGAATTCGAACCAGAGGAAATCGAAGTCCTTGCTGAACTGTCTCGTGTAGAAGACCTTGGTGGTCTAGTGCAGAATTTTTCACGAACTCACAACATTTTTCCAGGACGATATCAAACTGGCATCTATGAATGGTGCAGTTCCCAACAGAAGACTGGAAGCTCGAGTAGCCGCGATTCTTGCGAAGTAGACCGCGCATGAGGAGACGGTGATGGATATTCCTTCCACACCATTTGTGGATGTCTTTCGTGTGGCGGGTATGTCATCTGATGAAGACTCGGACCAAAGTTCAGTCAATAGTGACGAGGAACTTGACGCTTTTTATTTTGATTCGCCCACTGTATATCGTTCTGACAGAAAATCTTAATAGCGCACAATAGCTTGTCTTTCATGGAACAAGATCGCTATCGACACTCGACAAGGGAGCGGGCTGCGGAAGGGACCCAAAATGACCCCCCTTTAACTGATCGCGAATGCCTTTCTCGGCTACCAATTCTCGAAATGCTGTAAGTGGCGCAAAGGTTTTCGCCTCATTTCACATCCTCTCACACCGACTTCCATCTTCACTCACGAATTCAACACTCCTATCTACATCTTGTTCCTGATGGCCCTTTCCTTTTTGTGTACGGCGCTCATATGAATCCCCAAACCGCATATCCTTCGATTACTGGCGACCCACCATATTCTCCGCGAAGTCAGTACGAATGTTTTTGCCAACAACCGACTTTCCTCGATTCTCGACACAAGAAAAGCATTTGAAAAACTGATGCGAAAGCAAGTTCTCAGTCTTCTTGAGATGAGGGCATGGTTCATTGGCCACTCCTATAGTCCGGAGACTAAGTACAGCGATACTAACGGTGTCTCAGCTTTCTTTGGGATGTGGTACGTTCCATGAGAACTTATCTATGGTCGTACAATGTACTGATCTCTTTTTCTAGCACGGGCGATTTGTTCAAATCTGCTGGATTACTCACAGAAACATACTACCTATCTCCGCAAAAACCCAAGAATGGACGAGAGCCGACAAGGGCACCGTTCAACCACACGTTTAGCTGCAAACGTGCTGGGTTCTTTGGCTGGCTCGAGGGTGATGGCATCGAAGGGAAACAAGTCAACGGGCTTGGCCGAGGCGTAGATCACCTTCCCGGAGTGGTGATTCTAGGACACGGGAGTATAAATCACAAACGGGGAACCTCGAGCATCGGGAAGGCTGCCGACATGTTTAGCGGCAAGGGTAGCCCCACCAACAATCCCCGCGATCCTCTCGCGAATCCAAATTGCTTTAGATTGGAGAGATTTGGGAAGGCCATGAGTAGTACGAAATCATGGGAGGCTTCAGGTGCTGTTCTGAACGGTGCAACTTATTTGCTTATCTCTTTGTGAATGAAAATTGACTAATGCATCGGATCCTTTCAGGTTTTGACTGGCAATCACCAAAGGAGAGCGCTGTCAATAGGTAGATAACATACGAATGACCGAGTCTGTCATAAGGCTAAAGAGGCGGTCTCAAACGCAGCACTCGTTTTGCCGGAGCTCAAGGGTTTAGGCATTCTGTGCGGAGATCAATCTGGTACACAACGTTCTGCGCATAAACACTCTGCCACTGTCTCTTTCAAGTTTACCATCCCAGGTCATCCGACCCCAGAGGATGCGGCCTTCTGTGACCCGTTCCGCACCAGGACGATCCAAGTCAAAACAGGTTATGCCTCCATATCGGGTCAAAGGACTACCTACGGAGGTAAGGAAATTACGCAGGAGTGTATCTTCATGAAATTGATCGATCGTATCCTTATCTTCCTGTCGTTTTTTCAGATGGTCACCATTGACGAGATGGAATTAGAGACTCCTATACATTCGCGCTCTTCACAGACTACTAGTACCCCAAAGTCGGGTACTCTCATTAAGGTCGATTTCTCCAAGAGGGCCTCGGGCGATATGACAAAGACGAAGATTCAGGAAAAACTGGAAAAACTGCTTGTCCGCATGGCTTGTCAGAGATGCAGACGCCGCTCACATTCCCACATGAGCAGGTCATCGAATCTGAGTCTCCTCTCGCTATCTCAGGGTTTCCTCGTATAATCCTTACGATATACTTCAAGTTCACGCCGTCCCCAGATTGAAATTTTGTAGTACAGAATGCGATGGGAAGATGTGGGTTGAACATGACGATGCGTTGGTCGTGGGTCCCAGGACTGCGCGCGGAAACATGAAGATTGAGCGGGTATGTGCGCTGTCGTTATTGATAGATCCCAGTCTCATCTGTTTATCCGCCATAGGTGATCAGAGTTGCGAATTTGCGGTAATTGCCGAACCTTTAGGTAAGGCTCCTTACAAAAATGTTTTGTCTGTTTTCGTAGGGGGGAAGTTGGCCTTATCCACCAGATCTTGACCGATATAGACAAGTATGACTAAGCAAACTCATCAAGCCAAAGAAGTATAAACCGAGTCGGCATCTGCCCAATCAAACTCAAATTTGAATCAAATGCATTAGTAGAAATAGGCAGCAGAGCAGCCAGAGCAGTATTGCTTATACAACTACTGAAAGGAACCTTAAGAAATAAATGACTTGTACAGCGTAAGAGTTATTTGCCCCTTCATGGTTGTATTCATGTACTATTTTCAACTTGAAGACAGGCAGAGTGCCAATTGATGGCCATTGATGGCTGCTGTTCCGTAAGTATCATTCACTGATCTGCAAAACCTGTATTTTCGGATCAGGGTCCGAAAGCGGTTGAGAGCACTTCCCAGCAGTGAAAGCACCCAGAGCATGTTGCTTTCAGTGCTTTCAGCATTGGGATCTGCTGGGATCTGCTCTCAGCCCTTAGCCGAATATCCAGGTTTTGCAGATCATGTGAACATGGTCACTCAACATACTCAACAGTCAACTACATCTGCAAAACCTGTATACTCGCCATAGCAAGGATACTGGCTGGAAAGCGCTCTCCAGCGACGAAAGCACCCAAAGCAAAAATCAAAGCCTGCTCTGGGTGCTTTCACTGCTGGGAAGTGCTCTGAGCTGCTTTCGGCTATTTAGCCGAACATACAGGTTTTGCAGATGTATTGGGCCGCTGCCTTACAGGGCATTACAAAGTGCTATACTGTTTGTGTATACACACATCACAATACTCAGGAGATTGGCCAGTTGTGTATATATTGGATATAATAGTACTAAATGTTCGGCCCTTGCCGCTTGCGGCCTTACCCCCAGTCATTGCTTACATATGTATGTGTATCATAGTCAATGTCAATATTTCGAGGTTGTGAGAACTAAGAGTCAGTTTGATGTGCAGAGTCGCCCTGACTTTACTAGTGTCAGATTTCTATATACAGTAATTGATCTCTTGCGTGACAATGGATGTCAGCGGCTATTCGGCAGGATATCGAAGCGCCCCGTAGCGCCCATCCGGCCCTTCTTCAAATTGTTTCCCGACATCCCGCCCCATCCCGCCCCCATCCTGCTCCCATCCCGCTCCATCCCGCTCAATGCAGTGCACAATGTGCACACTAAGAATGTGTCATTTTAACACATTTTGATTTTTAGTACTGTACTGCCTATGTAAATATACCATAATGAAAACTGAATGTTCTCAACACAAAGGAACTGAGCACTACTGAACACCTCTGAGCAAGCTGGTAAGGTGATGATGGACTGGGGGAACAGTGATGGGAATGAACCATCATCGTAGCAAGCAGTCTGTCACATCTTGTCACAATTACCTCACATTTTTGTAAGTGATCAATTACTGTATATAGAAACAAGCTTTAGAACCCGTGCCTTCGCCACGGTGGCTCGCTCTGCTCGCACCGTGTGCTACAGCAGGGTTCACAGCTTGTTGGGGGCAAGCCCCCAAACCCCCCTGAGTCGGCGCCTTGCGCCTCCATACTTCAATATTTATTATGCAGTATTCTGAGCCATTTTCATTACAAACAACATACTTTTCCTATCTAGAAAAACTTCTGGGTACACCAAGGTACACCATATTTGTAGTAAGGCAATGTCTATCTTCTAAAATTCAAAGTCAAAGTTAGAGACTTGCTATGAATTGAATATAAAACTTACCTTTACCAAACAAAACTTTTATTACAGCCTTCTTTATCATACTCCACATCTGTAAAGCTTGTATATTTGCCAGTCCAAGGGTGCCAGGTGAAGAGCACTCTCCATTACCCTAAGCACTTGGAGTATTTTTGACTTGTTCTAAATGGTTTGGCTGCTGGGAAGCTCTTTCAGGTGCTCTCAGACAATTAGCCAGTACCATTGCTCTGGAAAACACACAGGATTTGGAAATGCAACATGTTTTACAGATTTTCCCTGTAATTTATTTATTATCATTGCAAATGTAAGTCATACTGGAATCTGGTGCCTCTTCAAAACCTGATGAACTGAGTATAATACAGGGAATTGATTTTCCAGATTTATCACAACCCAATATTCCTGCTTCCAGAACTCTGACTCATCTGCAAAACCTGAATATTCAGCTAAGGGCCAAGAGCAGATCCCAGTGCTGCAAGCACTGAATGTAACATGCTTTGGGTGCTTCCACTGTTGGGAAGTGCTCTCAACTGTTCTCAGACCCTTAGCCCAAGATGAATATCTGCAAAACATGGATGTTTGCCAGAGCAAGGATACTGGCTGGAGAGCATTGTCAGCTGCTCTCCAGCTATTAGCCAAAAACCCAGGTTTTACAGATGTCAGGTTCTATTGCAGATACCTGGAAGTAATATTTCAAAGTATCATAATAGGTGCACCAATCTTGAGCTCAAGTTTTACCAGTGGAAGACCTGGTTCATGGATACTATTTAAATACCCAACAGGGTAGTGAAATTCATTGTTGTTGTCCTCTCCTTCATTTGCACCAACACTATCAGCTCTCTAATAGGTGAATGCATTTCCTGCTAAAGCATCCAAGTAGTTAATATACTACAACATTTCTGTGGCAAATGATAGTACATTCAAGAACCCATGGATCATTGTCTACATCTGCAAAACCTGTATGTTCACCAGAGCAAGGGTACTGGCTGGAGAGCGCTCTCCAGCACCCAAAGCACCGAGAGCAAAATTTCAACCCTGCTCTGGGTGCTTTGGCTGCTGGGAAGCGCTCTCAGCTGCTCTCAGAGAATTAGCCGAAAAAACAGGTTTTGCAGATGTACTGCAGGATGTATTGAGTTGAGACTTGTAGATGGCAAGCAATTTTGCTAAGTCAGAATTCTTCTTCATAATGCCTTGCAAAGTTTGAAGTGATTTCTTCAATTTGTAGCACTTCTTATATCAATACTGTAAAATAAGGCAGCAGCCACAGCATGCAGTATACTCAATGCATACATATGAATGTATCATGTCACAGAGTTCAACTGTTAAAGTACTCGTGGTGTTGACCCTCACTTAAAGTAAAAACTGCCGGAGAACACGGCATTGATTCCGGCGACTCCGCAGCACCGTTTCGTGATAAAATTTAGGCGTTTAATCTGCTGACTAGTTATTGGTAATCATGCTAAGCGCCCAGTTAGTCTTTTATATATATAGAAATCTGACACTAGTAAAGTCAGGGCGACTCTGCACATCAAACTGACTCTAAGATCCACTTGGACCGGTCGTCATATCACAAGAAAAAGGTAGCGAATTTCTCCATTTTAGTAGGTAGATCAGAGGTAGATAGTACATAGCGCAGAACAAGAAAAGGTTATGTAAATGGCCAGCAACGTCACGATACGATGAAGATCTATAATCAGGTATTTTAGCAGAAATCAAGAGAGATAATATTCACTTGACACCTTCAAGCTTCAAGCTTCAGCGTTTTGACCTTCAAGTTTGGCGTCGACTTTTTCGACAAAGCCGATCATATGCGTAACAGCCCTGTTAATAATTTCATCCATGAGTGGGTCATCCACGATGTTTCTCGAGCATTCTTTCCGGAACTTGAGAATCAACGTGAGTAGTCGAATCTGGGTCAGCTACCATAGTTTGCTCAGTTGCTCGTCGACAAAAAGGTGAATAGAAACTTGCCTCATCCCGGACAGCAATCGCTTTGTTGTTCAGGTCTCGAATGGCACATGATTTCACATTTGCCTCCAACTCCCACCTTGAAGTCGATGATGATGAGGCCAGTGTTTTGTTGGAATCACCGTCCGCCACAACGTCACCCCTTTTCGCTGCTTCGATGGCACGCTCCCTGTTCACACCGGTTAAGCAAGCTCCTCGAGTCGTGGATGGATTGTCTCCCACGCCCACAGCGGGGGGGTCCTTCTGCGCTTAGGCCTCAACCAATTACGGGTACAGGTTTGAAACGGAAATCAGTCAAGCTACGCCTCTTCGGCAACATTCTCTAACGCCTCTGGAAATTGCATCTACTGGCCTCAAAGGTTCTACGGATGGACGTAGATTCGATCGGCTAGCTCCTCTGCCAGCTCCAAAGTTTCCTATTCGCACACTCCAAACGAAGAAAGAGACAGATCCACAGCTGCGCCAGGAAACTGCCACAATGACTCGTTTGCGAATATCGGACTTGAACGAGTTTCGGGATGAATTTGAGGGTGGCAACGATTCTGGATGTGATCTGGGGTGCGATTTAAATCTAGAGGACAATAAGGCTCGAGGAGATGAACTGTTTCTTGGTGGCGAAGTCATGCCTATGAGGGGACGTGGAAAAGTGGAGGCTGCGCTGCATTTGGCTGGTAAAGGCAAATTCAATGAAGATGTTGCGGAGGCTGTCTGTCCGGGTGGTCATATCATTAAAAGGCGTGCTCGTGCTAGGCCTCTGTCAGATGAGCTTCTAAGTAGCACTGTTTCCCAAGCTTCGGTAAGCTCTAACTATCTCCACATTTTCTTTCATGAGCCACTTACCACTTTTGATAGGCAATGAGGTCTCCGGCTTACAATGGTCTCAACGTTGTGACGTTTCCTACTGGTGCCTCCCAATTTCGTGACCACGCATCTCCGTCTTCCTCTTCACCTGAGAGCGGTTCTCCAATGCCTCGACGTCGCGCCTCTGGTCTGCACCCGTCCAAGCCCCCAGTATATCGACGGGCTCAGCTCAACAGAGTGGATTCAGCCACGCTGTCCTTTGGTGGCCCTGCTGTTACCGCTGCCCCATCATTAGCTTCAACATCCACCTCCTCTCGCGGAGTTACTACGTCGATCTCATCGGATGCAGCAGACTGGCCGTTTACCACTGCCCCTGGGCCTAAAATATTAAATCGACATAGTTATTCCTGGAGACAGATGCATCCCCGTTCTAACGACGTGTCACCTACAACGTCTCCGCCTCTTTCTTACACAGCAGGAGAGACTGAAAGTTATGACACCGACGATGACGACTCCATGATGGTCGATCTCCCTGCTAATTCCTCGTTTGTTCTCAATATCACTGAAGACACACCATCTCTCAAGCGAATAGGCCGTACAAGTGAACAGATCTCTAAAAAGTATACTCGAGACTCCGGTATCGCATTGAGCGACGACGACGAAGATATGGAATTTGTAGAGTCGTCAACCAGTTCTGAACGGCTCAGTACGATGCCTCGGGCCTCTACTAGTGTCAGTTCTCTATATTCTGATATCGAAGACGGTCTCGTCACTCCTGGAGTAGGCCCACGATCTAGTTCTGCCTGGCCAGATTTTGTCATTGTCAATGGTCCAAACGACGGTGGTTGTGACGCGTCTGAACAGGACGTTGACGCTTTCATATTACGTACCCTAGCCGCTTTGCCAAGAGCACTTACGAAGCCAAGAAAGCTCCAGGAACACCTGTGAAGAAAAGCAAGGTCAGCTATCTGGCTCGTCAGCGGCCATGGCAGAGTGCAATGACACACAAAGTTGGATTTGGAGCTCATGTAGAAGAAAAGATGAAGAAGGTCCCTCGCAAGAGCATGCCTGCCTCTTTTCCGTTAGGAAGGAAACATAATAGATCCATAGACCCGACACAGACTCGGAGTCTGATTGCGATGACTCTCCCAGTAATCGCAAAGAGAAACATATTGGCTTGGGCATTGATATTCCCTCCTTGTCTAAGAATGGTGTTTCAAGAAATCGATGGCTTATGCTTCGGAGCAGCAGTGGCGCTTTTTCAAGCAGCAGCGAATCCGCCGGTACTCCCACTAGGAATCGACCTTTAGGTATGTTGCTCTCGATTAGTCTCCGTGTGGTTATTCACGTTATTCCTTGAACAGGAGATTGTCTTTGACCCTCCGGCTCACCTCATCTGTCAAAACAAACATCGCCGACACACAGATCGAAGCTTTTCCCGGCGCGATCTGCTTCTAGCTCGTCCAACGGCTCCGTAACGTCTCCATCTATATTACGCAACTGCCTATTGCAGGGGATCAGAAATATCGTGCTCCACGGTCTAGTACGCGAACGCGCCGTTTATCTCAACCTTCCCATCAACGGCGGCCCGGTCGTTTCGAACAGCAATTTGCTGAGATTGCTGAGGTAGGGAGTGGAGAATTTGGCAAGGTTAAGGATGGAAACTCTGATGCCTGCTTCGCTGTCAAAAAGTCGAAACGGTTTGAAGGGGTCAAACATCGGTATGTTCATGATATTTGAATATCCTTGCGTGCTCCGATATCTAATCGGCCCATTATAGGTTGTGACTCCGGGAAGAGGTCAATACTCTTCAACACCTATCCCATGTAACCGATGGCTGTGGGCATCCCAATATTCTCGCGTTCATAGATGCTTGGGAGGAAGATGAACAGCTTTTCATCTGGACTGAATTGTGCGAAGGTGGTAACTTTGCCCACTTTCTGTGGGAATACGGACGCGTATTCCCGAGGTTAGATCTATTTTCACGGAATCATGCAAAGGTCTGTAAATGATTCGATATCTGCGTGCCTTTGCGGGATAGGCATCCCAGAGTACGTGAAGGAGCGCAGAACTGTTGGCTGATTGCCTTCAAATTAATTCGAAGGCATCGCTTTTGAACTTCGCTCTCATCGTCGAAACTCGTCTAAGCTCGTTTTGTGATTTTCTGTGCATATACGCGCTATTAAGCCATGACGCAACACCCCCCGCTTCTCCTCAGAACCTCGTCGTCTATCAGCGCCGTAGATCGACAACGCCGTACCCATATTCTCGAAATTATCCCGATTCTAAAAAAACTCAGCCTGGAGAGAAGATTGCAGAAGAACTACGACATTGAACGAGCTAACGAGGCGCGGCAGGAAAAAACCATGCTCTTCATAGAAAAAAAGGCTCCTGCCAAGGGCTCTCCTTCGGCTTCGCTTATAACTATTACGGAGGACGAATGGAACGATATTAGGACAACCCCGGCCATTTTTGAGCGTGACAAACAGTAGATTCCGAGTTACATACTTGCGTGGATGGCAAGGGCCAATGACATGGATAATCTGTCTAAAGGGAAGCGCACTCGAGACGTGCAGGAGGGCGATATTCTGGAGAATGGGCCGGAGAAGAATCCTAGGCTCATGACCCCAATCATTGAGACTACACCAGACCCGACTACCTCTCAGAACGTGGAGATACCAGAATGTCTCTATCGAATCGGAAGGTTGCACAACTATCTTACCCTTCCTCTCTTCACGGACAACAACCTTATTTTCATTCATTCCCACTCCTCGTCATTTAAGACCTCAAAAACTCTTCTTCCAGGGGACAAGGAACGTACCGAAGTGGTCGTCCTGAAGGATTTGCTGGACCGCCTCAACATTCGGGTGCCGGATTTAGAGAAAGCGGACGAAGATGAAGGTCTTTCGCTATATGAATTTCAGCTCGCTTCTAAAAATTACTTTGCTTTCGAACTCAGTCGTGACCCAGATGGTCAGGAGGGTACTCGGACAAATTGGACTCGACAACATTTTCTCTTCTTCAACAATCAACGCGACGCAGAGAAATACTACCAACCTCGTGAGTACCGACTTCGGGAAGAGCGTCGTTTATACAACACCAAATTTGATCTCACCACTTATAACATGGCATGGAACCGTGTCGTCACTGATTACGAGCGATCTTTGGAGGCAAAACCTAGACAGGTTCAGGTTAATCTGGCTAACTCATCGGCAGCTCCCTCCACATCCAAGCCCTTTCAAAAAGGCAACAAGGGTGACTCCTTCGACCTCTGTTGCCTTGGATGTGGTAAGAAGGGGCACTCCGCTACGGACCACTCGAGCAAACATGGCTCCCTCCTCTGGGCCAGGTGGATCAAAGGGGGTAAAACGTTTGTCCTCGGTCTTCCCCAGGGAGAAGACAAGCGCATCTGTTATCAGTGGAATATCCGAGGGAACTGTAGAGCAAACAAGGGCTGTCAGGACGCACATGTCTGCACATTCTGTGGAAGCGATGGGCATCATGCTTTCTCCTACACCTGTCGCGCCAGACCTAATTGAGGTTTTCCTCAAACTTTCGATCCCTCCTACTCTTTCCTATTATGATTTTTTGGATGCTATACACTTTCGCTTACCACTCCCTAACACATGTCCTGAGTTCATTGAACTCTACGAACGGATTGTCACTCCTTACAATGCAGATGAATTCGAAAAAGCGCTTGCAGCATGTGATCTCTCTCATCATTACCCACTTCTTGTTCATAATCTTCGTCGAGGTTTTCCACTTGGCCACTTGCCTCCGCTACATGAAACAATCATCATCCCGAATCACCAATCAGTATATGAGCACCCAGAGGTAGTTGAACAATACATTTCCGAAGAAACCTCCGCTGGCCGAATGGCTGGGCCATTCTCTCAGTCGGATATTCACCGAGGTCATTTCTACACAACCAGACCTTCGGATAAGCGTGGGCTGATTGATGTCAAACAACCCGGGGATGAAATTTCATTTCGTCCCCAGGCTCACATATTATAACCCAGGTTTGAATTTATGTAATTGGTACTAGGCTGTATGTTTTTTACAAACCTCGCTTCATACAATATCTGTTAGCCCTTGGGATGAATGGCAGTCAAAAATCAATGACACATTGTGAGGACATATCTGACCTGTGTATGACCCAAAGGCTTTGAGGATAATTTTGAGGATAAGCAGGGCAACATCTGCAAAACCTGTTTTTTCGGCTAATTCTCTGAGAGCAGCTGAGAGCGCTTCCCAGCAGCCAAAGCACCCAGAGCAGGGTTGAAATTTTGCTCTCGGTGCTTTGGGTGCTGGAGAGCGCTCTCCAGCCAGTACCCTTGCTCTGGTGAACATACAGGTTTTGCAGATGAAGGTATTTATCTTTAATACGGCACCATTTTGACCAGATGAGCTTCAAATTTATAGTGCTTCACATTCCAAGTCAAGCCATGCAATTGGCAGGAGGCTAGTTTGCTGAAGATAGACTATGAATATTTAGTAGAGATGATTCATTACAGTAGCAGCAAGATAGTATGATAAATGATTACTTCGACTGATTGCGCACGAAAAAATCCACCACAAGAATCCGCCCGCTCCAAATCACATGCGATTGTAGGCCACTGCACCACCGTGCATGGCAAAAACTCGGCTCCTTCCTTGTGGGTTATTAAATATTAATTGAATATTATGGAATCAAAAAACAGGGGCGCCTTTCAGGCGCCGACATTGATTTTCTGAGAAAAGCAGAATAAAAGTAAATTTACTTAAACTATCTATGGAGTAACAGGGAGTAACCGAATGAGACGAGAAAAAGTAATTGTGACAGAGGGTGACAGTCCCGTGATATCCCGTGCCGGTCACATGTATTCCAACAGAATGTGACTGAGTACCATATATGGAGAAACTCCTTCCAAGTAAGCAAAGCGAAATAGCATGACGCGACCTACATAAGGACGAGTCTTCCGTAAACTACAGCCTCGTAATTTCATGTTCCATGAGTCATTTTTAGGTCACGCGAGAAATGTTGATCATTGTTTGGTCTTTTTTTTGCCACGTCGTCAACTTTGTTCAAACGTTCAACATTCAACACTCAACACTCAATGCTCAACGCTGGCCCTTTTCAATGGTCAACATTTAACACTACGAGGATCATTTAAATTAGGACGCAACCTGCAACTAACTCAATGTTCAACTTGTCTATTGAAGATACAAAATATTCAAGGCTCGGACTGCATCATCCCCCCTCAACCTCAACCTTTAAGTTACGAGATTCACTCCAACCTCAAGAATGACATCAAGCTGAACAAGCCCTCTATGCCGCCATCAACTCTGCAAAACTGCCTCAACTGCCTACTTCAACACCACATGCTTCGGGTACATCAAAACATCCCCTTCCCAATATTCACCAAGCAATTTTTTGTTTTTTTTTCACCCGTCCAATTAATTGGTTCCCAGGTCAGTGTGTCTTAAATTTTAAGTTTCATTCTCAGATACATGCTTTATTGTGTTGCACCTTTGTATGTAGATACTAAGTAATGATTCAGTCCAATAAAAGATTTGAAAATTTTGGAAAAGAGCAGGAAAATGAATGTTCCGAGTACTGCAGTGGGCCTTGATTATGTAAATGAGTTGATGCCCAGCCTCAATATTTTGAACCCAGGTTTCAAGTGATGCCGGGGTTAGGATTACGGAAACTGTACTGAGCACTAATTTAATCAGGCTCAGCATCAATTATTGCTGGGTTAAACCTGGTTGAATAGAACTGCACGCCTGTGTATACGAGCGAACCGGAGTGAAGTTGAATAATAATATGAATTGTGTACATAATATGAATTACAGGTGGACGAGTGCAAAAGGGCAACGTCGCTCGGACTCACTCACAAGGTTCAGCAGTAATGTTGCATCATGATCTGTATCCACCCACTGATGTTGAGTCAGTACAAATTAAACTTGAATTGCTGAACCTTGAACTTGAATTGCTGGACATTGAACTTGAATTGTTGAACATTGGACAACATAAGGCAGGGCTTGAACAAGTCACAAGATCTTGATGTCGAGTGCAAGAACTTTGAAGTTTTGAAATATTGAAGGGACTTAGCACTAACAAAAGTGCGTTCAAGAGGTATTTTGGAGTGCTTGAAGTTCGAGAATTGGATTGCAATGGACATATGTACACTTGAGAGCTCAAATTTGAAGGACATTGCACAAAGAATTGAGTTTGGGTCATTGTAGAGGCTGGAAGACTGAAAGTGCGGAGAGGTTGGAGGTCAAACTCATTGACGTGGCACTCAAGTTGAAATTTGGACGTTGACACAAAGCCACGTTGTTCGACGTGGCAAAACTGCTTACTCAAACTGACAGCTTATGAAGAAAAGAGATGTTACAGAGGTGTCGGGAAGCTTCTTGGGTGCTTTTGATGGGGAGCTGCAGGGAAGCTGCAATGGAGGTTCTCGGGCCCAACTCACCGTAGCTTTCTGAGAGTTCGGCAACGGAAGCTGTCAGGAAGCTCCGACACAAATGGTGGTGTACTGGATCAATATGTCAGTCCGTCGCATTTGCAGCGTCATTGGCCCTTTATTTATTCAGCCTGAACTCGAATATATTCCTACTGCCCTCAATCCAGCAGACCCATTCTCGCGCGGAGAACTCGGATCTGTTAAGGATAAACTACCACTTACTTTTTCGCTCCCATTCATCTGCAAAACCTGGATGTTCGCGAGAGCAAGGGTACTAGCTGGAGAGCGCTGAAAGCACTCCCAGCAGTTTTTCAGTACTGCTGGGAGCACTTTCCCAGCTGGACAGTGCTGTCAGCTGCTTTCGAGCTCTTAGCCGAAAATACAGGTTTTACAGATGCTGCTCTAGACATGGATAAAACTGTATCAGTACAATGATTAGTATAGCAAACAGACAGGCCCATGCCTGAGGTGTGGTACTTGTACACTGATCAATACACTGCTAACTACTACACTGACCATACACTGACCATATACTGATCTGTAAAACCTGGATGTTCATGAGACCAAATGATACTAGCTGAAGAGCATCTGCAAAACCTGGATATTCGGCTAAGGGCTGAGAGCAGATCCCAGCAGATCCCAGTGCTGAAAGCACCGAAAGCAACATGCTCTGGGTGCTTTCACTGCTGGGAAGTGCTCTCAACTGCTTTCGGACCGTTAGCCGAAAATACAGGTTTTGCAGATGAGTGCTGTGCATGCTGTTCAGCACTCATAAACTACTGGGAGTGCTTTCCCGCTGGACAGTGCTGTCAGCTGCTTTTGAGATCTTAGCCAAAAATATAGGTTTTACAGATGTGACTGATACACTGACCACAATCCTAGGAAATTGCTTGCAAACACAAATTTGTACAAATTGTTATCTACTCTGCAATTCATTTAAGCCAAAGTCCTTGCAAGGGGTCTCCAAGAATACTGAGATACTTTCTGGGCAGTCAAGTTATATAGTATTGAATTTGTTCAGCAATGTACTAATCTTTAAAACCTGTACTCTTAGCTATTTACCTGGGAACAGCTGGAAGCACTTTCCAGCAAAATTAATAGTCATATAGGGTTTTGCAGATCAGTATACATACTGGCATTATCTTACATCTGCAAAACCTGGATATTCGGCTAAGGGTCCAAAAGCAGTTGAAAGCATTTCCCAGCAGTGAAAGCACTCAGAGCAGCCTGCTCTCAGTGCTTTCGGTACTGGGATCTGCTGGGATCTGCTCTCAGCCCTTAGCCGAATATCCATGTTTTGCAGATGTAGGGTACCAACAAAAAATTCATGTTGGTTGAATGTACCTAGTGTCCACAGATATTTTGCAAACTGAGGCAATGGCATGTAATAACACTGTCAACTGAGTACACTGACATTAAAGTACACTGACATTAAAGATACACTGACAAAAAGATACACTGACATTAAAGTACACTGACATTAAGTACACATCTGGAAAACCTGTTTTTTTGGCTAATTCTCCAAGAGCAGCTGAAAGCACTTTTCAGCAGCCAGAGCAAGTTTAAAATTTTGATCTCAGTGCTTTGGGTGCTGGAGAGTGCTCTCCAGCCAGTACCCTTGCTCTGGCAAACACACAGGTTTTGCAGATGCATTGACATAGAGTACAACTATTTATTACAACTGCTATATTTACTGTATCGGGGTGTAGGGAGGCAACGGTCTGTAAGACCTGGGTCAAAATAGGTCTTAGGGTAGGTTTGGTATATGAAGTTTTATGTTGTAGCATGCTAGGAGCAGGCTGGAGCTCGAAGGGAGCTACGAGAACCGCGACCGAGGACGGGAATGACCTAGTAGTGCCTGGAACGACGAGATGATGACCCTTGAGGGGGTTCCTAGGAGGTCCAGGGAGGTCCCTAAGGCGTAGGGAGGTTAAGGAAGAGTGCGGGACCGTACGGTATTGCGTAGTAGGAGTTGTACTCGCTAGAACGTCAATATAGGATCGAGTAGGTCGTATATGCAACTGGGTCTCGAGAGTGTAAGCTCCCGAGAAGGGATATGTCAGGGAGGGTAGGTCCCTGGGGGCTGAGCTTGAGGATGGACGTCCTCGAGTGTGGGAGGTGGTAACGGAGAAGCAATACATAGTCCGACGTGAGGGGTAGCTTCGACGTTACCTAGATCGAGGTCCCGAAGCTTACGAAGTAGCTAGGGAGCTCTGGGAGGTTTGGGGAAGGGTAGCTCACCAAGGCGGGTAGGCGTTGGGGAGCTTTAGTAATGTTCGAGGGAGCTCGGGGACTCACTCGGAAGGCTTAGACTTGAAGTGAAAGTGTATATTCGATCGTATAGACGATCAGAGAGACAATAGACAGAAGTAGAGAGAAACAGAGGTAGAGAAACAGAGAGTAAAGAGAAATCCGTATGGTTAGCAGGTACAAAGGGACAGGGACTGGACCTATGCAAAAGGGTGTGTGTTCAAAATATACCAAGCTGGGCTTCTGGACGCTACTGGACTGCTTAAATATGTATAGGGAAGTTAACAAAGAGACATAGTACGAAACGGGCACTTAATGGGGTTTCTAAGTACATGAGGACGGACATGAGGACGGAATGATGGGCGCATGTGCGGGGTTCCAGGACCCTGTCGTGGAGTGGTTCGGTTGCATTGAGGGGAACTAAGAATCATGGAGGTTGTCCCAGCAGAGAGAAGGTTTGCGGCATTGGGAGTGTTCTCAGGGGTTCAGGGAAGTGGGCTGAGGAGGTAAGTGTCATAAAGTACGCAGCCCCTATCATTTTCCTTTTCTCACCGTCTCGACGCCTTTACTTGTACGATACATCATCCCATCACTGTCAAACCCCCATCGATTACTGATCCACCTGACCCATCTTCTCCTTCTACTGGCTTCCGCCACCTTCCTTGTTCCTAAACTGTACAGTATTACATCGTTGTTTCTCGCAGACCGGATTATGTATATATAGCCAACCCTCCACAGCCTGGTCCCTTATCTTGACCTCTCTGTCATTATCTGGGACCAGGTATGTGCTTACTTATTATTACCTATGACTACGATACTCAATATATCTCTGTCATTATCTGGGACCAGCCTGCCGCCGTTCTGCTTAGTCGCTCCGCCTTGTTGCCTTGTTCAGTTGCTCCGCCTTGCCGTTCTGCTTAGTCGCTCCGCTTTCCCGCTCCGTTAGTCACTCCGCCTCTGCCGCTTCGTGACAGTAAGGGGACTGAGGAGGTTGGGAACTATGTCAAGGAGCTTATGGGCTATGGAATTCGGGGCGAGGCATGACACGGTCACGGTCACGGAGGACCCAGTTGCGTCGCCCAAATTCTGAGTGGTCACGGTCACGGAGGACCTGGTTGCCAGCCAAGGAACCGTGACAAAAAATTTGCTTTTACTCTCTGTTCAATCTTATAAAATTTAGCTCACCAACAATGGCTTATTATTTGGCTACATTTTGGGATTTTGGATTGCTGAGAGTTAACCTACATTGGGATAATAATAGGCATCTAGGTGGGGACTGTGGTTGCCAAATTTTTCAAGTGTCACGGACAATAGCACCGCAGTTGCCAAGTCTGGTCCAAAAATTTTGGTCACGGTCCGCCTCTCTGTTGCCTCCCTACACCCCGATACAGTATACATCACAACAACCATGAATTGTAAGTACTTCAAGTTGATATGCTGACTGTCAAGCTTGGGGAAACTCCTTGCAAGTAATGTACACTATAACACACTCACTGGTTTTTCAACTGTTATCCTGCACCTAATCTGCCTGAATACTATTCCAAGGTTTTATCAACAGAGCTTATCATATATATTCAAATCACAGAGGTGTTGAAATAACCACTGTAAACTGAAAATAGGAGATGTAAGTTGATAAGATAACATCTGTAAAACCTGTATTTTTGGCTAAGAGCTCGAAAGCAGCTGACAGCACTGTCCAGCTGGGAAAGTGCTCCCAGCAGTACTGAAAAATTGCTGGGAGTGCTTTCAGCGCTGGACAGCGCTCTCCAGCTAGTACCCTTGCTCTCGCGAACATCCAGGTTTTGCAGATGAAGTATTGGCTCAAACGAGCTCGATATAGAATGCAAGGAGCACTGTGAAGTGCTCAATGTTAGTAGATGAGGTTTGCCTGGGGCACAGCCCCGCTCGGGTGGGAAAACACACGAAACGCGGTTTGGCTGAGCCTGGAGCGTCTTTGTCCAAAGACTAGACACTAGAGTAGCAGAGGGAAGGGAGGGTGGGTTCCACACAAAAAGCTTAGAGACGGATTTCGACGATGAGAGTGTAGTTCAAAGGCGATAAGCGCCCGCTCTCATCGCCACATCTTATCTTATCCTCTGAGAAGACAGCTTTGCTGCCTTCTCTCGGAATAAGATGTGCCGCTGGTGTAATAGCTCCCATGTGACCTCCCAATAGCTTCACGTGACCTCATTTATGAGTTTATGAATTTACGGATTTATGACTTTACCGGGTTCTGAGTACCGGCAATGCCTGCCAATTTCATGTCTGTTTGGCTTTGTTTGTTATCCGGTCAAAGCTGGCTTAACGATGGGACGCAAGGTAATCAAGGTTTTCATCCTGTATATACACGTTAATGACAAGTAATGTAGATTGAAATATATGGAAACTAGTCATTATTATCATTGAGAATAGTTTGAACTATGAAAATACATCTGCAAAACCTGGATGTTCGCGAGAGCAAGGGTACTAGCTGGAGAGCGCTGAAAGCACTCCCAGCAGTTTTTCAGTACTGCTGGGAGCACTTTCCCAGCTGGACAGTGCTGTCAGCTGCTTTCGAGCTCTTAGCCGAAAATACAGGTTTTACAGATGTATACTGGATTCCCGTTATTCGCGTGTATAGCCATCATCCACCTGCGACTCGGGCCTTTACGTAATGTACCAAGCGTGTCCCGCCGCATTTGATTCCACTGATGGAGTATTCAGGATGTTGCGCTGCAGCGTCACCTCCGATTCCCTTCAAACAAAATGTCATATATAGAGGCTGAAATTCTACTTGAAGTGTTGGAGACAGATTTTTGATAATTGTGCCCAAAAAAGTATGCCGGATTAATCATTGTTCAATTATTTTTTCAAACACTAAAAATAAAAATTCTGCTTCCAACACTTCAAACAAAATGCTTTTCTTAGTTGATCCCGCAGAAAAAATCAGAGAATTTGCTGTAATTTCAAGCCTGTATGAGCCAAACTACTCGCGGCTTGGAATCTTTCCCAATTGATATAGATAACAAACAAAGCCAAACACTGTCGAAATCAGAGGTATTGCCGGTACTCACGGGTTCCATAGTACGGTAGGTCTCGATTTCTGAGCGCTCGCGGAGAGGATCCACAGCCGCTTTGCGGCAATATTGCTTAGTCACTATTACCAATACTCTGCGCGTCTGATATAAGCGCCCCGCGCAAATTTAGAATATAGGATCCCCTCAGTTGATCTTTCCCGCTCAACTGAGGAGGCTGGAGGGAGGTTATCAGTGATTACTCATTATTGTGGCTCCTTGAGTCTAACCCCTAACACCATTTTGTATGTATTCCTGCCCTTCTGAGTTCTTCCCATACAGGATCACAATAGTTAGGCTTCAGGTACCTCTTTCAGCTTCTAGTATATGTGGTTACCAGTGGATTAGAGATCTGCAACAGCCTCAAGAAGATACAAAATCAAAAAATCGATATGCTTTGAAGGCGTCTATAATAGATTCCTCATGAGATTGCCATAGACGATTACGAGCTGTGTTGACAGAAATCAAAGTAACCAACCCCTCCAGGTTCATTGCGAGACGAAAGGGCATTTTGAGCAGCAGCTAAATCAGTCTGCGGAAACGGATCCGAAGTATAGATTGATTGTGGCAATGTATGCTGGTGCTGTTGCTGCCACTGCTGCCGTTGGTGGTGGTGTACAGAGTAGTTCGTCGCGATCTGAGGATAATCAGACGTATATTGACAGGACATATTTGAGTTCGACTTGGAGGGTGACAACAAGGAAAATGCAGAGAATGCATTTGAAGCAGAATGTGCTAGAGCGGAAATGATTGAAATAGGTAATGGTGATAGCATGGACACTGCTCACTATAATCCAGCTCAGCCAATTCAGTCTGCAGAAATGGATCAGAAGTATAGCTCTGGGATTGTTGCTGCCATTGTTGGGGTTGGCAGTGTACAGAGTAGTTTGTCGGAACATGAGGATAATCAAATATATATCGACAGGAATTTGAGTTTGAGTCAGAGGGCAACAACAAGGAAGATGCAGACAATGCTTTTGAAGCGGGATGTTCTAGAGCAGGAGTGATTGAAACAGGTAACGGTCTGGATAACGACGACGAGGTCATTGGCCACTGCTCACTATGATCGAGCTCTGAAGCCGATGATTGAGTCTGAGCATGAATCGTTGTGTCATTCAAAACGTGATTCCTCCGCCCACCAGGCAACTGGGTTTGAGTAACAATACCCACTAGAGAATTTTCTGGCTCAGAACGAATCGAATTGGAAGGAAAGAAGACGGTGGTCGTGTGATCATATGAGTCGAACGACTGAGTCAGCGGATATAGCTCTTGAGTATCGTTATCTTCATGGGCAGGTGCTGTGTTTGTAGTCCAAACACACTTGTCTGCCTCCGGCGTGAAGCCTACCTCGAGATTGGACAATATCGATGATTCCACTACCTGTAACTGATCCTTTTGAACAGCCTTGATGAGTTCAACAATTGTATCCTTCTGTAATCCACTCTTCAGACATCCTGATACTAGATTCCACAGGGTTTTGCTGACACCTGCAGGCTTCCAGCACCAAACATTCTCATCACATCCTACATCTTTGTGAACATGCACGAGTCTGACAGGAAGCTCGTCTCTGAGCTTTCCCGGGAGTGCACGAAGGATAGAGGGATCAGTAGAAGCGAAACGTCTTCCTTCTTTTTGACAAATGTACTCCGCACCAATAATGAAGAAAGGCCGCTCGACGTCATAGATTTTCAGAGGACCTTGTTTGATTCGACCTTCATTGTGCAACGGGGAGGAGCACGATGGACATAAGATCCCCTCAAGCACAAGTAAATGAGAATCCCAGTAGAAGAAACGATGGTCAGACAATACCCTTGCTGATGTTGAAGCTGTCAGTGAGAAGTACGCGGGGGAAGTGGGGAGCCAGAAAGTTTTCCAAGTAGAGTACAGCGCTGGTAATTGCCGATTGTGTTTCAACCTTGGAGCAAGCGAGTTGAGATGTGACCTGAAGGTTTCTTCAGCGCTTGGACCGGATGGTGTAGGAGAGGACAGCGCGGAAAGCGCGACAACGAGTGAAGACAGAAATATATCCGGTTCGTTCTGTGAAAATTCTCCCCAGTCATCATCTTTTACAGGGTGCGATATGAACCGTTGGGGCCGGACGGTCGCTGAACCCGAAGGAAGTCCATCCTTGCGAGGTCGGCCCACAGGCCGCTTGGGAGGAATTATAGTTTCCTTCACCTTCTTCCCAGTACCTTTTGAGCGTTCTGGTCTTCGTTTCTGATTCTTGGCTTCAATTACTTCCGAAGTTATATTCATAGATTATATCGATTCAAGCACAAGGCTCTTCTTTATCCAGCGAATAACTGACTATATGCTCGATGAGGTGCTCTAAACTAGCGAATGAAGCTTTACCTGGGTGCCTCCCCGCGCGGACAAAACACGGCGTAGCCGACAAAACACGGTTTAGCCGAGCCAAGAGCGTTCTTTAGAGACTGGACACTACTGGAACACAATGGTGGGTAAGCTCAAAATTACACAAGGGGAATTCGGCACCAGAACGGCAGACATAGTGCTGTCAACGTGACCTGTTCCGAACAGGTCACGTTGACAGCACTATGTCTGCCAGTGTTCGCGTGTACACTGTCACTGCGGGGATGAGCCGATTTCCTCGAGGCGAAAATGTGGGTTTTATCTCGAGGTTATGTACAAAAATATGGCAGCAGATATTTTGAAGGAATTGAGCTGAGTTTATGGTAAAATTATGAAAAGATAATTTAAAATAAGCACGGCCCCCCGCCAAATTCACGATAGCTTCACAATAATCGCCACACGAAAAGTTTTAAAATTCGTGCCCAGGATTTTTGATGAATTTTGGTAAAAATCCTTGCATTTTCTCTACATTTTCACCGCGAAGACATTGGCTCATCCCCACAGTGTGTATACATCTGCAAAACATGTATTTTCGGCTCCGGGCTAACCATCCGAGAGCAGCTGCCATTGATATGCATAATACAGTACGAGTTCGTCCACTTTAGTTTAACGCAACCATTTTTTCTGTGAATGTTTTCCATAGCCTTATAATACAGTAGTAGCCCAACATGATTAAGTATTTGACGTCAAGAATAGCTCACATACCCAATGACCATAAACGGAAAGTTGCAACAACGCTCAAATATAACCAAATAATACTTGTTCTTGAACACATTGTTCAACGTTCAACCTTCAACACTGTGCCATACAACTTGAAGTACCTGAGCAATTTCTATATTCTTTCCTTACTACTGTCTCAAGTAGTTGAACCGATTATTTACGCCTAGATTCACCAGATATACGCGGCAACATTTTGGCAGAGCTAAACCTTTGAATATCTCTCCCTTACACATTTATACGATTATTCCTCCGGGTCCCTTTGATGTTAAATATAGTGTGAGGTGATTGCAGTGTGTTGGCATGTAGGACAGAAACAAAAAGTATCAAGTAAGAATGTGCATCCACACTCTGCCCGCAAAGAGGGAAAACCCAAGCCTGCTTTGCAGGCGTAACCGCATTGTGGTGGACGATGACCAAACAACTGTCCGTCGCACCTTCCCGCGCCTTAGTACTATAGCCTTACTTACTTGCGGTTAATGAAGAGTTCAAAAAAAAAAGTAACCGCACTGTGGCCTATATAGCTCTTGCCAGACTTGGGAAGCAACCTGGGAGCTTCTCCTGCACCCTGAATGCCAAAAGCCCACGCTAACAGTCTCGGGTTTCGTGTGTCCGCGCATCAAACGCTACTAATACAATCGTAACGACGCCATGAGGAGATTCGAAGAGGTCGATGTAGTAGGTGATCTGGGAAATCGGCGTCCACCTGAGAACGAGAGAGATCCATGCACGAGTCAGCTCGGTACATGGCGGTAGAGGTGTATATCGCATGTCAATATACCAGAAGTTCGGGTCCACCTGAGAGCGAGAGCGTTGTCCATTCAATACGCGGTGGAGGAGTCCGGAGATCGAGATGCTAGACGATTGGAAGTTTCGGCGTCCACTTCAGAACCTCTAAGTAATCCATGTACGAGTCAGCCTGAGTTAGCTCAGTACATGTCGAGGAATTTGGAGAAGTTCATATCTAAGAACATCGTGAAAAAGATGACTTAGTTCGACTAAGTTACCGAAGGGTTGAGTGGTTGCCAGGGCGCTCTTCCCTCAATCGCATCCGTTCGTGGACCCGTCGTTCCTGCAGAAGATTTCACCGATAACCCTGTGGACGTCGATATTTTACACCGGCAACGACTTTTCAGATTCCAGATTCCTCATGAAAACACCGTCGCAAGACTGCGTGTTCTGGCTATCGAAATGGTGGCCAAGGGAGCAAAATCGGTGCGGTATGCACACATACCTGGAGAGAAGACGAGCTACCCCATATGGGTCGTAGAGCTATGGGCCAAACTCATCTCTCTGCAAGAACAACAGGCGCCATGGACGGACGTCGAAAGATGGCTACAAAGCCAAGCGTTGAGAGACGAGGATGTAGAGCAAGTGAAAGCGGTTCTTGCAGTCATGGGGACCGTCCCATACGAAATGAAAAAGGCGTTGTTTTCAGATGGGAAACCAATCCACGACTTGTGGAGGCTTCTGGGGGATAAATGGACCAGCAGCATATTGACAACATGCTCGATGTTCTCCGGCTCCAGATAAACCGGCAAGGACGCTCGGAAGATTTTGTTGTCCTTCCCGTCCATTTCACGGAGAAACTTACCCAATTGATTGAAGGAAGTTGTCATGGCGAACAGGACGATAACACATGGAGGTGGCTCCGGAGGATCGGTGACAGGTATTCGGTGAGGGAAAGGTGATATTAACGGTGGTTCATCTTGGGACATCCATGGACTTGGCGCACTGGGTGCCATTGGTTTTCAACGGATTACAAAACCTCCCCCTCTTTGGGGATTCTCTCAATCCAGGAGCTGCAGTTCCATCGCTCATACAGTCAACCTACCATTCGTGAGCTGCCCTTCACTCCCCACAGCCTCTTTGCACTGCCAAGCTCTCGGGCATTCGTGCGGCCTCTCGCAGTGAATGCGCTGCGAAATTTCGCTTTGAGTACCCCATTGGTTGAATCTTGTTGCGTTGAACGAATGAAAATTTTTCACGAAATCGTCCTCGAAACCTTGTGTTATGTACATAGGACCCACAAACTGTTACACCGACTAACCTTCTACCCCAGCAAATAGAACCGGGGCTCGCGGAGGGTGAAATTAACAACAGCTTAGATTCAACCACCGGCAGAAAGCGAGTACGTTGTTTCAACTTTCCTCTAATTCCATCAGGAAACACTGAACCGGCTATATTGCCCTGGGCAAGAGTACAATAGCCAATATTGTCCCCCTGCCAAGCTCCAAACAATGTTGAACCAATTAAAGAAGAATAAACTATGTATATTCAATGACTTTAACTACGGTACTGACAGTATGTACGTAGACATCAGCTTGAAATCACTGTAAAATATTTCATGGTCAACACAAAATTGAAGACAACGCATACTGTACGATCGGACTTATTGCCGTTTTCAAAATAGTTGGCGCCTGTTCTCACGACGTCAAATTTTTGCATGAATCAATCCCGACCTCAGAAACACGATTGTGGACTCAAATGGTCACCGAATTCTTTGATTTTTGGTGCGATACAAAGCGATAAGCAGCCGTTAGTGCGCCTCATAGTTAGTTTTATATGATCACAATATTTTGGACACATGGATATTGGAGGTTCTATGACCTCCGAAACACTATTACTCAAGAAACAAAATTTGTAACGCTTAATCCTTATAGCATGTAGTCCTTGTGGATAGTACCTAGTGCACCCCGGGAGAAATTTGTGCCCAAAGACTCGACACACTAAGTTTGAGTGCATGTACACTTCTGAGCCTTAATTCATACAATCTCATTACCATACCTGGGCCCTAATCAAGATTTGGGCATGGGGCGCACTTAAGGCAGCCTAATAGCTTGAAATACTGCAAGGAATAGATCTCACAAATTTTGTTCCTTATGTGTTATAGTGTTTCGAAGGTCATAGAACCCCGCAGTGTTAGCCACGTGATTATATCCTCCGCCAGTAGCCTCTAATACGTCGCGCATCCCGCTCTCCACCACTACTTCCTTCTGGTTCTGCTTCCTTCTGGTTTAACTGGATACGAGGCTCGCCTACGCTCTAGATCCTCACCGAATCCCTCATTAGGTTCAATACTAAGAAATTCAGTCGGGCACTAATCGAGGCTGGTCTTGATTACGAACAGAACTTGTGGGCCCTCATTTTTTCTGTGCAAAATATGAATCGTAAGTACATATGAACTGTTTATTATTTTTTCCCTCAATTTCATCCTAGTAGTCAATTGCCGTCTTGCGACCGTCGAAGCGACAGAAGGGACAGAGGGACTTACTTTACATGCAGTGATTGATACCGACGTTTTTACCTGTCTGTGCCGAAAACCGTTCAATTTTCCCGAAATTCCTCCTCGACATCAACCTGTAAATCTCAGTCCAAACGCAACGAAGTTGCCCAATTTTTATAAGCCCCGCTGGATTGCATCCTCAATTCCTTTCCTGGGATTTGCTCCGAGCAGTAATCCCTTCAAATTTCGTTTCCTCAAATGCCTTGACTACTCTGTTGATAGTGTACCTATCGTGAAGGATCCTAGCGGCTTCTACGTTCTTAGATCGCCAGAAGCAGCGGACTGGGACTCTTTGGAGAAAAATATGCGCGCGTTCCTTCGCGCATGTATGGGAGTAAACTCGTTAGCAATTCCTGAAGATTTTCGACTTTGGCCTTATCCAAACAACTATGGATATCGTTTACGGTGGAAGACGGAGATGGATGCGCGCAATGCAGCCATGCGCTCTCGTCTAGCATTCATCCCTCTAATTGCTTGCATATCCTTCTTTCTTCACTTGCTCTATCATCTGGAAAGTCAATGGGTTGACCTTGTCATTGCTGCCCTTGAACACAATGACAGATTGCCTAGCATTAGTCCTTTCCTCAGCAAAAGGCAACAGGAGTATGAAAAACTACGTCGAGGACCCTTTCCGACAAAATGGCAATGGAAAGAGCTGCTACTGCAGCAAACGTCAATCAGCTCAGAGTGGCTGGAATATTTTCTCCAGATCCTGGATCTTCCCATGGTCGGAGCATTTGTAGATGTCCATAATTCCGGCTGCCTTCCCTGGATCCCGGTCTTCCTCAAAGCGAAGATGCCCCTGATGTTGTACTGGGGTTCTGTTAGTAACTGGTCAATCCCCCCTACGCTAGATCATCTGATTTCCACACCCAATTCCACCATCATCAACACTCTGATTTCGGAGCAAAGGCCGTATCCACCACCTCCATTGCCGATAGAAGGACAGATACTGCACGAAATCCCCACCAACAAACCTCGATTACGCTTGCCTCGTATTGATGGTGGAAGCCTTCCTCGCCCAAATGAGAGCCTTTTTGATTTCATCCAGCGTAGAGAAGTTCATAGACTCAAAGTCATTGCATCTGAGTCTCCTGCTGAACGTCAATCTCGTCTACAACGTGAAGAAAATGCTACGAAGGATCGGCCTCTGGGTAGAAAAGGTGCTCGCGTCTACTACTGGGACTTAGTCGAGGGGACCAGGGTCCGGACCCCAGTAGGAAGGAGCAATTACAAGGATATATGGGAGAGGTATGGCTCGCACCAAAGGCGTTATGATTCCGTCGCTGATGAATGGGAGGTCTGCACTGACTTTGACCCTAATGACGCTCCCGATGATTACGATTTAGACTCCGATGATGATTCGGACTATTTCGTTACCGTGCGTGCTCATATGAACGAGGAAACACATCACAATGATGGAACCATGTCCTCTCAAGCTTATCTTACTCGCCTTCAATCCCCGAATAAGTTAACGCATTCTCCGATAGAGTTCAACGAGGCCATCGAAGATGTTGCTTACCACAGGTTCGGGTTTCTCAAGCAGCCTTTGGCAGAAAATCGCAACATTGTACTCAAATCGCAAGTTTGGAAACACGTCTTGGGCCTTTTCGGTTGTGGACGTCGTCACGTAGCGCTTGAAGTTGACATTCGTATTAAACTACAGCTGTGTCGCTTCATATCTGCATTGTCAGATGCAGCGAATCTCCGACATGCACCTGAGGTGTATGACTTATCCTTTAGGAGTCTCATGCAGCCTCTAATTCCGTTCGAAGTTGATACCCTGACTTCATATAATGGTCGTTACTACTTAATACAAGCAAAAGACGCCAAAGATAATGAAGAATATGTAATTGCCTTCCGCAGCGCCGCTACCGTTATGGAAATCGCACGTCGGGAGTGGGGTCCTCGAACTGAGGATATCATCAAGTGTCTGATCGAAGAAGGTATTTCTTTCAACACACTCATTGCGAGCCACACTCCTCGTGGATCCCTTTCCATGCCTTTCCGTAGACCTACAACGCTAGGCTTCCGCCCGGTCGGATTTGTACCAACATTACAAGACTATCGCTCTTATGAGCTTATCCGTAATGATTTCTTGCGTTCAGCCAGAGGGCGTTCAGCGCTTCTGGCTGGAGGTATTATTGCCAGATTAGCTCGAGGCATCGTCAACGTGAATGACGTCTATGATGGCCCGACTAGTCATGCTCTACATGAAGGCGAGCAAGCATTATGTGTCTGGGAAGCAGGTCAAGCTTGTGCATTTTGGGATGACCAACTAACTGATGAGGAGATGGATCTAATTTGTGGATCATACGAGGTTGCAACAGGTACGTACTCTTCTCTTTCGAATGCGAATTCAATTCAGAAACCCATGCACCTAGGTTTCGTTTCCAAGGAGGGTAAACAACAGACCGCGATAAAGTCTTGGTGGCCTCGTTCAGGTTCCTGGAGATCTTCTGGTCTCAATTGTGGATGTTGGTCAAGAGATGCAGAAGATTGGTTCCGAAACCGTTTGGACCAAATCCTAAAGTCTACGGTGTCATTGGCCCTGATGACTGGTCAAGAATGGCACGGGAGATTGAAGTTTCAAAGGGCCCATACTCTTTCAAACAAAAACGACGGTTTTGCTGCAGAGTATCTCAAGATCAAGTGTAATTTACCGATTTGATACAAATAGCGATTGTAGTATTAATCAAACGAGGACGTACGCAAACAATTTGCGATCCGCAATGTTAACGATATGATAGTAGATAACAAGTAGCGCCGGCGAACGGCAGGGCCCGCTACCCAGTCAACGGTCTGGTTTTATTGTTATTGCATTTCAGTTGTAGAGCGAGCGAATGCGTCTGAACTAATATTAACAATATGGCTGTATTGGGTTCCAGTGCCCCTAAGAGTGCCATTGACAAAAGCATCTGCAAAACCTGGATGTTGTCTCTGACCGTACCTCCTCCGAGTCCTCTTTCACCGATCATCACCTTGAATCCTTACCTTTTGATAGGTAAAGAGAATTGAGCAACCAGACACAGAATGAACCTCGAACCAAGGAGCGGATCATTGCTAGTCAATTTGGTAAATCCCGGAACCCCAACTCTGACTCTTCGAATATTTGGTCCGTCGAACCCCAATTACATGAGATCGCTTATTATGAACGTCTCATATTGTAAATATCACATGCTGGAAATCTTCCCAACTTAGAGGTACCGGCTGGTACCTGCTGGTACCCTCTGGTACCGGTAATGTTCAAAGTATGTTTCCATGCCCGCGTGGCTCACACGCACATGCCAAGTTAACTGCCCTCTCCCGTCTACCTCAAAATCCTTCACCCCATGAAGCACCCCCATCCCGACCACGGTACAAACTCATTGATTTCCGCTAAGCATTCGTCCTCATCGAAACCTCTGCCCCACCTTCTATTTCGACCTCATCTGCTTTGTGTTCGAATCACGCCACAGACTCAATGTCCTGCCAAGATTCTTCGACCGTTATACGCAAAGGACATTGAGGCCGTTGGAGAGGTCCCACTGGAGCCAATGCCTGGTTAGAGAAGCGGCGTGAACTGGGAAGTACACTGTACTTCTAACGATTGGGAATAGCTTACTACGCTGATCCCAATTGTTAGAAGATGACTTGACGGCCAAAGTCGTTCAACGTACACCAGTTTCGTGAAATAAAGGCGGGAACAACCAAGGAGTTTTCACCCTTCAGGACTCCTACCGTATCGATAGTAAGACGATAGCAACAGCCAGTCTCATTGTGAAGTTCGTGGACCTCAACCAGCCAAAATCATCATGCGAGTTTTCGCCTTGCGAAAGTTTAACTTGATTTGGAGGCTGGCCATACAGCTATGGATGGCAACAAGATCGGCGTTATCGTCATGAATAGAATGTGTGGAGAGCCGTTACAGGAAACCGATGTGCGGAAGAGCGCCTCCAGAGAACACAAAGCAGAAATCTGCCCGAAGTTTGCACGATATATGCTTTAACTGACCCATAAATCGGTCAAACAGGGGTTCCTTCATGCGTATGCGCATTCATATCATTGCCTGGTTCCCTTCTAATGTTCTGTGCTACATAGTGACTTCAGTCCGTCAAATATCCTCGTCTAATTCACAAGCATGAATGGTCGGGACCTAGAATTGGAGACCGTTCACACTGTGGGGCCATTCTGGAATTTCTACCACCATTTCACATAACAAGCTTACCAGGCAAACAATCGTATGTGAGTCGTTCAGGCTTAATGTGGCCAACTGTCTATTTCTGACAATACGAAATGAATTCTGCAGTCGGCCTGGTTTTTTCAACGATGGGTATTTACTATTCTTATGGCAATCAATTAATAATGAACTTCACGCAGGAAAAGAGGCCGCAAGCAAGGATAGAGCTAGTGCGAAAGGGCACGACGGGAAGAATAGGATGGTTGCCCTGGTCGTAATGGGATCGATGACAAAGCGCCGTTGGGACTTGTTCTACAGCTTATCACTGGTTATGTAAAGCTCAAATAAATTCTATGTAGCATATTCTTTGCGACATCCGCTGAGTACTACCCAGGTACTACCTCGAGCACTAGTCACCTTGCTTCTTGTCAAGGTCTATCTGCCACCGACAATTGAAGCAGTCTTTTGTACATATGCACAAACAAATCAGCGATTTTCCCACAACACAAACGCACTACTATATGGTATTTTAGGACACGCAAAATAAGACGGGATCTCTTGCCCAGCTTGAACCACTGCAGTTGTTGTAGAAAAAATTGGATAGATGGATTCCTTATAATTAAACACAACTATTGTGTATTTCTGGGATTTTCTGTGAATTTTCTGCTGGTGTCGGGCAATGTGGGCCGAGCAAAATTAAGGATATGCAACCGGTCGGCCTTGGCCCGGGTATGATTGCACTTTTTTCTTCTTGTTTTCCTTGTCATACCTCATCCACTGGGTCTATGCCCTTCAAAACTCGCTTTCTAGGCCTTCAGAATATTGTCTTGGACCTCCATGCATTTTTCAGCCTTATATCTTGCTCGCCCTCTGTTCCTGGATGATTGATGGGAGCCATCAATGCAGTCTCGAAGGTATTCCTTCTCACACCGGAAAGAGAAAAAATTCCGCTCGACGGAATCGTAACAATTCAGCGTAACTGATATATCATGTGACCGGCGATATACCCGATATAGTTTATCCGCGGTCACATGATATATCAGTTGCACTGAATTTTGGTAATTCCGTCGAGCGGAATTTTTTCTCCTTCTGGTGTGTCTGGTACTCGATGTTCAATCCATAAATGGATGAAATTATAGGCTAGATCTGAAGTATAATATCTGATGATTATCTCAAAAAATCCTCGAAGTGCTAGAGCCAAGGGATGCTTATGAAAAAAAGGCATTTTTGACGAGTTGCATCATGATATCTTTGCACAGCCTGAGTGCATATCCGTAAATACCATAGTAGGCCTCTCGACAACCCAATTACCATCTCAGGCTCAATGAGGAGATTTGTATTATTCTGAATAGCAGCCTAGCATATTTGATTGAAGATGGATAGTACTATTTAAGTGGACCCAGTAAGATCTGAGAAATAATTCCGAGACTTTTGACTGGAGAAATATATGATCTCATCATGTATTGACTCTTCCAATCCTGAATAAGATAGCCTTGAGCAAGGAAGGTGAGTGCCTCGGAACGAGGCCCTTTTCCAGTCAAGATAGTTCTGGATAAGGGAAGGAGAGAAGAGGATTCCGCATCCAAGTAACAATCGGTGAGGCAACGTGCGAAAAGGCATGAAAGTGGTGATTAATTCTTTAATTTCTATGTCAGACTATTATTAGCAAGATCTCGGAGTTTTGGCTTGATGTCCAGCAACCACATATGACCACCGCTAGGTCGACATTGAGTGGGTAAGAGATATTAAGCACTGCAAGGAATGTCCCTCTCTAAACACCATTCAGGGAGGAAGCAATCGAACTCCACAATCAACGTACATAGCTGCCCGGAGAGAAAACTGCCCGGAGAGAAAACTGATATTATTAATATGACAATCTCGAAGAAATTCCTATGCCATTCCAGAGCCTGACCGGCGAGTCGTTTGTTACGCCACCAAAGTCCAAACGAAGGAGAAGAGAACACGGAGAGCGGTTGGCGATGACGATGGAGCTTGCAGCCTCAGTGACTGGTCCGCGAACGAGACAGACTGTGATACCCTGATTGAAACCTTGAGGAAACATCGACAAATTGTGCCTAATATAATTCTGCCTCTTCGGGCGTAGCAAATTGAGACGAGTAAATCACTAGAGAAGCTGCACGAGAGATATCGATACAATGTGCGAGGTGTATGGTTAACGGCGCGCGCGCTTGCTGAATTCAAGGTCAGGATTGCTGAGGATACAAGAAAGAAATTTTTGGGACTTCAATTCTCGAGCAATTTCAACATACGAAAATGGAAGGCGAGTCTGAAAACCCACGAACCAGAGATGCCGTGGAACCGTCATGTACCATGCCCAAGGTGCCAACAAAGCCTACATTCGATCTTCTGACAGCACGATCTCGTGTATCCTGATCGATTTCCCGTCCACATCATCCTGGTCGCAGACGCAGTCTCTGTCATTCCCATACGGCTCTGGACGACGCCGAGACCTGATTTCACTGAGACGCGACCACCGACACAAGAGTTTACAGGAGCTGGAGTCTTGCGAAGAGGATCTGGAAAAATCCAGATCGGGCCAGCATGCTCGCACATCTGCATTTACCGGAGCTACGAATATACCTAATCAAAAAATAGCGGGAGAATGAGCGTAATGGTAACGGACATAATATTCATGTGCATACCCTTGAGACATAAATGCTCATCTAACGAGACCCAGCTTGAAGAGGTAAACCAGTATATGCAGTACGCAAGCTGCTGGATTTCTCCCGAGCAGCTTATACATTCTACATAGCCTCTGAAACACAGGATGAGAAACCACAACATAAGGAAGACTTGATATATCACCAGTCGCTCCTTTGCAACACCGTCGCAGATAGACCATCCATCGGATACTTGGTATCGCCGCTATCCACGGCGATATGAGCTTCGAGGTCTGGTCCCGACATAAGAAAGAAAGCGGTAGGTATGTGATGCAGTATTGAGACGGGTTCAAGAGCTGAAAGGAGCTTACCTATTGCCTTTAGTTATGAGTGACCGAGGATGTCCGAAGAGATTTCGAAGGAACGAAAAGAGGATGGAAAAAAGATCCGACCAATTGAACGTTGTGGAAGAGTTCGGAGTAATGGGCGTCTATTTGCGTGTACTTTTCTCGATATAACTTGCTTGCCAAGCGTACACCTCAAGCCAACCACTGAAAATTATTTCGAGAAATTAACGGCGGCAGCACTGTATCCGTTCTCGGATTCGAAAGAGGCATAGTAGAGTGTTATTTTCTCTTCCACTGGTGAGTTTTGAAGTGACAACGTAAGGCTAGAGGTGTCTGAGATGTCTGACAAGGCTGCGTCATTCAGATTCTCGGAGACCAGATGATGGATTTTCTTTTAGATATTCCGTCACATCTACGAGGCAAGATAGAATCGCTATGAACGAACTTTCAATCCCTCTCTCTTCCTCCAATCCGTATGCCGACTCTAATCTGTTCCAATTCGAGTTCACATCTTCGCAAATCCCTCGTACGCTCGGAAAAATGGTCCCGGTGAGATTTCGGTTCAACTTATACATTCCCATTCTTAGCCTGAGATGTTATCTAGGGCGGATTCGCACTAAGGTGTGTACATATATGACAACCTAACAAGTTATTAACAAAAATTGGAAATGAAGCACAGTTTGACGGTGTTTGATCCAAGAACCGAACATACCTCTGGATTGTACTATCAGATCTTCGACAGAATTCTTTTTTGATTAAAACCGCTAATCCTGAGTCTCTTATCCGTCTATCTTAGTAATACAAGATAATCAAACCTAAGCTCACAAGAGCTTGAATGTTTCCCTGTGTTCAGGAAGAAGTCCGAAGAAGGTACGTACCAGGCGAAACCCGGTATTTTCAAGCTCATCTCGCTCTCTTTCCGCTGAGACCGCCGCGTCTGGTTCCTTATCTAGAGTGGTGGTTTCGAACCTAAGTTCTTACAGTCGTCAAGTGGCGTTGAATGGACATCGGAAGGAAGTTCGGTGCTGGTAACGACTGGGTGTAGACGATAGACGATGGACGAGGTCGGTCTTGATTGACTCTCGAAGGTAAATACATAGCTGTCCCCGTCGAAATCCACCGAACGCTCGCTTATCCCTGAATCAAAATCACGTTCTGATATCCCGGTGTCTCCAATAAGACAGTCTTACAAGAGACACGGTTCCCTTTACTAAACGCTCAACCTGTGAAGAGAGAGAAGACATCCGCCTCCTTTCGCACTATTCCACCGGGAAACCGTCCCATTGTCAGGAAACGTATCCGTTCAGGAAACTCAAGCTCAGCTTTTGGCAAGGCCGTCGCAGCTACGTCGAGGACTTCACGGGATCCTTCGGTCTCGTCGAAAAGTTCTTCCGGAACTTCCAGCGCAGCTTGCTCGATGGAGCAGGGCCTTGCTTCTGGATCTTTATCTAGAAGCTTCGCAAACCCTGGTGGGAGCTCTCAGTCGGCCAGGGAAAGATTCGCAGGCTCTAGGCAGGTGAGGGTTTGCCCCAGTCCCTTGACGTATTGGTCATTTCACACTATCTTGTCCAGACGTTGCCGAAACACCTCACTCGTCCTGTTGGATTGATTTCCGCTCAGACATGCGGAGCGAAGTCTGTACCGCTCGAGAACACGAGGAGGTGCCTACAAGGAGACGCCAGCTTCATACGTTCTATACGGTTCCAGACTTTAAGTCTTCACACGTTGCTCAGGACGCGCTGTTGACTAGCCTCAAGGGACAAATTAAGCCATGGTTGTGAGAGACTCACCCTTTTCCCCGAATTTTTCCTATCCATTCCACCCCTGGAAACACCCCATTTACTCCTTTAAAAAGTAGCGGAGGTACTTGTTGTACTCCAAAAAATAACGACAGTGTAATCACATATACTAGTAAGGCAAACAATTACATTTTATGCTTAATTATAGTGTGCCCTTCTCGCTGCAGCTCTACCCCTCACACCTGCATTACTCTGAGCCGTCGTTGCATTTCTTCCAGGTGTAGACACATGAAACCCCCCGCTACCTGCCAGCCGAACGCGGCGTCTACGTGCACGTGCACCACCACGAAGGCGTTTAACACCAGTAGCGTTGACCAATTTATCAGAAGCAGACGAGGGTTCTCTTGTATGTTTTGATGCCGAAGTCCCTTCTTTTCCGATATGTTGCTCATCATCACCTTGATCTTCGTCGTCACTTTGATCTTCATCGTCACTTTCTTCTGAGTCCATATCGGACTCCTCATCATCCACTGCCTCCCACGCCCATTGATTGCTTCTGATTAAGGAATTTTGTGAAGGTAGATTAGTGCCGTGCATGTGTGAAGAATTGAAGGACCTGTTATTCAAATATAATCTGTGGTCACTGGTGATTATACTGAAATAAGGGAACTAACCATAAGGCATTTGCTCGAGTAGCGATGTAATATCCCAATTGCAAATTCACAAATCCCCACTCATTCCACTCTTCCACACCTTTCCACCACACCTGTGCACAAAGCCCTCTTGATGCGTCGTTTTCGATGTGCATTGGGGCCTGATATCCCTGGCATTTGAAAAGATTTGCGCCACTTGCACCAAGCCTGTCGCATGTAGTAGCTGCATCTTTTAGATACCTGACCAAGTTAGAATCCACTGATCTAGCTGCTTCCAGAAGTGGTAGGGAATCTCTGGCATGGCGGAACATCAGGCGGATAGTGTATTCATCGTCGGCTGACATCCCCTTATAGACTCCATAACTTGTGCCTTTGTCACCTCCCATGGGAACCCTACTTCCAAGTGCAAACATTGACCCTCTACTCCAATATAGCATTTTGTCTGATCTTGCCCTGTTCAGTGCCTTTACACCACAGTCTTCCTCTGTACTGTTTGCCATTTCTTGGAGAATGTCGGCAGGAAATGGGTTGAAGTATACAAACTCAAACTATCATGGCAATTTGTTAACCATGTTAATGTACACAAAATTGATCTCACCATTTTCAAAGTTTTCCTGTCCATAATAGTCCATAATGCGGAAGATGTGTCGACCACAACGTCTGACAATGGTAGGATTAGACTGAATCAAAGTTAAATGAAGGTCGCGCTCAGGATGATAGATTTCGGTAAGTGGTTTGCGTTTCTTTATGCTACCATCAGCATTGCGTATCATTGGTGGCTGGTTTAGCAAAGTTAAGAAGTGATTTTTCAAATTCAAAAGTCTTACTGTTACAGGTTCCACCTGTTCATTTTCTGGTACACAACTGATGCCGGCGCCTTCAAGATCAAAATTAGGAAACTCATGTTTGAGCTCCTCCATAGTCTTGAATATAGTTAAATGGTCTGTAACACATCTTTGATCCTGGGGTTGGTTGTGGCAATGTCGACATAAACCTGGACACCATCCCTGCACATCTTTGCACAACTTCTCATAGTTGTCCTGCCAAATGCTAATTAGTATTGACTAAAACTCTGAATATTAACCGTACCTGTCTAATTTTATGATCCCAAACTTTATTGACTAGTCTCTCTTTATAGTCAAAATATTCCAGCGTACAGGCCGCAATGAGTTTCAGCGGTTCAGGAATTTTTATCCTATCTATATCATTCCTTCCTTGTTTGCTAACCATCCAACGCTGAATGACTTGATAGAGAATGGATGGATTTATTCCTTCAAGCTATAGGTAGAAATTAATGATCAAGGTCTAAGTGAGTTTTGAAGTAAACCCTACATCGACATGTCTCTCATCCGAGTCTAGTCCTGGAGCTATAGAACGGTTCCAGACATGAATGAAATTATCTTGAGACAAAAAAGTGTAGACATGGGAGGGAAAAGCCTGCAATGGAATGACATTTTCCCATGTCATAGCCTGGAAGATCTTCACTGGCTGTTTCTTCCAGTCAAACTTGGTATATTTGACTGTGTCCTGTTTCTGCAATAGACAAATTGTACAAATATAATATTATCACGAATAATTTGAAACTCACTTGTTGTTGATAGTTTCCACTAGTGCTAAAAACACCGCAGAGCTTGGATTCCTAACAAAATTGTAAGCTGTGATAATCTGGTGAAATCACATAATTTACCTTGAATGCTAGGTACCAGTCAATTTCTTCGTAAGTCCCTTTCGATATTCCCTTCATCTCAGCTAGAACACTAAGCCATCTTTCTTTAGCTGTCTCTTCTTCCTGAATAATGTCAGCTCCCTTGTAAAGTTCTATAGTAAGTGTTGAGATCTTGCTGCCGTATTTCCTACATACCTCCGACAGAAAAATAGATGTTAATATTGTCGCCCATTCATTTTGTCTTTCAAGAAAGGTGGATCGTGAATCACGCTTGGTAAGTTTTGAAGGTTTTTTGGCTAGATTTGGCACATTTTCTGCCAGACTTTGTACGTTCTCAGCCGATTTCGCCTGTAAAATGCTTTCCAGGATCTCGGACGATTTGGCTGCAATCTGGCTGGGATCGGTAGAAGGATTGGCATATCTGGTCCGCTACGTGCAATCAATGAGTATGTCTATTTCTGGCTTGAAGACAACTTACCCCAGCCACAATCTGTGTTTGTGCAGATCGGAGATAATCTGTCGCGACGAGGCAGGAAGCGGGAGGCGGGAGGTCCAGATATGCCTAGGAGCGACAGTGGCAGAGCGAAGAGGCACAGAAACAAGCACAGAGCACAGATGAAAGAAATAATGGTCTCGAACAACAGTGGGATAGCGTCAAAGGCCAATCACACCAGCAATCAAAAGGGAATCTAGTTGCCCAATGACCAAGTTAGATAGGTAGTATCTAAAAGGATACAAGTACTTGCCTAGTTGCCCAATGACCAAGAGGTCGAGATGGGGAACTAGGGCCTGTCTACTGTCCTTTATATACTACTCTTGTCTACTGAGTAAGCGATTGTAAATAACGATGCGATATAGAACAAGAGTGAGGAATCAATATATACGAGTAATAATGAGTCGATAATGAACCATAATGAACTAATCGATGAATAAGGATGAGTTGTATGGAAGCGTACGGAAACAAATGGAACTAATGGGATGATCGTGTGATGAAGTACAATAAACATGTGAAAACAGATTGATGGGAACACACCGCGCTGATGGCGCATCAAAGGGCGCATCATGAGACTTCATGACATTACCCCCTTCCTTAAAGTCGATGTCCCAGCGACTAGTTGTTTACCTCGGTGAAGTTGACCATTGGCTGCCATGGTAGTGAGTGAAAGATCGTTGCCGAAATCTTCCTTGGTGCATTTGGATGTGCTGCATAAAATTCGTTAATGGCTTCGTCACTGGATCCTACCACATTTTCCTCATTTTCCCAGGTGTCATGGCCCTCGTCGTAGCCTTTCCACCGGACTAAGTACTGCAGCTTTTTCCACCGTCCATGTATTCTGCTGTCCAGGATCCTGTCCACATCGTAAAATTCTTCACCATCAATGACCTCCGGCTCCGGCGGAGCTGGCAGTATTCCGTTGACTTCGTTTCCTTTCCATGGTGCCAAGCGCTTGACATTAATGTTGTCATGGATCTTCATCCATGTAGGAAGTGCAAGCCGGTAAGTGTGTGCCCCTGTCTTCTCAATAACTTCGAAAGGTCCTAGTCGGCGGCTTCCCAGCTTCTCACTTTTGCATCGAATTTTTAGGTTATTGACTGAGAGCCATACGGGCTGTCCAACTTCAAAGCTAGGTTGGTTAGGGTGTTCCGCGATTGTATCTGCGATCCGTTGTTTGCTCATACGTAGTGCGGCTTCTGCATCTTCCCGAGCATGGCGGAGTGCATTTAGCCGATCTGTGATTGAAGGGTATTCCTTCCAGGATCCTATGGGGATGGAGAATTCTGGGGTATAACTGTAGAGCACTTCAAATGGTGCTTTGTCGTGGGCAAAATGTACTCGAGAGTTAATAACGAATTCGGCAGTAGGAAGAAGACGGTCCCAGTCATCCTGACGTCGGCTAACATACATCCGGATGTATCTTTCGATTTCTTGGTTAGCTCGTTCAGTCTGGCCATTTGTTTCAGGGTGGTATGACGTTGTCAGGGCAGATTCAATACCCAACCGTTTTAGCAAGGCCTTCATGATGTCGGCAGCAAATTGTGGTCCTCGATCAGAGATAAATCGTCTGGGCAGTCCATGAAGTCGGAAGATTTCTTTATAATAGAAGTCGGCAACTCCTTCGGCAGTCAGTTCGGTTGTAGTGGGGAAGCAGTGAATCATTTTGGAGTAATGGTCTGTGAAGGTGATTGCCACATTGTGTCCATCTTGTGTCATCGGTAGTTCTCCAATGAGGTCCACGCCGATGTCCTGCCATGGTCCTCCTGGTACAGGCAGAGGCTCTAGAGATGATTGTGGCTGCGGCCTTACACGTCTTCGTTGACAGTTGTCACATCCTTCCACATACTTATCAACAAATGATCGAACCGTAGGCCACCAAAACTGTCGGCTAACTGACTCTAGGGTGCGGTGCTTTCCTGGGTGACCAGCTGTGAGTGCGTCATGACACTGTGCTACGACATCCCGGCGTAGTTGAGGATCAGGTGGGACATACACCCGGCCTTTGTAATAGACAATTCCTTCCTTCTCTTCCCATTCGGCTAGACCATTCACAAGTTTGTGGGGTCCATGTGTCTTCAATTTACGTAGTCCTTCAAGAACCTCCGATTCTCGCTCGCTTGCCTTCCGAATGCGCTCCTCAAGGGGGTTTTGGAACAAGACGGCTGTAGCAGCTCGGAGGAAGTGTTCTGGCCGTAAAACTATTTGTTGTTGGTTGTCATCAGCATCCATAACCTCGAGTTGAGAGACTCGGGAGAGAGCGTCAGCTTGTGCATTTGCTTTACCAGCCCTATGTGTAAGAGTAAAGTCAAACCGTGAGAGCCACAGGGCCCATCTTGCTTGTCGCCGGCTTAGATCCTGTGCAGTTCGCCAGTATTCCAGGTTTCGATGGTCGGTCACAATTTCAAAGGGGTTTGGGAGTCCTTCTAGGAAGTGTCGCCAGTCTTTCAGGGCTTCGATGATGGCTAACATCTCTCGGTCGTAGATTTCATAGTTCCGCTCTGCAGGGTCCATGGAAGCAGATCGGAATGCCACGGGATGCCAAAGTCCATCTCTTTGCTGTTGTAATAGCGCCCCTCCAGTTGCGAACCCAGAAGCATCCACTTCGATACGTGCCGGTTTGTCGGGATCCCAGAGGACTAGAATGGGTGCTGTGGTAAAAGCTTCTTTTAACGCCTCAAATGCTACCTGCTCATTGGTACCCCAAGACCATCCCACCCCCTTCTTGGTGAGGTCATTCAGTGCTCACGCCTTTTTAGCGAATCCATCAATGAAGCGTCTGTAGAAGTTAGCAAAGCCTAGGAATCCTCGGACATCTCGGAGGCAGGTTGGGGCTGGCCAGTTCTTAACCGCCTCAACTTTGACAGGATCCATACGAACCTCTCCCTCGCTGATGATTAGGCCCAGGTATTCAATAGAGGTTTGTTCAAATTCGCACTTCTCAGGGCGGAGGTAGAGGTCATTCTTGGCTAATCGTTCCAAAACTTCATGAACTATTTTCCGGTGTTCCTGTAGGGATGCGGAAAAGATGAGGATATCATCCAGATACACAGCTACTTTTCCTGCCGCGATAAGATCAGCAAAAATGGAGTTCATAAGGGCCTGGAACGTAGCTGGCGAGTTGGTGAGGCCGAAGAACATGACCAGTGGTTCAAAGAGTCCCCGGTTAGTGGAGAAAGCTGCTTTCCACTCATGGCCTTCCTTGATCCGGACGTTATTGTAACCCCATCGTACGTCAAACTTGGTGAAGTATTTGGCTTGTCGTAGACAATTGATGATGTCAGCGACCAGAGGGAGAGGATAACCCACGCTCGAGTAATTTGTCGGTTGTCTACGTCGATGGCTGCTTCAATCAGTTCCTGAAGGGAGCCAGTGGGGCGGGTTGTGAATACAAGACCATCTTTTACTCGATCTGCAAGGTGATCGTAGAACCGGTCTCGCAAGTCTTTGTCTGAGTAGCCAGTGCGGTCTGCGTACTGTTGGAAGGTAGAGGCATAGGTTCCCACCGTGGTCCTATTCTGGTAGAGCCGTTTAAGGAGCTGCTTGGCATCGGCCGAGGCATCTGTGGTCTCAAAACGTGTTTTGAAAGCTGTAACAAATTCTTCCCATGTATCGTATGGGAAAGGTACTCCTGAGCCAGTTATACTTGATCTATTAATTGTTTCGGAGATAGGAGTGGCCCAGATAGCTGCATCCCCCTCAAGGTATGTAATGGCGGATGTGATTTTCTTTTTACGATCCGTGGAGAGAGCAGGGATAGAGTTGGCCCACAGCTCAAAGGCAGCTAGGAAGCGCCGGGCATCTTCTCCTCGCTTTCCATTGTAGTTCTGTGGCTTGCCAACACTTTTGGTAGTGCTGAGGCCACTTACTAGCTCAGAGACCACGTCTTGGAGCTTAGCCTGGTTTTTTGTAAGCTCTGTAATAGCGTCTCGAACGTCCTGTGCTGAGGACATGTCTTCTTCAGGGATTGATTGTATTTCGATATCGGGGTCGGCTGTGGTCTCAGTGACAGCAGGAGCTAATGGTTCTGCAGATGCTAGCGGAGGTGCAGGAGTGGAAGTAGTAGGAGTACTGATTCGTCCTACCCTGGCAGGTGGTGCTGGTCTGTGGATGGGTTGGTAACGGTCGGTCGGACTTGCGTCAAATGTGTTCTCGTATCGATTAGGGCACGGTTGTCTGGAGCAGGGTTCCCACTCTTCTTCTTCAGCGTCCCAGTAGCAAGTGGTGTTGGTTACAGTATCAAGCGCGTGAAAGTGGTTGGAGCAATCAACGTTGACTCCGAAGGTAGACGTGGTGGGTGCCTTGTAGGATCAGCTCACCAAGCTGATGGTACAAGTAGAAGATCTCGACCTAATGTCGCGACGAGGCAGGAAGCGGGAGGCGGGAGGTCCAGATATGCCTAGGAGCGACAGTGGCAGAGCGAAGAGGCACAGAAACAAGCACAGAGCACAGATGAAAGAAATAATGGTCTCGAACAACAGTGGGATAGCGTCAAAGGCCAATCACACCAGCAATCAAAAGGGAATCTAGTTGCCCAATGACCAAGTTAGATAGGTAGTATCTAAAAGGATACAAGTACTTGCCTAGTTGCCCAATGACCAAGAGGTCGAGATGGGGAACTAGGGCCTGTCTACTGTCCTTTATATACTACTCTTGTCTACTGAGTAAGCGATTGTAAATAACGATGCGATATAGAACAAGAGTGAGGAATCAATATATACGAGTAATAATGAGTCGATAATGAACCATAATGAACTAATCGATGAATAAGGATGAGTTGTATGGAAGCGTACGGAAACAAATGGAACTAATGGGATGAAGTACAATAAACATGTGAAAACAGATTGATGGGAACACACCGCGCTGATGGCGCATCAAAGGGCACATCATGAGACTTCATGACATAATCCAACCACTCTGCTTCAGGCAGTTTGCATCTGCAAAACCTGTATGTTCGCCAGAGCAAGGGTACTGGCTGGAGAGCGCTCTCCAGCACCCAAAGCACCGAGAGCAAAATTTCAACCTTGCTCTGGGTGCTTTGGTTGCTGGGAAGCGCTCTCAGCTGCTTTCAGAGAATTAGCCGAAAAAACAGGTTTTGCAGATGTGACCAGCTTCCAGAAGTGATCCATTGCTTGATCTGAATTTAATTTGGTTTGATGAAGTTTGAGACACTCTCCTATCCATTTATATGTTGTTTCCTGTATATTATCCACTAGGATTTGGAGTTAGTGAATCACTATGCAGTTACTTTAATATCCTGATTATTACCAAAATACTTCTGTTCACATTTTCTTCTCCATATAACCGTTATCAGATGAGCTCGATTTCTGCTGATACGGTTAGCTCTTTGAAACTCATTCCACTCCAGAATACAGTTTTTGATTATAGATTTTAAAGGTGGGGAAGGCTCTTCAACTGCCGGAGGAACTTTCAAGATTTGAGGCATCGATATCAAGGTCGCAGATAAAGATCAAGAACGGTCATATGATTGAAATATAAATATTAGCCTGCCCCGTGACTCCATTAATATTGTGTTGTGTTTGCACCGTGGATTGAGGGCGCTTATTTCCTGACTTTGACGGTAGAAGTGTTTAGCAAGTTGAGTCGGGTGGAGTCCCGTCCTTACTTCAACTGTAAACCCGCTTTAGCGTCTGGCTAATTCGGGTTCAACTTGGTATTCTAATTCTTGTCAATTAGTTATAGCATCTGCTTATCTTCCAGTTTCGTGATGGGTCTACTTATCTTCCGTGCTTCCGTGGTGTGTTACGTGTCTTAATACTTCTCTCCTCTATCTTTACATTTTCCGACAGCCCTTTACTATGAATAAGGTCTTAATTGATGTTTTCAGTGGGATTTTGCCTCTGAATCATTTCCGTATGCCCATCCGTATGCCCAAGCGTACAAGCGGAACTGCTTATGGATGATGAAGAGGACTGGGATGGTGGACATCCACATGTTCAAGGCTTCAAGTGATTATGTAGCCCGGCTCTCCGTGGATCATTCGAAAGTGAAGCCGAAGGAAAAGGTTCGATCCGCCGAAACCGCTGGCAAAAGACACTCTGTGCTCGACGTTAGGGATCGTTGGGTCCCCGGAAACGTACGCCCCAAGGGCCCGACTCCATAGCTGACATAGTACCTTTCATTTTCAGTGTGAAGGTGCGCTCCGACCGAAAATGAGACAAGACGCGGTTTTAATCAGGGTCCCTGCGTAGATACGTCTTGGGACTATCCGCCAACTCCGAACTAAAGCTGGTACTGTCGCTGCCAAACCTATCAATCATGCGCACAACCAAATGGATGTTTGTGGTGATGCCCAACTGACGGCGACTCAGTGCGGGAGGACGACGAGCTCTACCTCGCCCAGGAATAACACCTTTATGAACACTCGGGACGCCGGCACCTTCTCAACCACTATCCGTTTCCCGCCTCTCTTCTCTTCAGACTTGGGTCCGCCTGTGCTGTTATACCCTTCTCCTACTCTCACGGCGCGTATGCATTACGGCGAAGATCTCAGTCTTTCGTATCCTCATTCTTACGACTCCTACGACCCGATTAATATTCTCAAGATAACGATGGTGCTAGCCATTCCGATGATACCTCTAGCGCACTTAGCGTTCCTCAACCGAGGTTGAGATTCCGCTTGATGAGTTATTGAGAGGGATGGATGAGTTATTGGGAGAGATGGATGGGTTTGACGGTATGGGAGGTATGGAGGGCTTGGACGGCGGAGACGACATGGATGGCCTCCTTAATCATTTGCACCTGGTGCGGTAGGTGGAGTGCGGTTCTGGAGACCTTGGTCTCCGGCTTTTTTCGCAACTCTATCCCAGAAGGGGTCAAGTGACACCACGACAAATACCTCGAGTTGTTCAACCAATTTACTCAAACTACGACAACGGCGTCGTCGTCGACTCCCCCGTTGTTCGGTACCACCTCCTTAGTTCCACCGTCCAAAAACCCCAACGCGAACGATTTCGATGGGGAAGATGAAAGCCAAGACGTAGAGATGTTCGATCATTCCTCTTCCGCTTATCACCCCTTGATCTTTGACGACAATCCCAATAACGAACATATCTCTTCGTTTGATTGTGACCTCAACTCTGCTGAACCTATCCAAGTTCCCATCCCAACTGTATCCGGAGACTCGTTGCGTGTGCTGTTTGGGGACTCTCCCAGTGGTCGTTTATCAACTCCATTCGAGGAGGCTCTGAGTTTCAGTGGCCAGCAAGGTCGTTTGAGTCGGCTTAGCAGTCCCACTAGCCGCAGTAGCCATCACACCCATCTTTCCAACCACAAAGATGACGCAGAGTTCAGTGTGGACGTCGATGTTGAATCGGACAACTCAGACTCCAAGTCCAACTCTAGCGAGTCTGTCGAGTTGATGATGTCTTCCCCGACCACGATGACGTTAAGCAGTGCTCAACACAGTACTGAGTTCGTTTATTCCGGTGCTGGCTCCGTAGGGGGAGTGAAAAAGAAACTCTGTGGTATCGAGCTTATTTGGCCCCCAACTAGAGCAAGTCTCTCAGCCAGAGGAGGTCTACAACCACTCGTCCTTCCTCTCCTACTGGAGGGGGAGGAGTTGCTGGTGGTGGTCTTTCTGTCTCTAGTAAACCCAGGGCTTCATCTAGACCACACAACCGGCCTACACCTTGGGCGAACGCACGAGCTATGCCGAGACCTTCTGCCCGTCAGACTGCGAGAGCTGGTGTACGGAATATTCATAATAGCAATAGCACTACTCCCAGATCTAGTGCCGCTGCTTCTTCAAGGCCTGCGCTTACGGTGTGAACGTCTTCGAGTGGAGTGTCGACGAGATCAGGTTTGCCGAGTGCGACTGCACGTCCGAGTTCGCTTGTTCCGTCGATTTGAAGGATCTGGTGGCAAGGATGGAGAAACTGGAGAGGGAAACCCATGAACTGGAGGCGAAGAACAGGGACCTTGAGAACAGGGTGGACAGAATGGCACACGTGGGGAGGCAAGAAGAGGAAGCGCAGGTGGAGAGAATGTCAGAAAGGGCGAGGGAAGTTACTGGCTATGGCGCACACCAAAAGAGGATGGGAGAAGAGGAAACAGTGTACGATAGCCGAAGTGGGAAGGTTCCGCGCGGGAACTACGCGGAATCAGTCCATGATATGGGCGGCAGGGGTAATGGTCACAGGGACTTCCGACAGAACGAATCTCACACTCGCGGGAGTTATCAGCATAATCGAGCTTACGGCATGCCGCCGCCACGTCTCGGCCAGCCAGCACCGACTGCCCCTGCAAAGGATAAGCAGGACCTGAGGTTAGCTATTGGAGTGTTTCGAGGCCAATATGCCACTGCCACTGTGGGTGAACAGATCGCCCTCATTGCGCAAACTGTTCCGAGGAGCTTCATCCCCAGCGATGCCAGGAGAGATGACTACCGATTTGGGTTACTGGTAATGACATTCAGGTCCTACAATGACAGGGATGCTTTTACGCAAGAGTGGAGCGCACACTATAAGAATTCATTGCTGGAGTGGGAAGGATTGAAGCTCCGGGGTATTGGGGAAGATTTCTAGGGAGGGTGGAGGGTTTTCCTTGGGGCAATGAGGTCAAATCTGCACAAACAGGAGGGGGTAGTAAATAACAGCTGGAGTAACACACTGCATGCATATTGAGGCAGGGAAGACCGTGTAATTCATGATACCATGGGAGGGGTTTTTTTCTGCTTTTCCCCTCAATAACCAGGACATGGATGAACATAATCGCCCCCCTGTATTAGATATGTGTGTTCCATTATTGTACAACATTATGTAATATTGTACAGTACATGGTAAACTGGTCGTTCGGGAATCGGACCTCGCCAGTATAATTCATATCCTATCCTATCCTATCCTATCCTCAGATGAACCCAGTGGCCAATTACATCTGTTTGCAGGAACTTGCTTTTTCTTCTTCTTCTTCTCAATCCCTTTAAATTTTGCTTTTTGAAAAGGATTACCCGGTCTCGGTACCTCGAGTGCGGCCGAATCAGACAGGCGTGATTTGGGAGAGGGTATTGTTAATCCCGACGTCGGACTGCGTTCGCCGCCCTTCTGCAATCCAGACCCACTCTCGATAGAGATAACGATAACATCGACTCCATTATTCAGCGTTGCCTTCAATTCTTGTAGGGACGATGAGACTGTAGACGGAGATGCCAGGGTAGCCGGAGTGGCGGAAAGAGTGGATACGCTGGTGTGAAAATGAACATCGAAGTCCAAGCTGTCTTCATCATCTTTTAATCCGAGTTGGAACCGTAATCCAACACGAGACTTGACGCGTGACTCTGGAGAACAGGCGGAGGGGGTTGTGGTACGGGTGAAGTCGCAGAGGACTGAGGGTCCGTATTACGCCGTGTTCGAGCCTTTGGCTGAACGCTAATCATTCTCTGTTTACCTCGAGGAGGAAGTGGATCACTGGAGTAATAAACTCTCTCGGAGAATCGAGTATATCTAAACCACGCTTGTCCTCGACGGAGACAAGATAGAGGGATTGACGGATGGCGGCGTTGCTACCTGCGTCTGGGGGAATGGACGTATGCTTTTGTTGACCAAATTGAACCGCAGGGTGGTCGGGAGTAGAAGTTTCGATCCTTGCTCTGGAACTACGGCTAAGCCCAGAATAAAGGCCAGGCTCAATTTCAGAATTCACTTGATCACCGGCCTCTGGGATCCTCCCCATACCAAGGCTAGGAATCAATTCGGGAGGTTTTGTTCTCGCTAACCACTCCCCAGCGTCAACTCCTCTGTATGATCGCCATGGACGCTGGAATTGCGGTTGGTTATTTCGTGACCAATCCTACGGTCACGTCTTGGCATATTCAGGAAACCATCCAGAGATCCGTTTGACTGAGGTTGAGGTAAAGTATTACCCGTAGCAATGGTCTATGTAGCAGTAAGGAGTCCGGAGTCGAAAAGTCGAGGGAAACGATGACATACCTGACCAGGACGCTGCAGCTGCCACATTTCAGTGACGTCTTTCGCCTGCTGAGGATCGTTCTGCAATAACACCAAAAATTTCTCAGCAGCCCATTTCAGGTCATCACAATGCGTGTCTGGTTCGTCATGACCTCTCTGTCCGATGATGGCCTCTGCTTCTACTCCCGCGCCATCTCCAAGAAAAGGATTACCGACGACCGCAATAGGTGGAGGGGAAGTCAATCCAGGTATGTGCGCATTAGTTTGCGTAGATGTCTGGATGTGAGCGTGAGGAGAGTAAAACTGGTGAATATGTCCGTTTTGATTCCCTGGTGAACTTGGGATCTTGACAAGGTTATTAGAAACCTGAGGACCTCCGAATCTCGTACTAGGACCTGAGGCTGAAACAGCCGACGGACGCGAAAACAATTCATGTTGCCCAACACTATCTGGGATAAGATGATTGTCGCGAGCTTCATACAGATTTTGAGCATGGTACGCGTCGTGATGAGTATGTGAAACATGTCCATGATACCGACTCGTACTGGAATTAGCGAGCACAGTGGAAGGACGAGGTTTCGCAGGACGATCCCGTTTAAGAAGTTTGACTCCATCGTCGAAAACCTTTCGTTTCCCGAGCGCCTTCTCCGATAAACCAGGGGGATTCAGCAATCTTGGATCAGGTTGAATTGTGAATTTCTGAGCCTTTATGAATGACACTCGACGAATTTACGAGGTTCTGGTTGAGAATAGCTTTTTCTCAAGGACTGAGCCAAAAACGATGAGGAGATCCATGACTGGGTCGAGATTGATTAGGAGAAAGAGGTTGGCACCGAAACTGACGGTAAAACGCAGACGACGTGGAGAGGGATTCGTAAGAGCTTCCAGAGGTCAGCATATTGAGCTACAGCATTTGCAGTGGTGGAGCTAGAAGGTTTTTTCCGGAACTTGATATCTTTTAGAAAAGATGACTTTGGGGGTCCTGCGAAAACTGATGAGAGCGCTCTCCGGGGAATTCCAGGTGGTTGAGTTGTTGGTTTCGGGTTTGGGCTTGTAAGAGGCATGGCAATCTTCCCAGTGTCGACGGAAGGATATGACGACGACGCTTGCACTTTATGAACCTCTGACAGGTCCAGATACGGAAGATCATCTTCATCGTCTGTCTCATCTCCAGGAAACTCTGCGTCCGAGTTCTGAACAATCCAATACCCTGCCACAGTTTCAGGAGCCAGAATTGAGGCAAACATACGCTCTACCCACCCTGAATTTCTTGTTGAGAAGGATAACATCCTAACCTTCCGCTTTCAATTCATTGATCCAGCACTACACCTATTCAATTCAGGGGGTAGGCCGTGCTTCGTCCCAAGATTTTGGATTTCGCCTTGTCGATGGTTCTTCACTCCGATTTGTCGCGTATTAGAATTCTTGACCAGCAACATCCGATGGTCACGCTTTTTCTGTTTAGAGGAGGAATTGGGTATGGTGGACTCGTGCGCATTCTTCAACCAGCAAGAGCCGCACGTAACCATCACCGTCCTCGCGCGTCTTGTCAGTCGGCATTATACCACCTGGGATATAGGAAATCTCCGTCGTCGTCGAGTTTTGACTGACCACTATGGAGACAGAACTGTTGCCAGACGAATCACAATGGCGCCGCGACGGTAGATGGGTTCAACTTGGCCTTTTTGCGAGGCAGGTGAACACCGTCAAATGGAGTCTGGACTTTGTTTCTGTTTACGACGAACGACAGGTCGAGGTTTGTCTATGAATGCCCCAAAGTAGTTATCCTCTGCGTTATGTATCATGGAAGCGTTCAAAGCATCCTGAAGGTTTGTGTACTGCATTATGGTATTGTTTTGATGATGATGATGGAAGCGCAGAAATAGAGGGAGCAGAAACGTTCGGTCTAGGAGGTGCTTTCTTGTGATGCGACCCGAATGGTGGAAGCGACGGGGAATCCTGGATGGAGAGCTGAACTTAGTAATCTTTTCCAGGACTTTCGGATGTGGTTTTAAATAATGGGCATGAGTAGTGTCTCTAGGAAGAGAGGCTTGGATATGGAAGAGAAAGATGTGAGTGTGCCGGTACCATGACCATGGTAGGATTCGGGTCAAACTTTTCGCTTGGTTCTTGTTGATGGTAGTTTTCTGACTGCTGTCGCAGGGGCGAGAGCGTGCTAGTTGATGATTTGGGGGATCCCTTGGGGAGAAAAGAGAAGCACCATCCAATGAAGATGACGGCGAAAGGGGAGAGATGGACTCCCGACGAGGAGAAGTTAAGAGACTACTGTTGATGCATTCAGACATATTCTAGCCTAGATGTAGGATGAATGATTCAATGGACAATAAAGCAATAAAGGTCATGACAGTAGTAAAACTCACTACAGCCGTCTCGGTATCGGCGTCTACACCTTCGGCGTCTTTAAACCGCACCGAAATTCTAAAACAAATGAGATTAGCTACTCAGACACTCACAGTGAAATATGGAAGTCATACCGGAATATTTGCACATTTTTCTAACGCTGAAAACGACTCAGACGACTATACATCCTGATGAATTGGAAACTGCTTCAAAGCGGCGACCTCTAAAGACGTGCATTCGGAAGTAGATTCATTCTGGGACTCTCGTGGAAGACATTTTGGATGTCGAATTTGGTTGAAATAAGCCCTCCACGCAAGACTTTTCTAATCTAAACGGTTTTAAATGTTCGACGGACCTTCGAAACGCGCGGCAAGAAGCGAGAGAGATCGAGGCTGGGAGCTGGGGGTGAATGCGCCAGATGATTGTTCGAATGCTTCCTCCGTCACCTCATATAGCGGCTCGTCTTTCGTCTTCAAGCTTCGATCTAGTTTATCCAAGTCGGTAAAATCCACATTAAGGTGACTGTTAATGAAGGACGCGACCACCCTGCCAGTTTGAGTGGGCCAGAAATCCTTGAAAGTACCCTTGCACTTCGTAAAATCCTCCTTGTGATTCGGGTAATCACGCTTGATATTCTGCCAATGTCGGCCTGCTTGCTCAGATAGCCCTAACAGGCCCTAACGTGGAATTTCCCATTTAACCGGCGTTACAGCGTAGCATACGATTGGGGTAGTCGAACACTCGAATGAAATTCAATCTGCTTGTCTAGTAACCGTCTGAACACTCCCATTGTCTTCTCGGGCTCATCCCAATGCATCTGATATATAGTATGATATATCAGCGTAAGCCTTACATGGAAAAGATTCTCAAGCATCACTCACGAAATGGTTCACGCCATTTATAATCAAAATTCGTATGAACTTTCCCTTCTCTCCCCCTCCAGCCTTCATATCATCGTCCTCGATCTCCCAAAAGGTCGGCCAGACGAACAAGTAAGATTTATCCCCGATAACTGCCCAGACCGTCGCCATATTCTACAGTGCAGATTAATCCGTAGTTTCTTATCAAAGCACGCCTTCAAGTAAGTCTTTCGGAGTTGATGTTGGAGGACCTTTGTAAAGTACAAATCGATGCTGGATTATGGCGTGAGAATGACGTTCTCGTCATGTTCCGCTGCGAGGAAAGTGTTCGGGAAAGTGTTCGGGAAAGCCAAAGTTCTTGTCTGTAGTCGTAATAGCCTGTGATTAGATGGCTGAAGAGCGGTGCGCGAGCTGAGTAAGGAATGTTGGGATCGCGGAACGCAAGCCACGTTTCTGGGGGAATGGAAAGACCGAAACCCGTGAGCGCGGGCTCTGCATGTACCATGGTTTTGTCAAAACAAGTAAACAATTTTAGAGCGAATTTGTGGCTCACCTAACATAATATGGGCACGTAAATACTGTCCAACCCGATCTCGCATCCCGTTAGAGACCAAGAGGAGTCTACGTTCGCGATTGCCGAAAGGGAAAATGTGACCCCAAAAGACCAGCCAACGATAGCTAGTCCACTTTTCCGGGTCTTCTCATCACCATCCACCTTCTGACTGTTGTTTTGAATGGGAGGAATTCCTGAACATTGATTAAAGCGTCGATGAACTGTAAAATCTCCACGTCTCGGAGCTCTAGGATTTTTGTCTTGGCCTCGTCGGTAGCAGAAGCTTGAGGGCCATCGTCTTCGGTGAAAATAATTTCTCATCCTGAGTGAACGGGGCTGAGCCAGAGAAACCTCGTCGGCCTGGCGCCATGTTGTATTGTGTGTTCAGGGGTGAGAGACGTTTGAATATAGTATTAGCTAGAGAAAAAGTGAGAAAAGACCCTGCTATTGATATCTATTGAAGAAATCACCCACCGTTGCTGAAAGAATTACCATGGATGAGTATAACAGTTTTGTAGCTCAATACAGAGGAGCTAGGAGAGCCGCTATCTAAATATGACAGAACGACAGACGTTGAATCACCTAGGCTCTGCGTGGTTATTCTTCCATCCTAGTCCTCCAATTCTACATCTACCAAACCAGTTCGAATAAGCGTATTCAAGACCTTATATGTACACCCATATAAATCAACACTGGATGTGCATGTGTTACATGCGTACAAAAGACGTTGAGGAACTCGAGGAACGCCCGTTGGCATAGCTTTGGCAAAGCTCTCGAGGTATGGATACAACATCAATTGTCGGCCGGGTTGAATGGGTGGACAGTGTAGTTCGAGGTAGTTTGGAAGAATGTCAGCCCAAGTGGCAGTCCGAGGGTGGTCGTTGTAGAGCTGATGCCCTACGAAGACTGTGCCAGTGGTAGAAGGAGTTGAGGTTGGGATCGCAGTGGCGTTCCCCTGGCGCGAAGCGAGTGTATCGTATAGGGACAGGTTTGGACTGAACGAAGTTCAGGAATAATTGGCTCTTATGTCGTCTAAGCGTTTGTTCGTGAGCGAATGTATACAGCGCGGGAAGTAGAAGATACCGTCAGACCTGGTAAGTATGATCAGCGAGTGTACTGATGGGCGTGATGATTGAAGCAGCGTACCAGCCTCAGTCAATGTAGCGAAGGAAGAAAATGGTGATTTGTTGGGGAAGAACGTACAAAGTTTTGGGTAAAGACAAAGATTGTGATGGGAGAACGATTTTGGCGGAGTCGTAACAGATGATTGAGTAGATAAACAGGACCAGGAGGCTCGAGCTTGTTAGTGTTCAGATCCGGTTGTATTAGGTCTTTGCGATTTGGTTGTTTTTGAGGCAGACCTCTGCCACCGTCTACTCTTCGTGCCCATATAGAGCGACCGCCAGACAATCCAGCTGATAGCGTAGCTCTCCAATGACATTTTGTTGTCCTTTTTCAACCACTGGCTTCGTATGTTGTTGCGGTTCGACGGTTCACCGAATTTCGATGGGGAAGGAGGTTTGACCAGGGAGGACTAGGAGGGAAGACTGCGACGATAACAGCGAAGCAAGAGGGTCGAGGAGAAAGTCGAGATTGACCATACTGATCTCAACGCGACAGCTGCTCCTTCGACCCTCCGAAGCGCATTATCAAAATACCCCGCTTTCATGACGAGACATCACCGTTCGCGGCGTGCGAGTCGCTACTGACCACCCCTCCGTTCGACCTTGCGATCTCCTTCTGGCTCTTCTACCACGTTGGCACCCAGCCAGCAGCCCCATGTCAACACTATTGTTGAGTTCAACTTGATTTCACCACTTGAGGGCGAATATGATCTGAAGTGAGAAGAACTTCACAACTTTTTAAGAGTGAATCTATAAGATTGTGCACACACCTATATCCGACCGATTCGGAGCACTGATCCACATTTACCATTCGAGGCTGGGTGCACACCAATTTGAATGATTGCGAAAGGCCAACGCAGCCCGGATTTGTGCAGAAGAGCGTATCATGTATGAGTGTAAGTAAGTTCAGCATCGGACGCAGTGGAGGGCCCAGTAATTGACTGAGAGTATGCAACCGCGTTATCTCGCACTGCTCATGCTTCATAACGGGGAAGGTGAGAGAGGAAGAAGAATAAAATCGAGGCACTCTACGTCGCACTGCTCGTGCTCGATAGTAAGGAGTGACACTGAGTCGGGATTGAGATATATTAATAATCAACATAAGCGCGCCCGCAGAAATCTTCTCACGCTATCAAGCGCTGATCGTTTCTGCACCCAAGGGTTTTCTTCTTGCATGGTGTGTTGGTCTTAATTGCACTTCGCAGGATTTGGATCCTCATTCACCGATTGGTTGACCAATGATTTGTTTGTGAGTCTAATGTACATGCCTACCTCGTTCATGTTTTCACCATGTTCTTCACCGACTAGATCCTTCTGAGCCCTACATCCAATGTCGTTCTGTCATATTTAGATAGTGGCTCTCCCAGCTCCTCTGTATTGAGCTACAAAACTGTTATACTCATCCATGGTAATTCTTTCAGCAACGGTGGGTGATTTCTTCAATAGATATCAATAGCAGGGTCTTTTCTCACTTTTTCTCTAGCTAATACTATATTCAAACGTCTCTCGCCTCTGAACACACAATACAACATGGCGCCAGGCCGACGAGGTTTCTCTGGCTCAACCCCGTTCACTCAGGATGGGGTTTCCAATTCTTCAACCCATAGATTTTACTTGAGCAACGCTACAGTCGTGCCGTGGCTTGGTGGGCGTTTGGGGTCCTAACTTATGAGATGTTACTGGGACAGTTGCCTTCCCGTGGTGACAATGAGGATGAAATCTTCGATGCTATACTTTACTATCTTTTCCCAAAATCGTTCCTACAAACTCTTCCAGCATAGATCCTCATCTGATTATTCTATTGCTTTGTTCCACATTCATTCATTCAAATGTGTTACATCCCACCAACTGATTATCCTATTGCTGGTGTATATATAGAAATTGGCTGAGCCAGTTGTATGAGAAATGAAAGGAAACGAAGCAGTATGTATGTACGTGATGATAAGATGATGATTGCGAGCGAAGCGAAGCAATACGGGTGAAAAATTTCGTCAATTCTATATTCGCAAATCCCACGAGGTCACAGCCACCGCCGTTTTTGGTAATCCCCTGTAAATCACTCGTCATCGAATTCAGTCGCGACTGTCTATCGTCCATTACCTTGTACATTCTTACTTGCTCAGTATATCATCCTTGTGTAATCATTACAGTGTCTTGATAATTGTTTTACGGAGGTGCGCCAACACCGACACCCCTCAAAACTAGAATTTCGAAGCGAGCACCACATGTGAGACGTACTTGGAACGGAGGGGGCCCGAAGGCCCCCTCCGAGCCGGACGAAGGAGGCTCACATGCGAATGCATGTTAAGATAGTGCGAGCAGGGTGACTGAAGGTATTTTCAATAACGAGTCTACGGGTTGTTTTGGTATATAATTGCCAGCGTCCAATGCGTCAACATCCGTATCTAAATACAGCACCCAAAAAATCCCAGCTTCGTTTGTTCAGAAGCGTTGTACCACCCACCATACTCCGATAACAACCACTCTAGATACAGTATCTTTCGTCAATTGAGCTGAATAGTCCAAGTTCAAGCACCAGAATATCTTTCGGTACAGGATTAATCGTATTATTCGATCTCTCACTGGGTGGGAGAAGCAGGTATTCTAAAGCCAATAGTTGGAAGGAGGTATGTGCGTGAAATATCTGAAGAAGTGCCAGCGTTGTTCGAAGCTGCATTTCCTCGCGTCCGAATTCCATCGAGAGCAGCTCCGCGTCCGCTCGGTCAACTTCAGCATCTGTTGGTGGACTTTGAGGGACATTTGAATTCCTGGCCGCTGTTCCCGAAGTCCGAGCACGACCCCGACCGCACCCAAGGAACAGCCCACTGGTTTTCCACATCAGCTTGTTCGTTGGTAAACTGGCTGGCAGTCTACCTTCCATCCCTGTGCCCAAACCCCGAGTTTGAGCTCTCTCGTAGCGATTGTGCTCAAGGTGAGATCATCGTCGCCCTCTCCCCAGTTCCCCCAGTTCTCGGCACCGTTCGACGTCAAATAAGATTGCATGGTACTACCTCTCCAAGAGTCTATCCAAAGACCGGTGCAGACGAGACGCACATCTTCGTACACACGCCATACATCGGTCCAAGCGGTGACAAGCCCGAGTTTCTGGTCGGAAATGTCACTGAAACCAGGAGTACAGCATGAGAAATTGGACGAATGACTGTTTGAAGAGTCGAGCCGAAGAATGCGGTGTAATTTTCCACTGTGATCCAGGAGGTCGATATAGGTAAATCAAGCCTCCGGGAAGTGATATAGACTTACCAATTTCACATCAGTCCAAGCGAAGCGGATGGTGGAAAGGCGATGAGTCGGGCCTCTTGAAGTCGAAAGAATGGGTTGGGACGAATAGAAGGCAGGTCATGCTGCCTTATTGGGTGTTGAGGTCTATGAGGTGATCATAGCCCGACAGTCGTTCGAGGAATAACGTGTCCGTAGTGCAAGCAATCCACCCTCCCCAAAATTTGCTTACTGTTTGCAACTGGTCAATCCCGAATTCCCTCCTTGCTCTTCCCAGGCAAACGGTTAGAGGTAGAATCTTGTTTCTCGTAACCAAAGTCTGCCGCGACGTGACAAAGTATACAAGCTGCTTCCGCCAGAGGAAGTGTATATATATGAGAGTTCTCTTCCTGCCGATGACATGTTTGTAAAGAGTGAGAGTTGACGCGTTGACGGGCCTAGGATGCGCAGAAGATGTGAAAGGTGTAGTGTCGGACTCATGTTTGACTGATCGCGATTTTCCTGATATTAAAAAGCCTGCGAAGGTAGGAATAGGAACTGGATTGCTTACCCCGTCCAATTCATGACTCTACCCAGACCAGTCTCCTGCTCCTTCCAGATCAGCAGACTTCCCCGTGTGATTTAAGATACATTCTTGAAGGCTGGGTTTCTGTCAGCTTCATCCGAGCATAAAGCACAACCACGAGGTCCTTCAGTGCAGCTGCATGGCGCCAGGGCTTCGGTCTAGCAGATTTTGCAGGTAGAACACCTAACGATGGCAGGCGAAAGCCTCTGCAACCTTCTTCTGCTGATTTGATTGCCCGAAATGCGCAAATACCTTGGTGACCATCCTTCGAAGAATGTCCGGGAGGAACGTACTTAAGTTACCGTCACTAAATACTCTTCAAGTTTGACTTTCTGGTGGGGTGGAAGGAAGCGTAAAATATGGCAGATGGAGATCAAAAGAATGATGATTCGCAAATGCGTCATTGAAATTAAGTGCTGTGTCACGCCGCGGACCGTATTAATCTCAATCGAACGTCTGTTCTCGTCGACGTGTACAGGGAGTATGTACTTTGTTAAAGGTGAGCATCAAATATGAAGAAACCTTAATATTTAATATTTAATATTTAATCCCAGTGCTGAACGTGAACATATGAACAGTAGCAAATCATCATTTGGAAATATACAGTGAGGACGACAATACGCAAGGGCACCTATTTACAGTACTATACATACGAAGGATGCTTTGACCTTAGACAATGAGCATAGGCAACAACCAGAAAAAAGCAAGAATAACCAAAAACAAAACAAAGCAAAGCAGGGAAGAAAGCTACTATGTTTACTTCAATAAGATATGTCCTCCGGTGATGAGATGATCTGCCAATTCCTAAGTTGAACAAAGTGACCGTGAATAAGCGGGAAGAGGGGGATTCAAGAAACCACACCTTTCGCGTCTTACAATAGAACCCACACAGACCATTTGTATCATCTCTCCATTCGCATAGAAAAACCTTTGAATTCGGGCCAGAGGCGGCAGCATCTCCACTGCCATTATGAGTCAATGGATCATCTTCAATCTCAAGACTCTCGAGAATCATCCTTGCCTCCCTTCGCCACTCATCCTCACACTGTGGGTACAGCTGGACTGCTTCTCCCTTTTGTCTCCCAGCCTCCGTCTTAGACACCCCAGCCTCCCTCTCTAACTCACAACACCTTGCCCTCAACTCTGGCGCCTCTTCATCCACCACCGCATCCTTCTTCGCTATTCCAGAAAACGTCCCTGCCTGCTCTTCCACCACCCGCAGATGCTCCTCGTATGTCGCATTGACTAGGGCGACGCCTTGTGCAGCTTGGGATTTGGCAATCTCAGTGCGTTGAAGGAGTGCAGGGTTCCCAGCTCGAATTGCAGTGGTATAGGAGGAGGCAGTGGTGGATTGGGAGAAGAACTCGCCGTCATTTTTGGCGCTGTATTGAGCGGCGAGGGTAGTGGCTAGTTGGTCTTGGAGGGTTTGGTTTTGGTCTTGAAGGGTCTGGTTTTGATTTCGGAGGTTTTGGTTTTGGTCTCGGAGGTTTTGGTTTTCCTGCTCGAGAGATTGGGTTTTCTGTTTGAGAAATTCACTTTGGTGCTTGAATTTGAGGCGCAATTCATCGTATAGAGAAACTTCGTTCTTCTGCAACTTTTCTTCACCCCGCAGACCTTCACTTTCTAAACTTAATTTTCTCTTCATGTGTTGCGCCCACAGCGAATATTTATCCGCAGGATGTTGGCCATTCTGTAGTCCACAATCCTAGCTTATAGACAAATTTCAAAAAATCGAAGGAGACCACTTACAGCATTCAGGGTGAACAGCTCATTATCCGATGGCAGTTCTACAGAGTTGTTGGAATATCCTAGTTCGAAATTACTCTGAAAGGAGGAGAACAAGTTAATCAAACCCGTCAAATCAAACTCAGGAGTTAAATTTACCCCAGCAATATCTGCATCATCTGCTGCACCTTTTTCAACAACCTCCCCCGATCTCCTCCTCTTCGGCGGCTCTGGGTCCGTCCCCAGCTCGGTTCTCCTCGCCTCCGTGATCTCCGCCTCGCTCATATGCCCTTGTTTAGCAAGGGCGTTGCTCTGCAATAGGGACATCTTACTGGATTTGTTGGGAGGATCAAAGGAGGGAGGGTTGCCAGTGCTGGTGGTGCTGGTGAAAGCGTCGAGCATACCAGAAGCTTGAAAAATTGTTGGTGGGTCCTTGAGTTGAAGTGGCTGTGAAGAAAATTGTGATAAAAATGGAAAATCCGCCAGTATGTATGTAATATTTGATGTGTACATGAGTTCGTCCATCAGCCCAGCCAAAAACTGATCAGAATGCAGACTCAGTGGACACGAAAGTCTTTGAAAAGGTAAAAGGAGCAGACATGCGAGGTAAAGTCACAGGCATATAATAAGGGCACAAAATGCTAGGATAAAGGGCGTGGCCTTTCTGGGTGTAATATAGATAGGTATCATCCGAATGGCTATAACCATTCTTGTCTTGAGAATTAGAATTCGAGTTTGAATGCAAACCACCCGCGTCGTAGGAGCCGTAAGAACGAGGACACGGAAGACTGAGATCTTCGCCATAATTCATACACATTGTGAGAGTAGGGCTCATACAACATGGGTGTTCAAAACGCAGGTCTAGCTTACCAATGTTGATAGGACAATGCCGATTGCGCATGATACTAAGGTATTCCATAGCCAACACTTTACTATATCCTTCCCTGAACGCCTTGGCTTCGAAGGCGCTCCTTAAGCCGGGGATAAGCTGGATGTATTCTTGGACGTTGGTTGTCATTATGGTGATGTCCTACCAGGAGGCTATATAATTCACCGAGAAATGAGGGGAGGGTGAATGAATGAATTGAGAATGCATATGGATGGAGGGTAACACACCTTCAGCTCAATGTGGTATCCAAGAAGCGTGAAATCAAGCGCAGGATCTTCGACGGTAACAGTTTCTTCAACTGATGCAGGCTTTTCCGCGAGCTAGGTATACGATTCGTGGTGTCAAGAACAGCTGAACAGGGAGAACACTTTGTCGTTCGAAGGCGGCGATGGTAAATAGCTTTATGAGGGAATTGGCCAAGTCGCAATTGACAGGCTATCGAACGAGAAGTTGAGTGGAGATTTAGTTGAAGGTAGACTACGATAGATACCTTGAGTGTCTCGATAGTTAACCGAACCTCTTCTCCCAGGACAAGCTAATTGGTGCTGGGTACAATTCACTCAGATGATGTACGAATGGGCTAGCGTCAGCCCTAGGAGCCCCACGATCCTAATTTCTCCAAGTCTTCAAATCCTTCCTCACAAGGTCCTTCGAAACCAGCGCGTAAAACCCCGAAGTTGGTCCCAAACATGCCCCAGCTTCCTCGAAGTACTCCAGCTCGAGAACCGAAGAGGAGGAGCTACAACAAAGATTTTGACAGCAACCTCCAGGATGATGATGTTTCCTCAAGACGCGAACTTTTTGACCTTCAAGTTGTTCCAGAAATCCAATCCCGTCGCCCCGCCGCGAGATTTCTTGGCCTCCACGAACTTGTTTGTGACCGATATTCAAGGATAAGACCAACATATATCCGAAAGAGATGGATTGGAGGAAACAGTATCATGTGGCGAAGGGGGAGAGAAAGGGGAAATGTCGAGGAAGGGTCGAGAGCCGGGGCAGGTAGGCAAGAACTAAAGATATAACAGTCAATACATCACACCTTTACAGGTATGAAGGACTCACCCTATGCCACAGCCATGGTCTCCTTGAATTGGCGAGTGAGCTCCACACACCATTTCTCACCACCAGATAGTGTACACTCTGCTTCGAGAGTATTCAATAGATCCAGAACACGGGGCAATTTAGCTGCGCCGAAAGCACCCCTCCTGCTCCTTGTCATCTAGCGGTGAGAACGATGACCAATCTGCTTCGCCCAATTTGGCATCCGCTAAACGATTAGCCAGAAAGGGTGGACTACGATGATGAGGAGACTTTGAACGAAACATCCTCCTAGGAGAATTACGGTGATTCGGAAACATGTTTTTATCAAAATTGATGACTAGAATCCGACGCCGTCCCTTCTCGGTTCCGCGATGATGTAAAGACTATTAACCCTCTGGAGAATGTCGACATGTGCGGTAAAGCGGCTTTCGGCTTGGTGCCATATACCGTTCAAAGGCTCGTTCGTCGGCGTCATTTGCAGAGGGTTCAGCCAATTTGTGAAACTAGGTAAATGATTGCGTGCGCTTGTGAATAACGTGACCCACTCGACATTGCAGACAAAGAGAGATTAGTTGGAATCGGAGGGGGAGGTTTGCAACAAGACATGTTCTGAAGGAAGCTCAGGTGGCGGTCCTGGTAGCTGCAGTAGATCGATTAATTTATGAATGGGAGACACGGATGCAGAGCCGGCATACCGGAGTGGGCCAATGAAACTGATGCACTGAAATGGGCTAGTTTTGAAGGGATTATGTGAAGAAGATGTGGAAGTGTTGCCTGCCAATGCGACTTGGTGGGATGAGGTGGTAGACATTCCACTCTTTGAAGCCATAAGACTCTGCTCCATCAACGCGGAGGTAACGTGGGATGTGTGTGAATGAAGTAATATAGGCTTCGATGATAGTGGTGGTGGCGGTGGATTTCCAACTGGTTCAACGAACAGGCCATGCCGCGGAGGGGATTGGGGTCGCAGGCTCTCTGGGAGAAAGACAAGGAGTCGAGTCCGCAGCCCCATCGTGTGACTTTGCAGAAAATTGGCAGGGTCGGATGACGTCCGCGATGAACCTACAGTGGACAGAACAGGCTGAGCCTGCGCCTTTGGAGGCAGGGAGGGCCGGGATATTGGAAGTGAGGAAGGATATGCTGCAGATCAGGCAAGATTTCAGAACAGATACGAGACAGAAACAAGATGACTCATGCACACCCTGAATAAAAGCTGAAGTACGGCCAACATCTTGTCCCGACTCCACGTTTACAGCTAGTCTGACTGCTGCAAAGAATTGGCATCCAAAGAGATTGTCTGTCTGGGACAGATTTGGGGAAAAGAAGCGTAATATCTGTGAAGGGATACTCTGCTGAAGGGCACAATCATCGTAGAGATGAGGAAAGAGATAACATCGAAGAGTAAACAGCCGGATGAAAACACGTTTCGCCGCCTTGAGATGTTACCAAAACTCCTAGTATCAGCAGCAGCGAGGGTTTCAATACCAGAATATGAATATGCGTAGGGAGAGAGCTGGAATTGAGGGAAGTGGAGGATGAACTCGAAGGAGGTGGCAGAAGGAATAGCCGAATCTTCTTCTTCGTGCTCAAACTCCCCATGCTCCAAAGAAAAAACCAGGTATTCTACCTCCTTCAGACGATACTGGGTAGGAGAATTCAGTAGCGTGTCATGAGAGCCCAAAGCAAAAAGAACATGCTAGAACATGCCGCTAGATCCAACAAATAGTCTACCCCCTTTCATCCAACTCGAAAACCTCACAATGCCGAATTGTAAACCAAAGATGCTGGGTCACGGACTGAATCCATAGCGGACATTGTTTAAGATACAGGGGGTTTACTATACAAGAGGTGTTAGCGCCTCTAAAGCTATAAACAAAGTCGCACGTGTTAATGGCGCTAAGATTTCACGGAGAAATCCTTAGGGTAGCGACTTGTCTACGACTCGGCATAAGTAGTACACAGACTAATTAGATGCTCCTGAGCAAATACCCTTTTAAATTCTGGAACTATAGTATGTATAATTTCTACGCATTTCATCCAGAAAATTGGAAGAGATTTTGCTACATAGAAACGAGCATTCAACTAATTAAGCGTGTTTCACTCACTTAGCCAAATACCTTCTTTCACTTATCCATCCTCTAACAGCTAGTGTGTTCTAGGTTGCTTCATCGCTGTTTCAATGCTTCTAAACTTTGACTGACTTTGATATTTTCAGTGCGCCATGGTTTCTGGTAGTCCGTTAACACGGTTTGAGCCCCTCGCAAAGATCGACACTTCCCAGCTCAAGTGGCAGCTGAGATCATGCTTTGGGATAGGTGATGCACAGATTGCTGAAGTCAGGGAGGCACTACGATCCTCGAAGCAAGACTTTGCCAGCTACGATTCCGAGAGTCGCCAGTGTAGAGCAGTGTATGAAAAGGAGAAATCACGGATGCAGGCTGAATACAATGACAGGACAGCGATTCTCCGTAAAAAATACGAAGGAGACATACATCGTATCCAGCTGCGTCTTCTAGGCTTAAAGTCATATACAGAAAATTTGTCTACGCTACTCGCTCCAATTCGTCGTATTCCCATGGACGTCCTCCTTCATATTTTTGTGCTTGGTTGCACTCAGGATGATGTGAATGCGAAAAACCCTACTGCACTTACCATCAGCGCCGTTTGCACTTGCTGGCGACAGCTCACCAAATCTCAGTCTACCATTTGGGCCAACTTTCAGATACGGCTGGAAGAATACGAAGAGCAGAGTGCGCCAGAAGTAGCTCAGCTAGTACTCCGAGTCAATCTATATTTGGCACGATCGAGAAGCTATCCGCTTACTCTGAGAATTCTCCCCACGAAATCCAGAGATCACCCCGCATTAAAACTCATCGCTCAAGAATCTCAACGGTGGAAGCATTTGTCTTTTGGGGGTGATGACTTTGGTGGCTTCGATGGAAATTCTTGCCTTCGATCGCTGCAGCTCCCTATGCTAGAGGCGGTCTGCTTTGAAGAGTCAGAATACTGCAATGGACTGAGTCCGCCTCTAGAAACCTTTGGGCATGCTCCTAATATCAGAAAACTCAGCCTCCACAGTTCCCTTGACCAGAACGTAGCTGCAATCTTTTCCAAGAATTGGGAGAAGCTCACATCGCTTAAATGCGACTTAGTGGAAAACCTGGAGGGATTTTTGTCTGTCTTGGATCGGTGTACTCAGCTCCGCCATCTCACTGTCGAAGGAGAAAACGTCGATTTGATCCCGATTCCCCCATTACGCATATCTTCATTACATTCACTCAAGCTCGTGAACTCTCAACCTCCCCCAAATGAGCATGACTCTATGCTTGAGTGCTTACTCGCATCACTTGTGCTGCCCAATCTAACCAGCCTTGTCCTCCTCCATGCCGGAGATATCGGCCAATGTTCAGCAGTAATGCCGTATAGTATTTTGAGGGATTTCTTCCGACGTTCACACTGTTCCCTGTTGACTCTGACCATAAGGCAAATTTCCATCACCGACGCAGAATTGGTTGCACTACTAGTCCATGTACCCTGTTTACAAGAATTATCCTGTGAGGATCCAGTCGATGGTCCTGCTCTTATCACCGCTGACTTCATTCGAAGTCTACATTCCTGCCAGCGGAATGGGCTCCACCACTCAATCGAACCTCTAGTCCCGAAGCTGCGTTCCTTAAGGCTGAAAGTTCATAAAGAAGAGTTTGACGCCTATCCCTTGTTCTCTATGGTCACTTCTCGCTGGCTTCCAGATGATACCGGCAAAGTGCAGCTTGGCACAGTGTGCCTGAAGTTGGTTGAAGTACACCTCCGAGGAGTAGTTGATAAAAACACCTATGAACTACTTGGGCACTTCGACAGGGCCGGGATGCAGGTTGTTGTCAAAACAGATGAACTATTAGTTTGATTACGATCCTATGTTTTCCATAGCAATATTTCGCTCCTGTAAGTTCCTCGGCCAATTCAAGCATGCAGGAGATTGAAGATTCAATGTAAGTTATATACACCTAGTCCGGCGCCCAGCACCACCCAGGGAGAGAGATTAATGGAAGCAAATGAAGTACTTGCTGTACATAGATGGATAGACTTTGGATAGCTAAGGCATCGGGTGCTGACAGGGCGAACTAAAGATCGACCACTGAAAAGGGACGAATATACCATTCAAGTATTCTTGTCAGAACTGCATAGACCTTACTGAACGTGCCTGGTCAGTTACATATACTCAAGTCAATGCTCTTGCCCAGTAAAGTGGAAAGATATATTCCAGCATGTGTATGATATTTACAATATGAGATGTTCATACACACATAAGCGATGTTAATTGGGTTCGACGGACCAAATATTCGAAGAGTCAGAGTTGGGGTTCCATGATTTACCAAATTGACCCTTCTTAACAGTGAATGGCTCTTTGGTGCGAGGCTCTTGCGGTGGTGGGGTCTGGTTGCTCGATTCTGTTTATCTATCAAAAGGTGAGGATTCAAGGTGATGATCCGTGAAAGAGGAGGTACGGCCAGAGACAATAAGACAGATGAGGTACGAGAAGAAGGATCCGCGGAAGATGTGAACACAGGGATATTTTCTCGACGCCACGCATTCACGATTCGCTGTGCTGGAGACAGCCCAGTCGATAGATCATGATAACCAGGATCAGAGGTAACAATACCTTCATTGCAGTCATCGTCACTCCAAAGAGAACCCGGAGACTCCTCAGGCACTAAGAATATTATATCACCTTCCCGTGGTTCCTCAGATGCAGCTGGAGGGGAGGATCTCGATGCTGGTTCTGTACCTGCATCTCCCGCATCTCCTTTATCATCGTCTCCATTGCCACCAAAGTCCAGAAAATCGAAACCGTACTTTTTGAAGTCTTCTTCAGAGCTCCCACCACCTCCCCTCCTTGGCTTCCAGGGGCTTTGCCGCTGGCTACCTTCTGAGATAAACCGTGTTCGTAATTCCATCAGTATGGTAGAGATGGCATGCATCGTTTCCACAATCATTTGTGGTTCAGGAACTTCGGAATATTGGAGAGCGGAGTATAAGGTCGAAGCCGGTTTACTATGACGTTCTTTCCAGACATACAATGTCCGAAAAGCGTTGAGAAGGGCAGCAAATGGGGAAATGTGCGAGTAGAATCCGGACGTTTGATAGGGGGAGAAAAATGTGTTTAAAGCAGGAGCATTGTTAGCGCAGAGTACAACATGGTAGGAGTAGAGATTGCCATCTTTCTGTAAATAAATATCAGAGGTGCAATTACGAAATGAAAATGTAACGTACAAAATGAGATAGACCGTCCACATTCCCTTTTCGCAATTCATTCCAGAGGTTGTTTGCACCCACTTTTTTTTCGGTGTTCCGCTTGCGTCTTGCTTCATGCACTTTCTCCAGGTAGACGTGGATGTTGTCCAGTAAAGCAAGAGATGGTATAATTAAAAGCAGATGATCATCAAGAGCTGCATGTATATTGACTAAAACTACATTGAGACGGGTACAATTTTGAGAAATGTAGTATCGACACTAAAAGTGGTGTAAACGCACGTGGCATAAGAAAAAGGCGGCTATGAATGCAGAGTGTTCGGGGAGCCATGCCTAGCATGAACTCGTATAGAAGTAGCTAGGTTGAGTGTCAGGACGGGCGGATGTAGTCGAGTCAAGCACGCACCAGGGAGTCATTGGAAGCCTCGGCATTGGGAACAAGAATGTGCGCCAGTTGAATGAGCAGTCTGCAATATGGCTGGTGATGGGTGACGTGGCACCGAAACATCTTTGCTACGATGAGCCAACCTAGAAGCCAGGCTTTTGCACTTTGTGCACCCCTTCCTTGACGCTTACTAGGAGTAAGCTCTGGCCCAGATGCTCTACTTGTACTTGATTTGTGAGATTGATTGTCTAGATTGTCCCGTCGTTTCGAAGAAGTAAGAACAGAGACAGCAGGGCGACCAAGCTCCCCGTCATCCAGTTCGTCCACTTGATGCTGCAGCGCATAGTCGATAGGCTGGGAAATTTGTTTCTGCACTGTATCATGATCGAAGGGGATTGGGAATTTGTTGATACGGTTCGCAAGATCAGTCATGGAAAGAAGTTGCTCTTCAAAAGCTGGACGAAATGCGTGCCGATGGGAATGAAATGATAATTTTGACCTGACATTATTGGCGAGTTCCGAGACGTCATCGTTCATGGTAAAAGAAGTAGTTCGTTGCAGCGAGCAGGCCTGGGAAAACCGATGTCGTTTGTTTGGCATTGCCCGGCACTTCCACGGCTAATTCCTGTGCTACACCTCCACGCCAAACTCTTCCTACTCCAAAGTGGCTCAATATCGGTTTCAGCGCCAAAGGGGTATATATGTCCGGTTGGGCGGACTGGCTAGGTATGTATCGCTCTAAGCTGGAACGCTGTCAGGGAGCCTCACTGATCTGTTGACATTTCTTTTTTTCTTCTCCAACTAATCTGCTCTCGTTCTTTCTGTGCGGACGTGTGCTTGGAAGGCTCTGACCAGCACCGGGGTTGGTTCCAAAGTCAACTCTTGACCGCGGTGGGGTCTGCTTCAGGAACGACTACCGAGTATCCCAGCGGAGATGAGCAAGTCACTAGGAAATATCGTAAGCCCTTTGATGGTCGTTCTGGGAGGAACTGTGAGTCGTCTTCATATATTACTCGAGGAAATTCACCCTTGTTTCTCATTGATAATACCGGGCAGATTCTGGATACGACGACTTCAATTTTGGCGCCAATCCTTCCTCATTTGGCTGAGGAAATACATCAGCATCTGGCTCGTGATCAGAATCTTCATCCGAAATCGAAATCTTTCTTTGAGAAAGGTGGGAAACCACCAGTGAGTCCTTCGTCCTTCCCTGTTTGGAATTGCACCTTATGTTATCATGCTTGTAGGATCTGGAATGGGAAGATTACGCAGCAGCGAAGGATATGAGTTATCTTTTGAAGATCAGGAAGGCGGTTCTGGGCTTATTAGAGGAAGCAAGGGGGCATAAGTACGCAGCATTCCGCTTGAACTTGTGCACTCTCTAACGATTGGTTGATCCCACTTCTGGTGAATAGAAGAGTTAAAAGCTCCCTAGAAGCGGGGGTAGACATCCTGCTGCCAAAAAAGGGAGGGAATTATCCTGTTGTGGAACTACTGAAACGAGAAGGTATCCTCCATACCTTCACCTCTGTTTTGATCGCTTGAAGAACGTTTCTTTCAGAACAAATACTCAAAACAAAAACGCTCTTCATCACTCCGGATGCATGTCTGTTCGACGAAGGCTCCCTCGGAAGTGGTTCACAGTCCTCGGCGTGGGTATACACAGAGTCACTGGACCTTGGGGAAGATTTCGGTTTTATGGAGAGCTAGACGTGCTGGGAATACGCGTTCGGCCTGCTTCCTTAGTCAGGTGCCCGCGGTGTTGGACTTGTACGAAACGCTCAAAGGAAGAAACTACATGTGCGAGATGTGTGGATGTGTTGTGTTCGCAAGGATCGACCGAAAGCAATAGATGCGAGTGTTGTCTGTCGTCAGTGAACTTCATTAACTTTAGTAGCGCTTCCTTACGATAACTGAAGGAAATGATCCAACATTGGGACTGGACGACCCGTTGAGCACTGGCCCTTACTTCGAGGAATGACTGCTGAAATGTTGAACTCTGGCGATATTCTGGCAAGGTGATTCAAGGCCTGCGTGACTTGTATCAAGGCCCATACTTACATGAAAAACTATGGAGTTATCTAATGCGGTACTTTACCACACAGTCGAAACATTGATTCAATGACCGGATTACATTGACCGTATCCACTGAAGACAATTTTAGAGGAGAAATTAGGCGCGCGTTAATTCATGTGACTGCGTTTATAGAACGCCTCTTGCTCTCCTTCTACCCCTTAGTCTCTCAATATCAGATGAAATCCGCCAGCAAAAACTCATCAGGTATGGGCCCTCTTGTTCTCTTTTTAGGGATTCTCGGAAGGAATATCGCCTCTCCAAACCTCTCCACAGGCCAGGAGTTTGGCAGAGACTTCCTACGGTGAATCCCGGCTGTTCTTCGTGTATCACATGTTTTTGAAGGCTTCGGCCATGCTGTCAAGCCCCTCCACAGGCCAGACGTGCGAACGGACCTTTCTTAACCTGCTCAGTGCATCAAACTTTGTTATATCCTTCTGCTGATTCCGATTGGGCGCTTACTCACTCAACCTAGCATCTACTCCTAGTATACCATGGCGACCCGATTCCTCAAATTCCACCAATTCGATCTCCAACTAGCTCTACAGCTAGACAACGATGGCCGAATGGAGGTGGAAAGGTAACGGTTGAGCTTAGAGGATGAAGACCTCGAGTTCGAAGATGAGGAAGTTGTCGGGGCAGGGCAAAATCGAAGAGAACACTCCATTCTTCCAAATATTGCAACATCTATATCCTCCCCCTCTGAACCCTCGAGTTCCCAGCGCCCTACTTTTCCTATTCCCAACCTACGCCTTTTTGCTCATAACCTATCGTGCTTATCATCATGCTTCAAGAATGGTGAGTTTTTACATTACTTTTACGTGTTCTATCTATCCTGACCTGGTTATATGCAGTTCCTTCTGCAATTATCCATCTTGGATCCACATCAACGATAAGAAGATCCGGAGTAGGATTTGGAGGTCGGCGAGCATTACAGATCAGGGGTGGGGAGATGAAACAGTATACCAGATAGGGACAGCGCCAATAGGCGCTTTGCAGACCATACCATTAATCCCGGAAGCGAACAGGAATACTTATGGGGAAGAGGATAGAGGTGAAAAGCAGCGGGGGGTACCGGTTTGTTGGGAGGATTGAGGCAGTGATTGTGGAAAAGGCGGTGTTTTGAATGGTGGATAAAGGGAGAGGGATCCCAGGATAACATGTCTCCCATGTAAACCAGTTGCAAGCAGGGTGAACCAGGTGGACTTTCACCTTTGTCCTCCTCGCATCTAGATTAGCTGGCGCCAGTATCACCAATTTGAATTCTATGAATGATGTCATCTTCACTCACAGCATAGTTGCATTCTACCCTGTCCCCGATACAGCCAGACCAATATCGTGGTCAGTTTCGCGGAGAGCCTACTCAATCTCAGCGCCTCTGTCATTCACCTGTCTCGGATTCTCAGAACTGTTGACATTTTTACTGCCTCCAGATTCCAAGTCGCCTGATTCAACTCGATGAGGCTCAGAGGCAGCCGTATTGTACTACCCCCCACCGACATCCTCCGAGAAGAAGGAGCTCTAGAACATCTACCCTGGTAGGTTGCAGGGGATTACAACCGGCATGAGCTCCGCGAAGGTGAGCAATACACGATTTTTATGCTGGGACATGCTACTAATTGCATCTAATAGACATCTAATGCTCTCGATATTATTTCGACGGCACCCATGGAGTTCTTATAGGTATTTCTCTCTATGGAACGAGGTGATTATAGCCTTCAACTGAGCTATATTCGACTTCTTTAGATTAGATCATCTTCATTGAAAGAATTTGGGGCTATATTGGATGACTCTAATAGCATGGTAGGCTCGCAATATCTCTTGGCACATCTACCATGCTGCTTACCACTCCTCAATAGCTAGGGATTGCACCGCTGCAGCACCAGAGTCAGCAGCCAGTTGTACACTTTCACTCGGTCATTCTTGAAGCCTATGTACCGTGCTCTTACATTACATAGGTCCCAGCTAAGTATGTATGTATGTATAGACCAACGTTGTCAAGTATGCCGATCAAAAAACAGATGTGGCCATCCCTTCCCTTCTTCCCCTCATCCTCTCTCCTACTATCAAAATTCTCACTACTGTGCACATTTCCCGATATCACGAGCCAGGATTTCGATGGGTGGTCATCGTTCCCCTACACGTCGCCGGAGTAAAAGGTAAATTAGCCTTTACTTGCCTGTCTTCTCCTTCTCACGGTAGTATAGATTATCGTCTGCGCCAAATCCTCCAGGAGTGCAGAATGAGAGCTATCAGGATGATGCTTACAATGGTGGCTCTGAAGACGACCAGGATGATGATAGCGTCTATGATGGCGGTGCTTACGATGGCAGCGACGGTGCTTACGGTGGCAGCCGCCGTGCCTACGATGGCAACAACAGTGCCTACGATGACAGCAACGGAGCCAATGATCAAACTGTACAAAATCCCTTCCGAGACAGTATAATCAACCCCTATCTCCCAGGATACATTCCACCCAACCCCGTCACTCAACGTTCTGCCTCCCAACGTTCTGCCTCCCAACGTTCTGCCTCCCAACGTTCTGCCTCCCAACGTTCTGCCTCTCAACGTTCTGGCCCGCGACGTCCTGCCCCGCAACTTCCTGCCCCCTGCATTCTCAAGTCAAGATATACGGGGGAACCTCCTGCTCCTCTGAAGACTGCAGGGATACATTTTTTCCAAAACGAGGTAGATGGTCGCTTCACATACCAGACCACGGCTGGTGCATTCAGCTGCTCACATCAAGCAGAGGGTGAGCCCAATCGCTACAGTGATAGCTCCTGTGCCCTCGCTTGTTACCTCAACCTTGTCTATGTCCATGTCCTGGGTGGCTTTGTGTACCTGAAAGAACATCGCATGTTTGGCAGGGCAGAACTTGAGTCGAGGCTTTTAGGCATATGGGTGATTAAGAGGAGGGAAAATAAGGTTCAAATAGTCGAGGACCTTCTGGCGCATATCGATACTGCATTCCCGACACTGCTCACCAATTTTGACTCGATTTTTCGCGGTTCTGTCGACATTCGGCTCATTAAAAAGATTCCCTATCTTCCTGATCCAAAAAAGACCGCTTGCTGCCCTTTCTGTTCTTTGTATTTCACGACGGGTACTAGTATAAACAAGCACCTCCGAAGTGGCGACAAGCAATGCCCCTTATCCGATGAATCGAGATCTCGGAGAGATGCACTTGAGCAACAATGGACCCAGTCTTTATCCAAAGAACCGGCCAATATGCGGTATGCTGTCCGCTTTGTGGATGCTTATGATCCAGCTTTAGACACGGATGATCCAGTTCCTACACAGACTACCTACAAGCCAAAGCTTGAGCCGCTTCAACGGCCGCTGTATTATCCAGATACCTGGTGGAGGTTTCTTGCTGAAATCAACTTTCGTCCACTGCTCCCCATAGAGCAGCAGTTGCTTGGTGAAGGACTTGCCCCTGGTATACTGTTCGACCTTGTCCGTTTGCCTTCAGTAGCCATCAAAAGCTATGCTGAGGGAACACGCGAGAGCAAGCTGGAGAAGATGCTTTCGTTGTGTCACTTATTTTTCAAATTGTACCTCATGGAGGCTGCTGCAAAGGTACCCTCTACTTTTGGCTTTTCAAAAATGCTGAAAAAATAGTAAGTTTATGATAGTGGTCTTTGCTGATCCTTGTCCGCTGACTCATCCTGATTTCGTAGCTCTGGCCTGAACTATAAGGGTGGCTTCCGTAGATCTGATACATATGCTAAGTACGGAGGCGCAGGGACCAATATCATCTGTTTCCTGCTGAGATATTTTGAGATGAAGAGGAAGAAGAAGCTTCCTGCTCTCCTCCGTATTTCGCTAGGAATGGAGCTTCTCGAAGCAGTTAAACGTCTCTATCTGGAGTCCCAGAAAGATTCCGAGCCTTCAGTATCAGAACTAGCCCCTTTGCTCCATGCAATTCTGGTTTGCTTTGTGCGTACCCACGACCCGCTGGATTCAGACAAGCTGACACTGCTGGAATACATCCTTCTTTGCCTCACCATACGCGAGGATACAAAGGCTGGCGAAGATGGTCAGTGCATATACGAAGCCGTAGTCTTCACCAGGAAGCTATCACACTATGCTCGGCTAATCTCTGCGACTGTTCTCCAAGCAATGGTCGCTGGGGGATGGGAGGAGCAATATCACCTCCCTAGCCCTGAGGATGCTGCAATTTCCGATGCAGAACTGGATCATATAGATGATTCCGATTCCGACTCCTCAAGTACTGATTCTGACTCCTTAGACCTCGAGAATGATTTTGATCTAGAAGATTTAGTGGAAATTACAAAATTCACTCCTGAGCAAGTTACCCTTGGAGAGTATGTGCCTTATTTGCCACCTGAAATTGTCATTGATATTCTAAAACTTGCACCAAATCATTCAGGCGACTGGATAAGGCCCTTCGGGAGTATGTTTCCAAGGATTCTACCAAGAAGAACACCTTCCGTGTTTTGATTAGCCTTTGGGCCCGCGCTGATGGATATTCGCGATCTGCTAAAGGCAAAAAAAGTTTTCGTCCTGATGCAAGCAACCTCGGATTCACTTTTATTCCTACACCGACATCCGAAATACATTGCGACCTCGCAATCTTTCCCCAAAACCATGAATTGCAGCTAAAGGGGTTGCGG